ACAATACTACCTTGTTTTTTATTGCCTTTGTACATCATAATAATAATATTCCTATACTCTGAGATTTAATCAAATAGATATATGTCCACGTAAATTAATGATCCAAAGAGAAAGAGCAAATGGAATGTATTAAAATTATTATAATTATTATTTTGGCGAGTACAACACGCGCGTGCAACATTCTGTTGGGCGGAATGTGCTTTTAAATCTCTTAATTATTCCCTAATGGTTTTGAATATTTATTAGACAAAACAATACACAATGGAAACTAAATTAATTATTTACGGCGGTAAGAAAGGTCAAAAGAGCCTTTATAATATTAGGGCCAACCTAAATAGGTGAGTGGGCGGTTTGGTCGTTAGGGACCCCTGTGTGTTCAGTTGCTGATAATGCACTATACGCTTTTATAGTGTAATTATTGTTACACTATATTATTATTATTATTATTGTGATTCAAAACCAAATTGTTAATGCACTACCGAAATCCAAACCCACGCTCTATGCACGGTTTCAAAGCGTGTAATTTTATTGAGAAGTACTCAAAACGCGGATTGGATGCAACAAAAACTACTAACAATATTTGAGCTGAGTTTTATGTCAATGGACATTTTTGAATGATTAAAAAAAATGTTATACGACGTGTAAACGAAGTTAGCGCGACACAAAGCTTAACTAGTATTAATAATTTGTGTATATCTTTGTGATCTTGTGTGATCGATGAAAATGAATCGTTCAAATATACATACATAAAAAACAGCCAATGTATTATTTGTAAACTTAATAAATGTATGATATTTCGGTTTATTTTTTTTTTATTATACAAAATAAAGACTATACAAAGTCATTAACATTTAGCAAAACCAATTTTCATTAGCTAAATCTACTATTTATCGACTAGTGCCCTGAAAAATGATGAAACGACGATTTGGCAATTATTTTAAAACGTTCAACATATTTCAGGAACCCGTTTTGCCAGTCCAAAGACAAAATAGCTACATGTGAGTTGTCAAATCGATTTAATATTTTCTTGGTAATAATAATTGGTACAATACCTGTAGTGTATTTATTTATATTTATCACAATTATGTTTAAATAAAAAAACCAAGTATATTGTATTTGAACACAAATGATGTATTTATTCCATTGTTTGAAGTTTTCCATAAACAAACAATTGTCCAAATACTTTGAGCGAGTCTATCTTTAATGGCAATTTTTTTTTTTTTTCAAATAAATCATAGTATAGAGCGTTGGGCATTGAATAAAAGATACGAATGGGGAAATTAATGTAGCGGAAGAGGAATATTAGATTGACCGCGGAATAGAATTAGCAATGAGTATAAAATATGTAGTATATACCCGGCTTGAGAGTGGTATCAATAGGACCGGCTTACAAGGGAGAACGAGATGGTTGTTGATGAGCAAAGCGTTGGAAATATGTTGGCGGAAAATAAAAAAAGAGTAAAACTTATAATTAAGACAATACAAATCTGGTCGTGGTTTTAAAGGAGAATTAAAGACATTTGTGGAGAAAACAAAATAGTCGATTAGCATGTTTTTTAATTCATTTTCTTTTTTCCTCTAATAGTGTAAAGTTTTTTTTAACCATTTTGCTTTCGCACTTCATATGACACATCTGTGTAACGCATAACAATTTATTCACCCAGGAGCACGGTGTTTAAAGATCCCACGGTGTTGCAATAAGGGAATAGGACACTCTGTAAAACATCAATTGTCAGACACTTTAGGTGTTTTCCTCCCTTAAATTCTTCACAACTCATTGAAATGTCCCAATGCAAATATGCCCAAAAGTCCATTGCGACGTGAAATTATGTTAATTCGTGTTTAACCATGTATTATACGAAGACGACGACGGTATAAAATACATCCCATGCAAAACGCTTAATCATTTTTGTTATTAATATATCAACTTTTCTGTGAATTATGTCTTTGTTTTCGGTAGCCTATTCGTACGAGCCGTTTCTACTTTTTTATTTGCACATTTGCATTAACAGTGGAAACAAAAAACTACAAACCATAAATCAGAACAGTAATATTACAATTTCATATATCGTATAAAAAAACTTCCCTCATAATTTTAAGTAAATATTATATTATTTAGTTTCAAAATAAAAATACTCCTAAGACCGTTGATGTGGTGAAATATTTAAAATAAATAATAGAACCCGATACAACTGAAATGTCCAAAGTACTTGTTGAATAATTGTCAAACTAAAATTATTTTTGAAATAAGAAAATTATATTGCGCAAAATTTGTTATTCTAGGTTCTATAATTAAAAAAACAAACATTTATGTCCAAAACAAAAATGTTTTATTTGAATATTTTATAAATTTAATTACTCCTTAAAAAGTTGTTAAATTCATTAAATATTTTAATAAAAGTTACGAGAAAAAAATTATTTATTTTTCATTTAAATACATTTTTGAGTTTAACCTAACCTAAACAGAAAAATATGAATCATTGAAATTCAATAACGTTTTTTTTTTTAAATAATCAATGACGCATTCAGAGAGGATAAGATATGATCTGTAAATGTCTTAATTACAAAAACATTAGTAATGATTAATAATTGTATGGTATAGGTTTGTTTGTTGAAATTGTCATCCCATACCGATGTACATAAATCTAACCTGAAATTTCCCCCCCAAAAGAAATTATAGTTTAAAAAAAAAACTCTTTGATATTTTGATGTTAAATATTGTATAGATTATCAAACTTTGCTTTTGTATTTACATAAAAAACACTCAAAAAATGTATTTTTAAATTATGAAATTCTCCAGTGACTGTTAAATTTTCAAAAAATAGTTTCTTACGCAATATTTTCTCGTTTAGTAATTTAAATTTCCCCTCTAGTCAGCTAAGTAGTTATATTTATGTTTAGATATTGTACACATTTATGATATCAAGTTAATAGTTTTTTTTTAAAGTGCTTTGTGCTCCGATTGACCTTTTATTACAATAAAAATGTTTAATAATTTGTTCTTAGCCCAAAGTTATGAAATACAAAAAAAAAAAAGAACTTAAAACTTATACAGATAGCCTGAGCGTATTATTACGGATTCATCCGTCGAACACCTTCTATTGCATTTAGCATATTTGATCCTATTATGTAGATATTGTGAAAATTGCACGGTATTGAATAATATATATTTTTTTTATATTTTTACACATTCAGATTTTTCAGTAACGTTAAATAAGATTTATCTTTTCTACGAATCGCGATTTTTCAAGAGGGAAAATAAGTAAAAATTCAAAATGATTTGATATTTTTTTAAGATGTTTAAGGCACCTAAACAATTTTTACAGACTGCTGACCGGCTTTCTAAAAAAAACGATTCATGTATTATTATAATTAGTGATGGGAAAATCCGGATATTGCGAAGTTCAAAAAACCGGAGTTTTAAACTTCGAAATTCGAAATCCGGAGTTGTAATATTCGAACTTCGAAATCCGGATTTCGAAGTTTTCGTTATAAATCCGGATTTCGAAGTTTTCAGTTATAAATCCGGATTTCGGAATTTTCATTATAAATCCGTAGATTGGATTTCAATTTTTTTACAATAATAAATTAATTATATTAGTTAATTATTTAATATTATGTACAACGTGTTTATGTACACAAAAATATTTAATTATTTAATTGGTAAATTAGGTATCTGTTTTTATAGTTATAAGAACATTATGTATAAACATATTTACAAGTCTCAATGACACTTTTATAATAAATTAGAACAATAAGTTATAATAATATGAAAAATACACAACAATATATATATAATATATATATATATATAAATGAGGAAAAATAAAAAAATACAGCATACTTACTTTGTATTTAAACTAGATTACATTTATGAAACTTAAAGTTCATTAGAAACATATAACTTAGGGTAATTTAGTTGAAGGGGTCCGATAATAGCATTTCATAGAGGATTAAAAGTCAACTAATTTAAATAATTTAGTCATCTTGTACTGCTGAATTAGTAATTACAAAATGGCTTTATGAATTTTAAAATCGGTAATTTGGCTTTTTATTTAAACCCAGGTTACGGTTTCTGAAGTTCAAATTTTGAAATCCGGATTTGTCATTAAACCCGGATTCTTCGTAAAATCCGGATTCTTCGTGAAATCCGGATTCTTCGTGAAATCCGGATTTTTTTCATTGAACTTCGAAAACCGAAAACCGGATTTTACGGATTTTAAGAAAATCCGGATTTATTTCCCATCACTAATTATAATATATCACATTTTTTGTGTTTTATTCATAAAAAAAGTCGGAACGCGACAAAAGTGTTTAAAATACATATCAAGCTATTTTTCTTTCTTAGCTCGTTTGTTTGATAACTGTGGTTTTTCCCCAAAAGTCTGTACACTTGATAACTTTAACATGACACGCGTTACTATGGTCATGTGCAAGCAGTGTGGTAAAACCGCTCACCCCGTGGACGTAAGTACAACATCAATTAACGTTATTACCGCGACCGATTTTATTTTAGTCGCACTGTGATTTATTTGTTTATTTTTGAGTGGATTTTAAATAAAAACGGAAGAAAAAAATTAAAAAAAAAAACGATAATTATAAACGTACCGTTTGAACAAATGTAATGTGTATATACATACTGTACATATTGTTATAATTAAGAGGGGACTGGGGATTTTCGTTACGCTCCGCCTGGTCTCGGCACACACACACACACACACACACGCGCGCGCGGTGGGAGCAAAAGAGATCTGCCGCCGTTGCTGCTGTACGTGTGATAAGATCTACGGGGATCGAAACCGTCGTCTAGATCTTCGGGTCACAGTACGTTTGCCGGTCTGGTTTGTGCCGGTTCGAATGATCCACCGGCACTGTGCTCACGCGGATTTTTTGGGTTTTTAATATTTTCACCGTCTCCGGGTGATTTTTGGATTTCGCTTAAAATATTGTTGTTTATTGTTGTTATTTTTTTTTTTATCCCAAACAACAACAAACGAAAAATGGCCGACAGCCTGGTGAAACCCGGACCGTCCGGTAAAAAACCGGTCGTGACGATCACGGCCAGCGCCGCGGCCAGCGTGACGGCGGCGGCCAGGGCGGCCATGAACAAAGACAAAGACAACGTTCAGATAAACGACGCGGTCAGCAAAGTGTTGCAAGGATACGACTGGACATTGGTGCCGGTGATGGCCAAGTAAGTACCCAATTCCGGATCGGTGTTTAAATGTTGTACAGTCAAAATTTGGGTGTCATGCGATACTTGAATACTTGAATTGAATTGATTGTATGTACAATTCTAGTATTCAAACACGGCTGCCGAGCAATACCTACGTACGAAGTGCTGCTAAAAATATTCGAATTGTAATTTTTAAAACATTTTCAAAATTCGTTGGACTTAAAAAAATGTGTATATTACCTAGGAAAATGCTCAAATAATAATTTTCGTTACCAAGTCGCAGAAGAGGCGCTAAAAAAATAGGGAATACGGTCACATGCTTATCATCAGTATTTCCAAAGTCAGCACAGGGTTTGGTATGTTTGATATTGTTTGCTTATTAAACACATTCTTTCGTTTATATATATAAAAAAAAAACATGATAAAATAATATGTAGTACTGGCATATGTTTTTTTTTTTTTTTATAATTTATACAATATTATTATATTACAAATTTAAAAACCTTAATAATTTTGTGTTCGATCAACTAGGTTTGTCCTAAGTGCTTGCGTATACATTTGTGATATGACTCATAAAAGTAATTAATACTAGTTTTCTTCAATGGCTGTGTGTTACCTGTGCCTAATTAAAATAGCAACAACCACACTAAACAAGTGATCAATATGAATCGCTAATAATTAATTTTAAGTATAATTATTGTACACAAACTACCTATAAATGGCATTTTTTTTTATAGAAATAACGAAAAACAGCGTGTTTTTAGTTTTTCATACGGCTTACCCTTTCAATCAATAAAAGCCTATTCAAAGAAATCTACACCATTTTAGATTCCTACCTAAACTCCAAGTAAGATAAGAACTTCCTCATGAATTTGTTTTTTCGTTAAATTATCTTAGAAAATGTTTCAATTTTCATTAAGTAAATTACAACTTGAAAAGGAATACACTTTTTTTTATGTACAAAATTACATTGATCTCATTTATTTACAATTACCTGGCTCCATTAATTATAATAATACTATCGTTTATATTTTGTCTCGTTTTATGAATTATCTTATGAAATTTTCAAAATCACAATACATTGAACGGAATTGATGTGTAGTACTTTTTTTTTTTTTTTTTGCTGAAACACTTGTTTTCAAACAACTTACAATAATATATTACAGTCATACCTATAACCTACGTTGGTTACGCCTAACAACAGCGGATCTCCAAGACCGTTTAAAATCATTGATCTTGCCCGCGATAGCGACGCAAATGTCGAGTTATCTAAAGGGAAAAAATGTCATTTTCCGCTATTATAATATTTTGATTTATGCGAAAACGTACACAACAGTAATGCGTTCGATCACTCACTACATTATTATTATTATTATTATATTATGTATACCGACCCTGGTAATAAGTTAGGAAATTATTTTCACGACGGGTAGGTCCGTGGACGAATTACAAGGGTGGAAAAGTGCTTGTGGCCGCAGAACCCATCCCCGGTGTGTCCGGTCTGACATGATAATAGATCCGCACCACTTAAGCCCGGACCCCCGGCCGACTTTCCCCTATTCGACAGTGTAATAGATGATTCTAGATTTTTCCCTATTTTTTTTTTTTTTTAACCTAATCATACCGTCAACGGTCACGGGACTTTTACGAAAATAATATCTGCCTCCTCCTTCACACACACACAGACCCAGAACTGCCGCCTCGCATTGCCTTTTGTGTATAACGCCAATTTTTTTTTTTTGTTCGTATCATCGTACAAAACGAAATTAATTGGACGGTCTGGATAACACACTATATACATATGTATATAATATATATATATAGGATTCACCCTCTAGATGAATAGATACTTAATTCGTTTTGGGGTTAGACCGCGTGGGCGTGAATTCAAAAGTCGACCCGCGGAAAAACGCGAGAAAAAAAAGGTCTTTTCATTAACGGCATTAACTTTAGTAATTAAAAAGGTCAAAACCCCCGTCGGACAGACGGTTGTCGACAGCATTTAATAAACCCGTACATAAGGGTTTGCATTAAAATACAGTAGCACCGGGTTCTGTTGGCTTCGCTAATCCACGTTAATCTTAACTCCGGCTGCATGATCATTAGCAAACATACGTCAACTTAGCTGCATTATGAATACACATTTCGGCGGCACGATCGAGGTGTCACATAGGCATAGACTATAATTAGCCAACCCTCGGGGTCTAGGAGAAAATATGCAGGGCACAAGAATAACAACGTTAATGGCCGTCAATTGTGTGTTACAAATTTATCATATCTCGAATGAAGAGTGCAAAAAGAGAGTTTTGGATTTTTAATTTTTTTCACTCTCGACAGCGCGAAAATAATTGGACACATCATAAACCGCGTTGTTAGCGTAGTGATTTTTGCATTTTCTTCTTCGTTATATTTTTTGCGATTGACCACACGATTCCTTTGTAGAACCACTGGACCGAGTCATTTATGTGTGACGTCATCGGTTGAAAAAATACCAATCTTTTCTACAATCGTACAACGAAAAAAAAAAAATCAGGCGGATTATTCGAGTTTAAACTTTGAAAACGAAACGACTTTTCGAAGAAAGGTAAAAAATAATTAAAAATGTATTTTATATAGTCGCGACGAGCGTCTTAGTGCGGTTCTATTAAAATATTATAGTCTTAAAGTGTAATCTCTTAAAACTTTTCGCGCTCACAGCTAAGGGAGTTCTGTGTTGTTAATTTGTTTTCTCAGCACAATCCTAAATGTAAAGGGCTTCTATTAATTAAACTAAATACAAGTATTTTCGCACACCTCTAACCCGTTGAAACGACAGTAAATTATAATAAGTACTTATTATTATCATAGATTCATTGATATGTTTGTAAATAAAAGTATTTCGAGTTGCCTGAAAGAACAATTATTGTATAATGTGCATAACATTTATTTTGCATTATATCAATTTTTAGTTATTATTTTTAACTCCAGCCTACTCCCACACCCAATAACTTGCTCCAAGTTTCGTTTTAATTAAATCATTGTGAAATACAATATACTGTCAGATACTCACGGCTCTAATTTAAAACTTTATTTGATTGACTCGGTGCAGGAATTTATGACACTTTATTCCCATTGGTATTAAAAGTTTTCTGACGGTGAATCATTAATAATCATTTCTAACGGTTTCAATAGCATGGAAATAGTTATTAATTCTGAAACCTATTTTACATATTTTTAGATTATAATTGCAATTTTTGCAATTATTAAATTTGTTATACAGTCTTAATTGATTTACCAAACCTTAACAAAACGTTTTGGAAATAGCTGAATGGGTTTAAAGTTTCCGAATTCACTAACGTATCGCATTTAAGTTGTAATAAGTTCTTAGTGTCTACTATAAAGAGATTTACATAATATAAAAAACTAATTAAAAAAATTACAAGTGCATTCATTTGTATGACGACAACGAGTTATTCTAGATAACGATATGTCATCTTTGATAAAAACGTTCATAAAAATTAATTTAATTATTGTATATATTGTGAACGTATATTTTGTTCAAGATTATAATTCAGTTAAATATCTACTACTAAATTTGTTTTTATATTATTATGTCAAAAACGTTGTATTTTTTCAACTTCATGCAATATACTTATTAAACCAAAGAGTTCTACTCTGGGAATAAATGGGCACATCACACCACCTACCTGGGATGGTATTCAATTGGCAGTCACGTGCCACAAAACCTTTGGGTCAATACATTTTATCGGTAGTAACTAACAAGTAATGAAATATAAAACTCATATAACACAAAGCGTTCTTTGACCTTTGAGTTATGATCATAAAGTTTTCAAAAGACTTCAGTCGAACTTTGTTTTTGTTGAGATAATTCTAAAAAGGAGGAATTTACACTTTGACCGTATTAAAGTTCTCGGTTGCTATGTGAGAGTGGATCAACAGTCTTGGATCTTAAAAATAATTGTTCTATATTGTTGATTTGATAGGTAACAATGGCAACTAACCTAATGTAACCTAACTTAACCTAACAAAAACTAAGTAAAGCACAATTTGAACATATACGTTGGTTCTTATAATGATTTTCTTACTTATACCGTAAAACATCTACAGATTCAAAATCATATGGTAAGGTTGGATTTATACAACCGTTAAAGGCGGCCGATCAACTCTAATCGTATCCTCCCTATAACACTAAAAATGCCATTCTAAGCACATTATTGTCATAACAATGCATTTATCGTTATTTATTATTTCTACCATGTACGCTGATTCGCATTGAAGCGTTTATTTGAAAGTTATCTTACGCCCTATTTCTATTTGTAATCAGCTATCATTTAACAATTATTGTCATGTGTACATATTTCAGTGATTATTATCATCAAGTATATTTTGATGTTAGGCTTTCACTTTTTACCCCCTTTGAGTATGTGTTATATTGTTAAATTTCCTACGGAAATAGGTAAAACACAATTGCTTGACGTATAGCAGACTAGGCTGGGAGTGATTATGTATTGAATATTAATTTGGAACGTTTAAGTCACGTTGAAAATATATACATAACAATAGAGTGGCGTTTTGGGCGAAGAACGTTTTGAAAGCGGCCATTTGGTAATATTCATATAGGCACGAAGGGTATGGCGTTAACTCTAGAGATGTTTCGCCTTTTATTATTGGCTGGACAATATATTTTGTTAAAAAAAGTAATAAATGTGTTGTGTATTCGTTGAAAAATGATCTAAACGCGACCGCGCCGCGGTTTCCAAGTACGTGTACAAGGGTAATATTATAATATATTATTTTTTTTTAACAATATACAATTTACCGCCTTTGTTCGTTTTATAATATTTTTTATTTGTCATAATCAAAAACGATAGATAATGTATCGCGGCAGTAATAATAACAACAACAACAAAAAACAAACTGTACGGTTATCGAAAAACTTTAAACGTAAACACGGTTTGTTGTTTATTCAATGAACTGCTGGTGCTCCATTGCTATTGTATTATTATTATTATTATTAAGGCGGAGGGTTAAAAAAAAGAAAGAAAAAAAAACTTGTAGCCCTTTATCGCTGGACCACGTGCACGTGCGTTCACAGCTCTGAATGAATAATTCCGGTATTTACGATCGGACCGAGTAATAATAAGAATAAATTGTGTGTCGGATGTGTCTCTTAACACGAAATTAGCTGAGTCGGTCGCGTTTGGAATATTGATGGTCATGACGCGACACTCGGCGACCAGATAAAAATTAACAAAATATTTTACAGTATTTTTCTCCCTTGTCTTACCTTGTCCTCCCATCTCACAGTACTCACACTCTTTTCGGTTAAGATATTTTTGTGTTGGGCATATTCTCGTGGGCGTCGATCACAAACACCGCTATCAGGCCGCCGTTACTGCTGATTAATATTTTGTCATTTTCAACGTACCATTCCATATACACACACACACCGCATCGTAGAGTCATTATTATTATTATTATTAAAAACGTCCTGTCCAATTGAAATCCACGCACGTCCCCGGTCGTATTATCTCCCCGAGAGATTTCCGGTCGTTCCTTATCTTCCGGTAGGGCGGACGCCGCCGTTGTTGGCGCTAGACGTTTCATTTTGCACGCATTTGCATTACACTGTGAATTAATCGTGATAGGAAAAATTTTCACAAGCCCGCAAATTCAATAATATCTTAGTGCTGCTCGTCGCCATATAACGTTGTAATATAATAATACGCGGGCTTTGGTCCTACTTCGAATGTAATGGTTATTTTCAGTAAAATAAATATTATAATAATTGTAGCTCACATCACGAGAACTGCCAATACAAGTGTAATTAATGTGTAAAAATAACGTTGTCGTGGACGTTTGATGTTTGCCTTTGGCAATTGTAATAACTAATAACCGGTCAGGGTATGCACAGCAACTGAATCGTATAAGATACACTACAAAACCTTCGAATAACAACGGTAACCCAACCTAAACAAAATCTGCGATACTTAAATGTGTTAAATAATGTTTTACTAAATACTAATAATTTTTCACAACTGACGGTAAGATACCGCGCTGTAACGATATTGCTAATATTTGTTACATTTAAAAGTAAGGACTTGTATTATTAGTGCAACATGTGATTTTGTATAAAAAGAAAATAGCAATTAGTTGTGTTATTTGTACCAAAAGGCTAAACGGGCGGATTGACCAATAGATACTGTTGGCACAGCGCTTATGGCCTTAGGCTAACGACAGAAACTACGTTAAGAAATATTGAGGCAATACAGTCATATAGTATAGCACAATGTCCGGTTGAATATTGTATTAAATTATATTTTGTAAAAAATATAGAAACAAACAATAAAAAATAATTAGGTACTTTAAAATAAAATACATCTATCATAGTTTAATGTATTCAAGTGTAATGTTTATAATGTAGGTAGTATGTACACGCCATGTGTGAATTGTAGTGCTAGGAAACATTAACAGGACTAGTTGAACAGTAACAGGTGTTGACTTGAGATATGTAAAGCCAATTGTCCTAGCCAAATTACTAAACTTAACTGTTCGCACATTTAAAATACAGTTCAGCTATTCAATTGCGTTGATTATTGTAAAAATAACTGCAAAAGTGAACCAAGTCCATTTTTTTTTTCACGATGTGAGGTTTTTAGCGCAAACTAATAACATCTTTCAGTGCCACTGGCAACCGAGTCCTTAGTTCATCTCAATTCTGCAAAATGGCAACATGTAAACTGCATTGTACCGTACGGTAGATTACTTCTGGAAATCAGCTGTGATGGACTTGATTCACTTATATTCCGAACCCTTCATTCAAATATAATATAAAAGTTATAACACGGCATGATTTTTACAGCAAAAAAAGTAATATTATTGCATTTGCTGTTATTACCGTCGGCGAACTATTAATCATCGTTACGGACTGGAGGTGCTGATAATAATTTATGAGGCCTATATGGAAGCAATATTAGTTGACCGTATAAATAAAATACTAGTATTAGCCCTCGGATGGTTTATCGACCCTTCAGCCTATTCGCGTGCGTTTTTACAAGAAAATATTATACAATATAAATTACTAATACTTACGGTGTAATCAGTTTTGAGAAATGGCCTGGTTCTCAAATCATTTGGTTGTTTCGAAAATAAAATAACAAATTACCGGTGAAAAAAAAACCAATAATGTTCTTGCAATATTGTGCGATCTCGTGGTAGGGTCTATGTATACATTTCATTAACACTACCTGTTAGACAGCCTTTGACAATAAACGGCTTGTTGACTCAAAAGACTGCGTACGACAGACATCCATTTCGAAAATAAAAAATGAGTCTCCCATTCACCTATCCGAATTAACATAGTGTTATGTTGCTTGTCGCCGAAAGAATAATATCTGTTGGGAAACAGAAAATAATGTATTACTTTTGGACACTCGCCCATTTTTGGTTCTTGCGGCCGTTACGGCAAGCACAAGGGAAGATCGTATCGGGGCACCGTTTTAGACCGACCTGTGGGTTGTATTATTTTTAAATGAAAATTCGAAAACAGCAAAACGTACGCAATTAATTTTAAACGGTCTTACGACCCGTGAAAAATATTCCAATTAATTTGTACAGATAAGAGCAAAAAAAAAAAAAAATAGCCACATGAGTTCAATGAATATCCTGTAGAAAAACAACAACATGATATTATTAGAACAGTGAAATTCCTTGATATTGGCCAGACTTCGAAGGGTTGAAAACGGTCCGTTACTGGTTCAACCACCGTACTAGTACAGGCAGAGATATTATGAATATATTTTTTAAAACACTTTGTAATGCATGTAATTAATAGTTGAATTCTTAGCGTATTTCCAGATGAGTCAAGTTTGGAGAAAAATGACTCCTTACATAAGTTCCTATTTTACCTTTTGTCTCCTAAAACCGTGCTCTCGATCAATACGTTGCCCCTGTAATAATGTTCTTCGCAGTACAGTTGGTAGAGCCTCATAAAAGTATTATTATAGTCACTGAATTGTGCTTGGACGGTATAACAAAGAACGTTATAACATATAAATAAGTTTCGTTACTTTATTTGCTATATGGGATTTTTTTAATGGTCATTAATCATTATTAGTTTTCAGGGTAAAGAAATAATTTTCGGTACCTATTTTAAAATCAACCCATACTAATTTGGCAACTAGAGAGGTTATCGGGCCAAGGGGTTTATTTTGCGATAGTAAAGAAAAATCATGTTCATCAATTTATATGTTTTTGGGATCACTGAATTAAAATGTTGTATAATTTATATTTATATAATTACAAATCTAGGTAGAGTGATTTCTTTAATTCCAAACAAAAAATTCATATTTGTAAATAATTTATTATATGTATATATAAAATATATTTTAGAAGTGAGCCATAATTGTGTCAGTATTTCACCTTAAATTTAATCATTACAAGTATTTGCAGCTAATTTTTTTTTCGTTTATTTACATATTTTTATTGGCCGTTCATTATTTTCAGACCACCTTCCGAAAAGAAAAGCTCTCACGTCAAGAGACCTATGAACGCCTTTATGGTCTGGGCTCAAGCCGCTCGTCGCCAACTGGCCGAACAGTATCCACAACTTCACAACGCCGAACTCAGTAAAACGCTCGGTCAGTTATGGAGGTAAGTTATACAATATCAAAGTGATATTTAACCGACCCGTATAACATTGCTGACCTCAATACCGACAATGTTATTTAATCATTTTTTCTAAGTTATTTGTAATTTGATTCGGTTACTCTTAAGTGGCGTGAGACTTCAAGTTCAAAATTTATAATTAATTACTCGAAGCTAGTTGGAATTTTCAGTAAATTATTCTTAATTTGAAAAGTTAACAAGCCATGTTAATAAGTAACCATTTAAAAAGTTCTTAAAGTCTTAGCACATAACGGATGAGGTTATATTTTTGGAAAACAAATCAAAATTGGATGAACTTTATTGACTATAAAATTATAAAAAATAATAACTTTGAAATGTCTATTATCTTTAATGTTATCGACGACTGGGTTATGCTATATTAAACTAGAACGCAATGATATTATTTCACTAGTGAAATTTTGTTTGTTCAGCATTATCGCTATCAAAACTATACATGTTCATACAATATATTAGACGCACAATGTTGCCATGTTATCTCGTGATTTTTGTTTTAATTTTGCGCCACTATCGCCGTTGTTGGCTCTACGAGTAAATGTCAAACACTGGGATAGATGTGTATTTATTCAAGTTTTAACAATTAAAATAAGGAAACGGCCGGCTTACGTGTTTGTGTATTATTAAAGTCACATCAATTAATTTGCGCGTTTAACTGTATAAACGGTTTTACGACATGGTATTATCTTTTAAAATCCGTATTCTATATATTGATCACCTATAGCGATAGCCGAGAGGGTAAACACGGGCCGATTCATTAATCAAACACAAGCTGGATAATATTACAATATTATCGTTTATTTAACGATTAAACGCGATCACTTAAACACTGCTCTACAACTGCGTGCTATGGTAATTCATTTTCTGAGTTACTTTATTGAGTCAAAGAGTTAGGCGTTATTCCACTATTTATCGATCCCTCAGATCCCCATGCAATCTTTAACTGATTTTTAATATTCTTTATAATAATTTGATTAATACAGAATAAAAAACCGTAGCTTTCAAACCATTAAACAAAACCTTCTCGATTTCACGTCTGAGCTAAAAAAATGTTTTGTCAAATTTAAATTGCTTTCATTAAAATATATTTCCAATTACACCAATCGCGTGTATTTCAAATAGTTTTTTTTTAATAACGTCTATATTTTTCTATTCTCCAATTATAGTGCGTACAATAATTAGACAATTTTTAAAATATTAACAATTTTAAAAAAAAAGGTCATAATAGCCACACCGGTCGTGGCCTGATAAGACTATGTTTACCCGACAATCAAACTAGCAATTATTTCCACTTTTCATAATATTACAATATCGTGTCATTATCATTATAAACTTACTCGATTATACAATACGTTCTTGTTTAGTTTTTTTTTTTGCAACCAATCATTTGTAATTTTTGTTTTACCGCTAAGTATACACCATTATAATGTTAGTTTCTTTTTTCTTTTTACAGCATGACTTATATAGAGCCATATATGTATAGTGTACACCGAGTGATTATTTTTAATTTAACGATCAGAATAGAATTCAGCATTAAATTGGTTAGACCACGCGGCGTACTGCTGACCGTGAATTTTTTAACAGGGTATTATTTTTTTTTAACATCGATGCGAAGCTGAGTAGGTATTGTTTTTACAGAGATGTGTTTTTGCGTCTGGACCCACGATTTCTTTTAAACCGCTGAACAGTTTTGTTGTTGTTAAGTAAGTCTGTAGATCATAAATCGTGCCTAGCCGGTATTATATTGGGCCAAACATAAATCATCCACCCCTTACTCTTCGAAATCGATAAAAACGCCTAAAAAATGCAAATATTTACCAACTATAATTTAGGCGCGCTGTATAACTTTTTGTAAAAATAGTCGAATTATTTTTAAATTTGTATGGAATATATTTTAGACATAGTACCATCGATGAAAGATGATTGATTAAAAAATTGTATCTCTTTTAATTATGATAATCCCTGAAAATCTGTGATCTGTTTTGGTAGATTCAGGTACTATTAGGATCGGATTGTATATGTACATAATAGGAACACTCTGGAAAATTGCCACGGACGAACCTTTTTTAGTTTTTATCGGCAATCCCTTTAATGGAACCCTATGCCGTTTTTGGCACGCTTTATCACTAGTTTCTAAACTTAATATTTTAACATTGCATATTCGGTTACAATGCAATATGATTATTATGGTTTGCATATGCTCTACTAGCCACTCCAACAACGCCGTTTACACAGATACGCTATACAGGTTACAGTAGTGATAACAGATAATATAACACTAGTATTTGGATTGTATCATGTACACACTGTATCAACTATCATAATATACTTAATAATAATCCTAATAATGTGTACTGTAGGGTTAAAAAGTAGAGTGGTGTTTTAGACTCATGGAATCCATCATACAACCAACATTAAATCAAACATATATCGTAATCTTTGTACTGAATACATACATACACATAGGTATAGGTGTAATTAGGTTTGAAGTCAGTACATGTAACCAAAGTGCGACATGACAGTTATTACACATAAAGTAAAGCAGCACATAATTTATAAATAAGCTTGCGTCGAAACGTTTCGTTTGACGAATCTAACTTTGGAAAATATCAATAGCATATTATAATTTTTAATCTACTCTATTTGATAAAGATGCTACTGGAGTATAAAACTGTCTAGCAAAAAAAAAAAAAGTCCTGGTGTGTTTACCAACACAAGAAAAAAAACAATATTGTTATCCTAATACTTTTTCAGCTTCGTTTTAAATCTCATAATACTTAAACTCGTAAACTATTGCAGCTTATATATTCGGTTAAGCTCTTAAGTGCCTTATACTCAAAGTTAAATTAAAATAGTTTCGAAGGTAAGAACTTCACTGTACAGTAAATACTTAATAACCTCTAAAAAATAGTACATTATTATACACTTCCAACGGATTGTAGAAAAATTAAGATAGAAAACACGTTTATGTATGAGATCGAACAATTATCTAAAAACAGAATAAAATTAAAAAAAATCCCAGTGGTTTTGGTTATGCAATAAACAGTGAGAAACTTATTTGGAAATTAATTAAAATAGCAGGAAATCGTATAAATGTTTTTTTATCTGGTTAGCCAAGCAGGTTAATTAAAAAAAAAAACAATACAAACTTTATAATGGTAAATGTTCACTGTATCAAAAAATACCACCATATATTTTAATATAAGCGAGGGTTAGCTGTAATTTTTCATTGCCAGTTCTGCAGTGACGTAGTCAGTCTTTTTTTTTTTTTCGTTCATTAATTATTACTTTTTAAGCTGGTATTTACATAATATACACGTTTTTGTTCCCGCCTCGTTCAAGTTTCGCAAAATTGCGAGTATCGCATACATATATATATATATATATTATAATATTACTCTTCCTGCTCTAACGATCCGTTTGTGCCTACATACATACATAATGTTCTGTAGTAATGCGTTTTCATTGTTGTAAAAATCATAATATAATACTAATAACCGTTAAAACAGTAGACACTTAAACAAAACAAAATATCGTTACAAGGGTCACATAATACGACTGAACAATAATTATCATACAGAAACGTTTCGTTTTGGATATGAGTAAAATATGTTTTTGACTTTGCTTCATTGTGACATATTTTTCAAACCACTGAATATCCACGTTGATGGATTTGAAAATATTACAGGTTCCTCGTTCAAGTATGCCTAAGTAGTGTCACATTATTAAAATAATAGAAAAAAAATCTCCAGGTAGTCGATCTCATAAAAAATAATCTTATACGAAACTCCAATAATATAATATATTCTGTTACAACTCATGTATTTTAAGTTACTTAACAAAAAAAAACTTCAACAAAAACATATTTTTTTTTCTTTTATAATGAGTTTAGGTAAATGTTTGTTTTCTATAAACAATTCACTAATTTGTAAAATTATTTAACTTAATGTCAATAAAATAGATTAAAAAATTATCAATTTATTGTAATTATAATATAATATGTAAAATAATTTTTCTAATGATATTGGAAAATGTTTTTAAGCAGAAGTTTATTTTCACTTTATTTAATTGTCTAGCCCTTTACAATATCCCCACTCCCTCTCCAGATTCCGTTCTTAGCTCTCAATCCATCCCTTATGTTTGCTCTTCATTATCCTTACTTCTGGTGGCCGGTCTTATGATTCAGCTTTTTTGTAAAATATTGTATTCTCTTTTCATTGTGTTCATTTTTATTTTATAACAATATTGTTGTCTTATGCTATTATTCTAATTGTTGAGCTATGTGTTTTTGTTTAAATAAAAGCTATACAAAATTAAACAAACTTTCATTTTTTAGTTTCATCTACGATTAACGATGGCCGACTGAGTAAAAAAAAGTCATGTTGACAATATAACAACTGTAACATATTACGCTCGATGGTGAACTCCTGAAAGCTAACCTATTTTTTTTTTTTTTTACAATCTGTTGAACCGATTTAGGTGTCAACGAAAAACGCGTTTCTATTTTATTATTCAGTCTTCACGTCCACGGTGCCCCGTACAGTAATGGACTTTTTTTTAAACAACGCTTCTATCCCGTCTGACATTAGTTTAATTTTTTATTCTAACCGACTCTTCCGCCGTTGCAATGGACCGTAAAATATTCATGTTAAACCGGGAAAGGTCGTACCCCGGAGAGCCCCGAAAGAGACACTCCCGCTCGTTCAATTAGTCGTTCTCTCGCATCATGTACACATACATGCGCACACTTAAAGTCTATAAAGAGTGTATATATACATATTATAAGTGTATACACACAAACACAGGCAGACATAATAACATGAGGTGTGCCGGATATTCCACCGGGAAGCATCTGGGACGACGGATCGGACGTGCGTTTAATTGTCCGTCCATTTCCAACCCTAAACACGTTAACCCTTTGGGACTATGTCGAATATAACATTTACACATACATAATAATACACTACCCCACGCCCCTTGCAGTAGCGGTGTACAACAGGTGTTCGAAACGTGCCACAACAAAAAAAAAATGTCAATAAATCTCCGTCGGCAGCCGAAAGTCTCGACCTTGTCCATACCTCTTTCTTTTTACATTTTTAGATAAGACTTAAAAAAAAAGTAAATTTAGAGTTTCGATTTCGTCTGTCGTATAACGCCGACGCAAAGCGGGAAAATTGATAATTTTATGATAAATGACGTTGTTTTTTTGAAGTTTGCGCCAAACTCCAAACCTTAACCCGACCAAACTTTAACCAGCTATCGCTTCTCATCGACGACGGTTTGAAACCTCAACTCGTATAATTATAATGTTTCAACGACGGTGGTCCAGCCGTAGTCTAGGCGAGTAAAAAATAAGTTACCATAGTTCGGATTTTGCACGTTATGAGTAAGAAAAATAGCACAGTATTTTTTATCGAAAAAACTATTAAATACATCTATTGTGTATTGTATTCGAGATTTTTTTTTTAATGATTTTTAACATAATATATTATTATAATATGTATAACCAATTCCAAATAATTATAAGTCGATTTACCCTGATTGTACTAGCTCCCAGATGGCAAAGTTTTATTTTTATACTGTACATATATATATATATATATATATAGAGTCAACTTTTGAGCTTTGACACATGTTAACTATTTTTGCCAATTCACTGCAGTTGCTAATGTGCACGTGTCCCGTACATGTGGCTAATGAAAGGGTTTGAACAATTGGATTATAACATAAGTATTTTAGTCTCCTAAACTAACCCCGATTAGTCAATATGGCTGTGTTTCTACTCTTAGCCAAGTTTAGAACAGTATTTTTTAAACGATGATATTCTCTTTTGTATCTACTCTTCTAGTTTATTACAACCGTACAAACTGTCCGATTGCACTAATCTGAATGTAGTCAAATCATAAGTAATATCTGATTATAAAATGTATTTATATTCAACTGTTAGTTTTAACTTACGCTTTAAAAGTAAACCAAATGACAATTTCATCAAAAGTATATGTGTAATAATGTTTGTGAACGTCGAATGGACGACATTTATCAGAAGGAAACAAGTCCACGTCAGTAAATCGAGGTCAAAGTTAAATCTAAAATATGTTACTGCAAATCCAAATGCCTTCGAATAAGTTTCGTTTATTTTTTTATCACACATTTAATTTGTAGTTCGCATATTTTCCATCCTAAAAAATATTCTGGCTAAAGTCCCGTTTAAAACCGCTCTTAACTAGTTTATCATAGTTTTATGGACTGGTACCATTCTGATAAATGCCGTCCAACTACTAAACAATAATAATTAGATGGCAGCCGATTTTTTTTTAATGAAGGTACGATAAATGGTTAGTGGTACGATAGGACTTTAATGAACGTCTTGTCCTATTTCCGAATGGCCGCCAGACGTTTTTTTTTTCTCTAAATCTTTAAGTACATAATATTTATATATATTTTTTGTTTTGAATTTATTTTTTAGATTACTCAGCGACAGCGACAAAAAACCATTCGTCGAGGAAGCCGAGCGATTACGAGTGATACACAAAAAACGATATCCCGATTACAAGTATCAGCCTCGTAGACGCAAAACGCCTAAGAACGTTAACAAACCGGATAAATGTCAACAGGATAACACTGAGCCGAACGAACACCAATATCGACAGCATAAAAAACCCGACAACGGCAACAGGTAACGTTATAGGTGATTGATGTGCGTCTAACATGATGACAACAGACTAGTAATTAATTATGTTATCCGTAATTCAATAAAAAAATAACTCATAAACATATAACCCCTATTCTTATACCTCCATAAAAATATTACATACTTTTAATCGTTAAGGGCCTCTAAACTAGCATTTATTAAGGCGCATTGTATAGGCAATTTTTCGCTTAAACTCAACACGCTAAGCCAAAATGTTTAAACATACATATTACCATAGGAAAGAAGCAACTATTTTTATAATTTTTTTTTTTTTCAACTTTTATAACGCATATAGGATCTATTTTTTTTACAAAAATATTATTAATATGTTTACAATAATTGTTTCTACTTCAAACGTACTGTCCTTAAGGATAGGTGCATCAAAAGCAATTTTTAACATTTTTAAACTGAAATAATTAATTAACTGAAAATAATTTTAAAATTGCGCCACGACTAGATGCTTTGGAAATGTTTTGAAGAACTCAAATATTTTTTCAAAACTCAAATCGGAGTATTATTAGGAACAGTACGTTTGAATTAGAATGAGTTGTTTTCGGCCAAAAATATGCAGAGAAATTAATTTTCATTTATGTAAACTTTTCAAGAAACAATTTTTTTTTTAAAATTAAGGTAATTAAAATTGTATAAATGAAAAAACGCTTAGTATTCGCAATATTTAGGTCAGTTATAAATTATGTATGCGAGACCGATTTGATTTGTTTAACAACCTCATTTGAAATGAAACGAGTCGGTTTACGGATTATTGATTATTTTTGTACAGGATGAGCACCAAATGCGAGCCGGTCAATAACTCTAAAAAAAAAATTAATTTATCTTTATTGATAATTTATACAAAAAAAAAACATTTTTTCTACTTTAACTTCAAATTATGTGTCAACTGTATAATACAATATATTTTTATTAAATGTGGTGTACATCGAGAACATCATCACGGTTGTTTTACTATAAATCGATATAGCGGTAATGATAATGTTAAAGTGGTTTCTTTTTAATAATTAAAAGAAATATATAAAAACAAATTGGCTCTTGTCATCCGCCAACTATATTTTGGTGTAAATCGAATAAGTGAAATAAATAATAATTGTTTTATCTTACTATATTTTTCTAGTTTTTAATATGATTTTTAACGGTAATGGGTATAACGGTACTGCGATTAGAACTAACCAAATTTCGTTATAGGTACCTACATATTTTTGGACTAATGCATTTTCTTTTCTAACTTGTTCGTATGATTTGATTGGTTTGGTTATACGGAATATTTATTTTGTATCATTTTTTAGCTCTAGCGGCCGGTCTATCAAACAAGAAATAGTCACCACCAGCTCCCCGTCGATTAGCAACAGTCCAACCGGTTCGCCGTCAGACCCGCTGACTCCACCCACTACTCCCAATTATTATCCGGCCAAACCTCCCAGGAACAGTTACTGCAACACACCATACAATAATAATTACGGTAAGACTATATCATGTGAATCCATGAATGAATGGAAAAAACTATTAAAAAAAAAAAAAAACAATTTTATAAACCGGGTTACTTGATTTTTAAGTTTTCCTCAAAAAAAAAAAGAAGAAAAATGTTAAGACAGATTTTAAAAATTGTTCTCTAATAAAAAAAAATCCTTGACTTTTTATTTTGAGAATAATACACTGAACGTCCAGTTTAGATTGGAAAATGTATTATATTTTAAAAACTAACGGAAATATTTTCAAATAATTAAAAAACACATTGTTTCTATTATTTCCAAAAATAATGTGTCTCTCGTTAAGTTGAAAATAAAATAAATCAGAAATATCAACAATAAGTAAATAAGTCGACAATATTCAATTTTATAAGAACTACACTTGTCTTGTTCGGTTTTCCTTAAAACAAATTGATTGCGTATGCTTCGATGACACAATAGATACTTTCAGTTTCCTGTTTGTTTTTCCAGCCTCAAATATATATATTTTTTAAGATAATTCAGTAAATGATTTTGTAGCTTCGCCGTGGTTCTCTGATGGTATTGTTTTTTTGCAATTATGTGTTATTATCATATTTTTGTGTCTGGACATACTAAAAAGTAATTTTAAACAAGTGTTTGCCTCCACAATACAGATTTCCTTGCGTTATCGAATTTTCGAATTTTTTATTAATTGCTTAAATATTAATATAATCTTGTTTTTTGCACAGCAGAAGCCGCCATCGACTACAGTTTGGATTTTGGCCGGATGGACGATCTGCCGGCCGTGGAGTCCATAGGGGCCGACATGGTGGACAACTCGGAACTCGACCAATACCTGACACAATACCCGTCCACTTCCGGTGCGTGGGCGGAACCGGATCAGTACTACCACCACGGCAGGTATCACGAACTCCAACCTAACGGCGCGGCCGCCGCCAGGCCGATCCAGAACTTCTCCGAATGTCAAACTCCTTTTTCACCCTCGTATCAGTACGTGGTGAACAACTATAATTGAACATACCCGCTGGAAAAAAAAAATAAAACACTAATTTTGTTTTTAAGACTATGTCCGGTGAAAAAAAAAATACAAACAAAAAAACTGTCAAGCGAGCTCGATAAACGTATGTACGCGCTGTAATTATTTTTTTTATTTTTAATATGTGTAAAAAAAAAACAAAATGTCCAATCACCGCGTGATAATGTTATACAAATCAATAGGTGCGATATAATATTATAATTAATATTTTACAGTATGTACAATATATTATTATTATGTATTAAGCACCGAATGTGAAATTTTGCTCAATTCACGAGCTGGCTTGACTGCGGAAATAACAATAATTGGGTTGTACAATTAAATATCAGTTTTTTTTTTCAATTGTATGGGCGATGCAATAATTTCACGAACCAGGCATAATACATTTTATACTCTCAGTAGGATAAGGATAATTTTTTGTTTACAGTAATTTTAAAAGCCATATTATTGGAAATAAATGAGATTCTAATATCTGCGTTGTTCGTTACACGAATTTAGTATAAAAAATGGCTATGATTTGTGAAACTACTTCAACGCCTGTTCGGTCCATGGACTGAGCACAACATCATATTATGGATAGGATGTATATACATTACAATATAATAGTTTGACTGATAGTGGCAAGGACTTATAATTGTTTTTAAGAAAAAAAAAATGATTACATTATAAATAATAATCTTAAAAAGAAACTATATTGAAATAAATATATATATATATTATTTTTACATGTGTATCTATGTATTTGAGGTAATAAAATATGTTATATTATTATGATTTATAATTACTATTATTATTTGCATACCTATACATTAAACATTATTACTATTGTGTATCGATTGTAACGTTTCTAAGGCAGTATTATAAATTATTAGACTGGCGGAGCCAGACGTCTTTTATTGGCTGGACAAAAAGCTGATCACGTGTAACGTTTAAAAAAAATAAATAGATTTTCAATTACTCAACCGAGGTTGTGGCGGGACATCTCTCGACCGTTTTCCTGCACTGCCAAATTAAGTAATGGTAAGAACATTCGTTGAATGATTTTTCATTTAATGGAAAACATTTAGAAGACCATTGAGGCAACACAAAGTTGAAGTGGGCAGCTTGACCGTCTATAACTCATCTCGTCGGCCGAGCGCCATTATTAATTCCTCGAAAATATGAAATTCTGATAATACTTAATAAATTGTGTTAAAATTATATTATTACTATTTATCGAATAACCCCACAAGTTTTATGCGGAGTGATATCAAGAAATCTGGGCAAATACCGGTGGAGAGGCGTTCACACGGCACACGACTGCCTAAATAATATAATTATATCTCATTAGCTCCAATAACGTTCACCTACGCACCGCATACTATTCCAGATAAGCCGACTCGAAACCACCGGGCACCTATAAGAGTATGTAGTATAGTCTGTGGGAGTGCAGCAAATGCATGAGAAACTGAAAAATTCCTTAAATATATTTATGTTATACTATAATATGATCACAGCTGATATAGGTCATGACGGTGTTTTTTTTTAAATTTTTACTCGAAACAATACGTACATATACAAGCCTTATATTATGATAACATAAAAAAATATTTGCGCCGCTTAATTAAATCGGTTAGGTTAGGTACCGTGAGAAATTTGTGTTCGGCAGCCTGTGAAACATAAAATAATATACGCCGAGTTGTCTGAGATCATAATAACAATTACAGTAAGTTGTTATCCGAATTTAGACACTAAACCCGTTGAACGATAAACAAAATAATCAATCGGAGGTGATTCGATAGCGCGGTAATTGTTATTGTCAAAACAGTTTTGCATTGAACGTTGTCGACGTACCGTATACGAATAACAACATTGTAAATTTATAATTATTATTTATGTACACGTTTAATCGTCAAATAAAATATATTTGACCGTTCGCGAGGCACGCAAGTCAAAGAATGGAAAAAAAAAATAAGCTGATTTTTTCGGTACGACTTTCATTTTTATTTTTTTTTATCAATACAATCGATGTATCGCACAGAGTCCGTCGCCCAAGTAAACATTAATGGTCGCGACGCCTATGGTTTGTTTGTGTGTGTGTGTGGTGCATTTGGCGAAGAAATAAAAACATAATTTTTAGTTTGACCACACACACAAGTTTTACAACTTTGGCGGCGGTACAACGTTAAAAGCCCAACATCGATCCGGAAGGGCCGCGGCGGTTCCGGTGTGTGTAGTCCTCGAGAATGTCCTTAGAGAATACAGTGCCGGCCGGCAGGAAACACCGTTGTATATTATATGCGTACACGTTATACGATCCTATGTGATATTTACGAGCTAGATAATTTTATTTAAAGCGTGTGGTTGCGGCGAAGGCCACAGTTTGTTTCGCCGTGTGTAAATGTTTGCACCTAAGTAGTGCTAGTTTGTCACACGCTGAACGCGTTTCGGAAGCCGCAAATAAATTGGCCGCCGCGGCTTTAAAATGTTAAAAAAACACCTAGAAATTGACAACGGTCAGTGTTTTCTTAATAATAATATAATAAAAAAAAAAAAAAAAAATACGGACATTTGAGAACATTGCCCCGTTATAGAGATCTCACAACGATGCAAACATTTTGAGTTCATTAAAATCAATTTATTTTAGTTATTAAAAAATGAATATTTTTTGGACGGTTTCAGGTCCAACAAAGAAAAATTGAAATGGAGCGAAGTTAATATGTTTATTAAGGGCTGAGAGTATTTGGTAGTTTTACTTTGGCCGAATATTTTTCTGATAACCAATGTCATTATTACATTTGAACTTTTGACCCTTTTCGGTTACATGCTACTAAATAGTTTTAAGTATACAGTATCGCGGTAACACGGTTTTAATTCCACATATTATTCCGTATATTTAAAGATTATTATTATCATAATAATATAATAATTATAATTATCATCGGGTAACATAGTATCCATTGTCAGTGAGTACCATTTCTTAAGTAAAAGTAGTTTTTCGATTTATTAGGTTACATTGCGTGCTTAAAGACAAGTGCAATTAGTATCAAGTACAATAAATTACATACAATAATCACATTTGATATAGCTAAGCCATTAATTGATGAGCAGCATTCGTGGACAGTTATACAAATGGAATATTATTGTCGGGCAAATTTAGAAACGAAAATACAAAAAACTTAATAAAGAATGATAACACGACGGGTAAAAAAAAATATTTCCCTATTAAGTTTCAGGGTTGGCGAAACAATTATTTTTAATTGCTACTACCATAACGGAATCCACTTTGAACTGTTGCCGTTAAAACCGTGTAACTATAAAGTGGAGACGAGCGAAAGGGAGAAAAAAAAAGGGCTTAAGTTCTTACAGAAATATTGTATTTCTTTATAGTGTAATAAAAAGGATAAAGAGCTCTGTGCAAATGTCCCCCGGGCGTTGTCTGAGTGCTCATCATTTTGCGCTTGTGCAATGGAAGACAACGCTTAAAGTCAACGAAACACAATCGGCTCATCTTTGAGAATAACAAAAATATTATTATATTATAATAATAATGTTGAAAACGTCTTTAATGGTGATCATTTGAATGGTTTTGCTGTTTAGCCAATAACAAATTTTTATTTATACTATTTTTATCACAGTTCAGTAGAAAAACAAAATGTAGAGAATTGTTTTTTCTTCCTTTAAGAGGATCGCTCCGAAGTTGGCTCTGCAATTGAGTCCGAAATGTCAGCATAAAATGTATTACATGGATACATCCAAAAACTATCCGCATAATAATATTTCAATTCAATGCAAGCTTTAACACAATCATATAATTCAATTGATAAAAAAATGTATGCTTACAATTTTTAATGTTGTTAAAATATTATAGAAACATTCCCAACCATATGACAATATTTGATTCTTATTTGATATTGTTCATTAATTGTATAAGAAGTATAATACTGTATTAGTTTAACCCTTGAATGGTTTATTCAGACCCCGTGCGACCGAATAAAGGTCAATAATAAAAATAAGGTTTATAGTTTATAAGAATTTAAGTTTTATTGTTTAAATATTTTCTCTTGGTTTATTTTTTAATTAGCAATTATTGCGCATTAGGCACTCTATGGACTCTACTATTAGACCTTGCACTCAGTTCGGTATACCATTATCACTAATTATTATAAAACGTCAAATACATGTTTAACAGGGAAACGAGCCAGTGCTGCATTTGTTTAGGCGCTATAAAGGCCATAGGGGGGTTTATAATTTATACCGTTAACGAATAATGTATAAATTACAAAATAAATACAGCAACGTACGATAAATTACAATTTAATTAAGCTCGCCCCCAAACGTCACCATCGGTGGTCGGTCGTTTCACGTAAAGTGAATTGTTTAAATTATGTTTCGTATAATTTACAATACATTATAAGCAATTCATTTCAAAAATAATACAATATAATTTATACATATGTATAAGTACAAAGGCCATTTGGCATTGTTCTAAAAACACGACCTTAACCAGTTTATAAGTGTTTTTTAATTAAAGTTTACATTTTTTCGAAATAAATAATATGATTGTTTTGTGTACACAAAGCGAACCGGACACGTTTTATGTATTTTTTTTGCTCTCTTAAGCTTCTTATTGCCATTTACCTACCCCCGATGAACATTAATCATTGTTTGCATTGCGAGTATCGATGATGGGTAAAAGCGCGATGTGATAATAAATAATTGTCCGGATATACTTAGGTACCCGTCGGGATCATTCGACAATATTCAAATAGCCTGTCTGATTTGTTAGCATTTGAGTGCAGACCGCAAAACGGCGGACTATTATAATATCATTCCATGTAGGTAGGTAACTTGAACTCCGTTCAATCTTCAGACCTGTTTACCTAAAATAATATTATGATGTGTATTTACAGGGAACAAATGTCAAATATGGTATTAAAATGTTTTTAGTAACGGATATTGCAGACATTTGACTATTTTTAATAATATGCCCCCTGATGTTGGTATAATTGCTATAATTCTTTAAGACACGCTCAAAACGAATTACAGTATATTAACATATTATACGTTATTTTACTGGCTTGCGACAGTTTTTCAGTTTCCGGTTACGTTCGACGGTTTGTTCAAAATATTACATCACAAGCATACGATACTATAATTATTATGGTTTTTTTGTTTTGTTTTTTAGTCAGTTATATCTCCGGTATAGTTTCAAACAAGAGATTCATAAACGGCGCATTGTCCGTTAACCGTTTAAAGTTTCCGACGGGCTTTGCTTCGACGATTCCATTATTTTATAACTTCTATTGTGTTTTCATTGTTAACTCATACGGTCGAAAGATTCCCAAAACTTTATCTCTGGTTTTGTTTTATTTGAAACATAACGTTCCTTTTTTTTTTTTTAATATAATATACTTAGATGCGACTCGACGTTTAACACTATAATCTACCGGGTCGTTTAAAAACAGTAGGCCACAAATTGTTAGTGAACCAAGTAACACCGTGTTGTTATACCAACCGTTACTGTTTATTTCGGAGTGTAAAAGAAGCACTGGGCTAAAATCTAAATAATAATAATAATAATAATAATAAATGAAATAATGGATCTCTTTAGCGAGCACAATAATATTTTTGACGTTTGGACCTAAGAATTTTATTTTTATTGAATAAAATATACTAATAACGTCAATGTTGGGTTGGAAAAATTTGTAGTAATTTTTTTTTTATTTAGTAAATTAAAAATACGGTTTTTATCTCATTTATAAAGTCCCGGCTTTCCGGTCCATAAAAACATGGATATATATATAATTATTTAACGTGCCAATATCACGCTGATCAACATAATTTAAAATTTATATATTATACCAATAAATATATTTTTAATTTTTCATATGAAACAAAAATGTTTCAAACCAACTGCGCCGATTGTTTAGACTCAAGGGAAAAATACAGGCAACGCAATTACTCGCAAATAAATACTGTTCGTTTGGCTGGAAAAATAATATTGCTGATTGACGTTGACATTGCCGACACTGAAGGGGAAAAGATGATGTACATTATAGAGGTGTACCTGCACCGACTTGCTCGTTTATAGGTTGTTGAGCTTGGTTTTTATTTATTGCTCTATTTTAATAAATGCAATGCAGACATTGTAAAAAGTATTTTTTTGAAAACCCAAAGGAGATGCGATCGTCACCCCTCACCTACCCATTGTGCTACTGATTGATATAAATTTATTTTCGAATCATTTCTTATTAAAGTGGTAGGTAAATAACGAATTATTTTTTTTTTAGTCGTTTTTTATTTGTTTATTCGTCACAAATTAATTAGTCATCCATTATTCATTATTCGATTAAAAACGATTCTTCATTTGCTATCTGCTAATTGATACTACTCTGGAAGAATTTTTTTGTACCCAAGTATATTGCCATTACTAATATGCTCCAGTCGTGTATTATAGGAGAATTAGAAACAAAAAAAAAACCGTGTTTTAATATTTCACAACGTAGCCGTCGTGTACTTGTCCACCCTGGCTATGCGACGGGTCTATATCCGATATAATAATATTGTGTTGTGTGTATAACAATAATATAATATCCCGGGGTGTTTTTCTTTTAGAGGACATACCCTCTGAAGCGTAATAATTCGCGAAGACGGTCGACGGGGGAAGACCTTAAACGTCCGAGACGCCATGTATACCGCCCAAGTTTACCTTTTTTTTTTTTTTTACTTATAATCTATATTATATATAATATATGAATAGTTCAGTGACGCACACTGATTCTACTCGATACCCGTCGTATACGATTTCCTATACGATTTTTAATGCATACACGACGGACGGCTTTAGGTTGTGCTGTCGTGTAAACAACAAAGCCAGAATAGAGTGTATATTTTGCTTCTATTCTATACTTGCACAAACTTATATCCGTTAAACACGGCCGGCCTAGGATATCATCAGTATTAATCTCGCTGTGTTTTTACCGAGCATAAACAATTATTATTATTACAAATGTTTCAGGGTACATTATTCTCCGAGTATTATACAATAATAATATTTACCCACCCTTGACGAACCGCCGGCATTATTATTTGTTATGCGCTTTTATTTTTTCAGCTATATAATTACATACATTCCTGGAAAATGAAAATAACACTGACGAGGCTACGTTGTTAATTGCAAACCAACAGAAAACGTGTGTTGTGTACTTGTTGTTTTTTGTGTTTAATCCGCTCTTGGCTCTTTCACTTGGCCAAGCCAGTAGATATTATGTTATTTATTGTTAGCCTTGCCGGTCATCAACAATTATTCCTCTAATAAAGCATAGTTCGAGTTAACTTTTACTACCAATAGGGTTTTGCTAAAACGCAAAGAAAACAATTTTATGTTGTACCTATATTTTCATATCGTGTATTGTATTATGACACAAATCATAGTATATAACTTTACAAGGAGCTTGAAAACTTAACATTGACCGATGAAACTTGAATCAATGTGAAGTTAAAACTGAATTACCCAAAAACTGTCTTGAAGTTTATTTGTAATACAAAATTATTAATATGTATATTTGGTTTACAAAAAAATAATTCCATGTTTAACACGCATAGTTTATAGACTATCAGTGGTTCAACTGTATTAAACAAGCTTAATATTCCAAAATGACATGGAAACCTAACCTAACCAACCAACCAGTTGATAAATCATTATAACCAACAATGTTATGATAAAAATATTAGTTGGAGCACATCCCCTTACCGTATTGAGTATAATTAAAACAAAGTATATTCACTGCTACGTTTACTGTATGACTGAATGTGCAATATTAGAACCAACATATATATAATATAATAAACAATTTGATCATTACATTTAATAACATTGTAACCGTCATGGTATACCGTCCTGTAAACACTAACAAATTCATAGTCAATTTCATTAAAAAAAAGTTAGTTGTTGCCAATTCAACTGTAGTTATATCCCGCGTCTATCTGCAGTTGTTTCCAGCCCTGCTTAAACAAAACTAAAAAAAGAACAATATATATATATATACAGGTAAGTATGTATTATCGTACATATAATTATCAAAGTAAAACCCTGTGCAAATATAATATTGTCAAGTACCATCCGCACACGATTTCGGATCTATTAGAGGTGTTACACGTGTAATTCGGTCCACGGGCACAAAAAATAAACACATATCATAATATAAAACCAATTATACCTTTTCGGCTATCGCATCGAAGCTAAAACAAAAATATTCTCTCCTCGATCCGCTGGTGCGGTGCCCCCCCCCCCCCCGTACACCTACTATTGGTAATTTTCATCTGGCTCGACAGCTTTTTGTATGTCCCCCCCCCCCCCCCAATATTCAGGACAAACATTGTGTTTCGAGTACACGATTCAATCCGTATGACAAGTATGGGCGATAACGTGTGTGTATGGGGGGGGGGGGGGAGGATATCTTTAGGCGACGGATCGTGATGGATTTTTAGGCGAGATTTCACACCGGTGGGGGGGGGGGGGGGGTGAGGAGGTTAAGACGAGGACCGGGGGGGGGGGCGTCGGACGGGATCGAAAATAGGCGGCGGCGGGCGCGCGCAAAAGGTCGTCAGCATTTTCCCAGGTCGCCGCGAAAAGTCCCCACGAGTCGCGGCGGCAGTGCCGTTCGTTCCGCCGTCGCCGTCGAACCGTGTCCCCGTGGACAGGTCCGGTTTTTGCCGTGGTCGGATGTCCGGTCGTCGAGGTCGCGGATACCTACCCATTGGCAATCACGAAAAGTGAAGAAAATTGCTTGAAAACAATTGCCCCCCCCCCCCCCCACCTCGAATCCAGAATACATATCCGAGTGTGTGTGTATGTTCTATATAATACAGGCATGAACAGGCGCCGTCCGAATGCGTGACCGGTAAGTGTATACACTAGTGTCTTTCACTTATTTATTATATATATATATATATATTTTTTTTTTTTCACCGGGGGGGGGGATTAATAATAATTCACTTAATGAACCCCGCGCACGTAGCGCGGTCTACCACCCGGGGGAAATCACAAGCGAAATTGTCCAGTAGGAAAAAAATTAATCCTTATAATGAGCTCTCTACGTGCTGTATGGATCTCGGTCGAACAAGTTCTTTAATGTATAGTGTGTATTTATCATTGTAATATATATTATTATATTGTTTCACGGCTGGATTGGTTTTGGCTGATTTTCAATCAGTTTACACTCGACAATCGAAGCGCATTGCCAAGCCACGCGATTTTAAGTAAAATCCTGCCTTCCTGTGATAATCACGTATAATACAATAATAACAATATCATGGTAATATTACTGTGGTTTATACTGCAGTGAATATGTATGTGGGTCAAACGCGGTAGGTCGGGTATGAGCAATTTCTCGCCTCACACCAGGAACAAACGTCGATTCGTTAATAAACCCTCCGTTGCCATTCTGTGTAAGATAATTGTCAAAGATTAAAAAGATTGAACAGTGATAATTTTTTCAGAAACAAGTTTTCCATCGTACAGCATTTGTCAATAAAAACTTTTTACTATCTGTGTTGGTTTTAAAATTTTGTATCGAGTTTTAAAAAAAGCATCGGAGGAAACTAACAAACCTAACTCGAATAAGAAGTAAGAACTGATTGAGAGTACAATATTATCATTTCGCACTCCTCTAAAACGTTTAGTTAAAATCATTTAAAATCCTTTTGATTACACCGCTCTGATTGGAAACTAGCTTTAGCTTTAAACATCTACAAAATTATGGACTTGTATTTTAGATTAATTATTCGACGGTTGAAAGATTTTTAGGTACTGATATTTTAGCAACATTTTACTGTTCAGTAATTTTATAATTTGTAAGATCATCGTCTTTGGAATTTTTTAGCAATCTATCTATCTTTAATCTAAAGGTCTCTATTATCAACTCTAAATTATAATACATATAGGCGGGGGCCCACCCTCAAACTTAGATCCGGACACGCCACTACCGTTTTTAGATTTCGAAAGCCTCGAGTAATTATGAAAACAAAAAAAAGTCTCTATAGTTTCCATTATCATAATAGCGATTTCGATCAACTCGTCCTCCAGTGAAAACCCACCCCTGTCCGTTTGCTCGGCAATTGCTGTATTGTTTTAACCTAACCTAACCGTTAATATGTCACGCGATAAGGAAAAAAAATGCAAATCTAGTTCAAAGTTTCAACGTGGTATATAATAAGAAAGTCTGGCGGCGTAACGTTGACAATTTTCCGTTAAAAAAAAAACCGATATGCATACAATTATATGGAAATTCGTTTGGCGTGTATTATTATAATAATTTTCTCTTGTCCTTTGACAACATTATTAAATCCGTCGGTTGTCAACGTGCGGGAATAGGGTGACACGGGAAAATAAAAAATAATAACGTACCTTATGCTTTTCATGTTTTTTAATCCACTCGTCCTGTGATATATATTTTTTTTTTGCTTATGTATCTTGTGCAGGTCAAATAGGTCACGCAGTTCACGCTTAGCGGTGACTTTTTTGTATCATGTACAAAAGCCGACGAAATACAATACAGTCGTTGTTGTTATTATTATTATTATAATCATTACGATTATTGATTTCTATCAGACTTACTCGAGAGTACAAAAAAGAAAAAGAAAAAGAAACTGTCACTCGAGCTCAAAAGTGACGAGTCGGTTTTTCCACGTTTTCCAACAGAAGGAATTGGTGATTGATGATTGTACTCCCCGTAGAGTATATAATTATATGGCACTTAACCTAAAAAAAAAAAAAAAAAACAATAACACATAATATACTGTTACATATTTACCAATTTTTAACCTTTCCTTGTATTTGTCTGGTGATTTGAGGAAAACATCCCTTAACGAAAAATGATGCCCAAAAGATCCCTAAGGAAATATTTTATCTCTAGAAAAATAACTAAGTATAACAAGTTCTAATAAAACACATACATTTTGAAGTGTATAAAAAAGAATTCCAATTTTAGCTGCAGTAACATATTGTTTCTCTGATGGCCAGTATGAACTTTATTTTGTGTAATATTTAATATGGATTAATTTATATAAATTATATTATTTTCCGGGATCAATATTTTTCGGATATTTTTTTCCAGAGGTTATTATTTAGTGATCACTCATCTAAGTATAATTTATGCGTCGCGCGAATTGGACAGATTTGTGTACAAAGTACTTATATTTAAATCTGTCAAATACCTTTTGTCCCACACCAGTGTAATATGTTGTTTATAAATCTAGTATTGATTTACTGCCGGGATAGCATGTTTCAAACTTTAAAAGGACACGGTTAAATATAATTTCGAAAATGTGTTTTTATCATAAAAAAAACAGCCAAACGTAAAAAAGTTAAAACATACTTCAAATGTTTGCAAACCCGGTTTTTTCGTGTGCGGCCCATTGTACTTTTTCCATTGTCATGTACATTTGCAATAACGGGATAAAATAGTTTGGGTTAAATTATTTGTATAATAACAGTATTGTAGCGGTCTGGTAAATTGTATTCCGTTCAAAATTAATATCCTTTATAACGTACAGTTTCGCATACTTTACCGGAAAACGTTTATATTTTTACATGTTCCAATAGTTATTCACTAAAATAATTCTAACGTCTATATTGTACAACGGTAGTGTGTATATTATTTGTTTGTACTGTGTTTCAGATCTTAGACCCGCACAGTGATTATTATGGACAGGATTCAAGGGCTGACGGTTTTGGTGCTATTGATCTGGACCGGGGGAGGGTCATGGTCGGTGTCGAGTTGCCGGATATCCGAATTCGCTTGTCAATCGACTGGCCGGTGTATCCGTTTGGACGAATACTGCGACGGCAAGTACCACTGTGCAGACCGGTCGGACGAACCGCCTTCGTGTACCGGTGAGAGTATTTAAAAAGAAAAAAATCTACATTATTATTAAAAATATAGACACTACACGGCGGTATAATTGGGGAAATACGATCTTAGAAATACCCACGAAAAAGGAAAATCTACCCATCCAGGAAAATATACATCATATAAGTTATGTTTGTCTGTCGTTAAACTCTACATAGGAATAAATTTATTTCGAAAGCCCGCGTAAGTACATTTTTATGGTCTGAAATTGAAATCGCTCAAAAACCACAGGCTGACAATAATCTTGTAGCACCACCCCTCTAGTCCATCCTCGCCCCCGTGGCCAACGAACCGAACATAAGCATTTTCAAAGGCAATGCGAAGCTTTCCATTAAAATGCTATAAAAGCGACACATGCGTGTTTTTGAGAGTGAAATGTCACACTGCACGGCCTTTAGACGTTCTAACCGCACTCCAATGTATACTCACATACACTCTTTGAAACCAATATTTTTTACTTGGAAATTTCAAAACAAATGTTTAGCCGTAAGTTGGACTTAAGTTTATATATTTTCTCGTGCCAATAACACAAATCATTTTTTCCCCCAAGAAATTATGTAATTATAAACAATACAGATTCTTTTCAGACCTCGGATTTCAGATGATGTCTAGTTAAAGTAAATACAACTATAAAGCCTGTCAGACTATCTTCGTTATAGGTCATTTTTGTCGACCATTATAAAAATGAAAACGAGCCGGATTCTGCCATCATTTAGGATTGGATTTGGGGGTCTGACAAAGAAGTAATTATTAATAAAATAAAATTTGGCTTTTTTTTTTTTTTGCGCGGCTTTATTTCCAAAGGGGCTTTTATTTGTTGGCGTCTATCAAATGAAATCCAAAGGAGGATTAGAGACTTGGTTTTTAGCTTCTTTTTTTTAGCAGAAATCGTCATAGTATGATGGAATTTAGTTTGTGGTTGCACTACTCTGCGAGGAAGATGCCAGATGACGGTATTATTACCAATCAATTATTTCCAAAAAAGATTAACTCGAAAAAAAAAAACACTATAAACGCCCTAAAAGCTAGAGGGGTCGGTGTCTTTCCTCTCTTCCCATTTCACCATTAGAGATTGTCCGTGAGAGTTAATCGAGCTTTTACCTCTTCGGGATTCCAATCAAGTGCAACATTTGTTCATTTTTTTTTTTCTGGAACTAATGAAGAATCGGAACACGCCACAAGGGAATAATATTTGAAAACGTACAAGCAGCCACACACACATATGCACGCACCTAAGTAAATGTAATAAATGTAGTCCAATAAAGACACGGTGCAGGTCGGTGGTTGGAAGGGTGGCAAGGAGAGGCTAGGGGGTTGTGTTGCAATTAAGCGCTTTTCTTCGAACAGGAGACGCCATAAAGTCGACGGTCGTGTACCGCGTGTACCTACCCAATATGATTACCTATATATTATTATTATTTTCGGGGGACCGTTGATACAAAAGTTTTACGAACGGCGGATGCGTACCTACTTCCGGTGTTGTATTATATTATGTATGCATTGTTGTGTAATACTATGTACATATTATAGGCGTGGGGAAAGATTACCTACTACCCGTAAGTCTGCGCCTCTGATCAGCACGTTTTGTGCGGTAGCTTAATATAAATCCGTATAATATTGTTTTCTGGGATATAATAATTATTTTCAGTAGGTGGCACGCGAATTTTCGGATCAGGCTTGTGGATGATCAGGTCCAATACTATTTTATAACAAGTAAAAACACTAAAAAAGGCGTGTTTTACCAAAAAAAAAAAAAACACGTTATTTTATGCAATTTAAAAGTCTTACGAGTACTAATTTTAAAGTAGTATATAATATATCTTTACTTTGAGTGTAAAAATACCAAAGTCAATTGTTGGTAAAATTTAGTCGTCAAACCAGTAAACATGTGAATTAAAGCATTCCATTTATACAGTGTAAAATAATGGCATCTACAACGACAAAAACGGACAAAGTCATAAAGAGCCTTGTAAACATTTTTTGAAAAGGACAATAAACGTTTACTGAGCTAAAAGAACAAAATATTTTTACAGAATTTGTATGGTTTAAATTTTGTAAAACAACGAACAAACCTCTTTGGAGAGACACAGTTTAATATTGTGTTTTCTTTTTTACACCGTGCGACTCTTTCCTGACTGTATTTTACGATAAAGCCCTGAGGTACCTACTTAGAAAACGAGAAGCTGTTTTTTCCCCGACAAAATCCGGCTTTTCGGATTGTCTTTGCGACACGACGGTCGATGATCCTATCTCCCCTCGCGTTTATTAAACACAAAAACAAAAAAACAAAAAAACTACCTACTCGTGTAATACTTGGACTGCTGCTTGTAGCCGATGCGTATAGCTCATACAAAATGTACAGTATTACCCGGAAGCTTTATTGAAAAAAAACCTGACCGTTGAAATCTTGCCAAAAAAAAAAAACAACAAAAAACAATAAGTGCTTTAGTAGTGTTAAATAAAGAAAGAAACGCCGAAAACAATAGGGTTTTTTGAAATGTTCTCCAAGTTGTAAGGACTTAACCGCGTGTGATGTGAACTCGGTCATCAATCTTATTTTCGCGCCTACCTTGTATATTTTCTTTGGTCGGTGCCGGGGGTAAAAAAAAAATTGATAGTCAACCATCACACTGAGTGCACATTACTTCACACACACGCTGTATAACATAAGACACCGCGCGGAACTGGCGCCTAAATCTTTCATCCTAATTAGTCGCGCCCCTGTCCCCCGCCCTTTCCGTTATGGCGGCGGTTAAACGCACGCACGAGGTCCGCAGTCCTTTATCATATTGTAGTTTCCGGTTTTTCTTTACTTTTCACTCGCCAAAAACTCAAATGTGTTTATATTTTTTACCCCCACGTTAGGGTTACAAACAGAACTTTTCCACCTCAAACGGACCGGTCGTTATTGCGCTCGTACATTTTTTTCGCTCTCCTCCCTTTTTTTTTACTTTACTTTACTACTATTGTTTATGGAAAACATTTTCAAAACCACTATCCGGGGTCTTCTAAACGGCCGGACAGTGTTTTATCCCGGGTAAATTATAATAAATTCCCGGCCACTACCGCCGGCCGCCGCAACATGAATAAGTTAACGCTTAGCCCCGGAAAATAAAGTGTGTTGCCGGGTAAGTACGACCGACGAGTAGGGGGGGGGGTGGGGGATTTACTTGTATGCCAAAACACCGTGTATACTCGAGTAGAGCGTACGGTTCGTAGTTAACTGTTAACGTGCCATGAATATCAAATAGTCGTGAAAATATTACAAAAAATAAAAACCTGTAAGTATATAATATAATGTACTCGAGGAGATGCTGACAGGGAATATCAATGTACACAGTTAGACGCAATAATAGTCAATTCAATAAGACCGATTTAATGTGGAACAATATTAATTCTAATCAATTTTATTGAACTGCGGTCACACGGTACACTGCTCGTGAAAAATGTGAATGACCAAAATGGTTTTTTACATTAACATCAAACGATTTTAAATAAGTATAAATTAAGTTGATTAAATTAACTTTGTCTACCTCCTCAACTCGAGCTGGGAGCGCATATACAACAACTTTGTAGTTTTCTTCAAGCGTACGATATACAAGAGCTGTCGGTGAAATAGTATGATAATGCATTACATTAATTAAAAAAGAGTTATAGTTACTGTTAGTTTTTGCAGTACAGATGTTCGTCGAAAGATTATAAAATCAATTGAAAGCATCGAGACTTTTTTTTTTTTTGTACTATTGGCAGTGTGATGATGCGAGGGTAGGACCGGTTATCTCTTTTTAATGAAGAGCTGTTAATGTTTGGCCGTGCTGCGACTGTCACGATACATAAATGCACATCTCTCCACATAATCGATAACGTTCCACGGTTGTTGAAATAAATTATTATACGTACCTATCTATATAATGTAAAATATACCGAGGCAATTTTCAATAGGTAACCATTGTAAACGGTTCGAGACTCAATCATTAAAGAGTAAAACACTGATGATGATGATGATGATAATAATAATAATAATAAAACTTATAAGCCGTACGTTGTTTTTTTATAACAATTGAACGATAGAATAGCGCACGCCAGATGCTGTCCAACGCAATAACCGGACGGTTTATATGAGAAGCGGCTTAATTCTGATATACAGGGTGTCATGTAAAGTTCTACCGAGCTTCAAATGAGACATTTAGGATGCTCCAAGGGTACAATAAATGGTATTCATTTTTTTTTTTTTCAAAAATTACTTAAAATAAAAACTGGTATCTCATTAAAAAATGGTCTTACGAATAAAATAATTTCAGATTTGATATCAGGAGAAGAAATCTTGTTAAATTGACGTGTAACATGATTTTTTGGTATTTGGCCACACATGCGTCCACCGGATGGCCACCAAGTGGCCCGCATATGGCCAAAACCAACTTATGAAATGTGACACATCGTTTTGGGTTAGAATTTTATTCTTAATTCAGTGGTGTTCTTAGTATTATTTTATATTAAATTATGTGTCGCGTGTCATATATTGGTTTCAGTCACATGCCGGCCACTCGGTGGCCACTCGGTAGCCACCCTGTGGACGTATGTGTGGCCAGATACCAAAAAATCATGTTACACGTCAATTCAACAAGATTTTTTCTCTTGATTTCAAATCTGAAATTACTTTGTTCGTAAGACACAGTTTTTAATGAGACACGAGTTCTGTTTTAAATAATTTCTTAATTTAGAAAAATTCTTCACAAGACTCTACACGTGAACTAAGCATTTTATTTCTACTACTGAGTAATTGAAACGGAAATATCGTTTGTTTCAGCGTGCAACAGGACGTATTACGGCGACGTGGGAAAATCGTACAGACTGTCAGTGAAGAAGTTCAAAGACAACGGGCCTTTTTTGTGTCATTTGAGTTTCACCGCAAGCGGACAGGAAAACGGCGATTTCATAGAGGTCAGTTGAACGTGATAATATTTCAAAGCTCAAGTTGTGTAAAACGAGCAGTTGAAACTGGAACAGCCTTTCAGATAGCTTAGTTAGCAGCTCCACTCGGTCAAGTTTCTCCTATTATATTATCGATAGCCCACTACGATTTAAATTAATTACATTATTATTACTCTCTGTGTTGACCTGACCAAACCCTTGGCAAACATTTTTAACAACAATTTTATACAAAAAACATTACACTGCGTGTGCTGTATTCGAGTAATGGTACACGTTATACATGTAATGGATAATCAATAATGATAAAAATGCCAGTCGATTCGGCGGAGCGGAGGTCTACAACGGGTCTTAGTAGAGAGAGACAAGTAATAATTATCCGGTCCCTTCGAATGTGTCAAATTCGCAAATATAGGCCGTCGGGTGCGATTCGAAAACTGCAACCTATGCAAAACGTTATAATAACTGTACAACGGGTAATAACGAATTACTTAAGTTTTCTCAAAACTTCCGGAGATTTTGTCGGCCGATTGTTATTGCGAAAGGCGCCGAATCGGTTTTGTTGTCGAGCAACGATAAAGAATGATATTTTACTTGTGTAATGTGCTTTGAAAACTTTTTCTGTTGATATTACTGTTGAAGGATATTGCAGGGGGCGGGGATGGTCTTGGCAAGATAAATTGTCTCCAATTAAAATACGGCCGCTGTTCTATTACAAGGCACCGAATCGATTAAATCATACAACCACTGTGCTTGTTCGGACTTGGTTGACTTACTTGACGGTTATGAATTGTTTAGCGAAAAGGGAACAGGGTCTTAACGTTTCTCCTACCTATGTCAATGCTATAGTAAATATTATAAGGCCGACCAATAACATTCGTCCTTTGGGTCCGTTTGGGTCGCGTTAGCTTCACTTTTAACGTCTCCATACACTTATGAATAATTACAACAATAATTGAATCGGTAAAGGGTTTTCATTTGGTGCAGGTACCATCCCCAATTATTATTTAATAGTGTATTAAGTACTTGACTAGGTACAGGTTTGCTCGAGGTGGTTTCGTTTTGTAAATTATCTTGAAATCTTACTACGTACAGATTGTGTTCTCAAATTCAATTAAAAATTGTTAAAATACATTTTCCTTAAAGTCACCAGTGTCGCGTTCATTATGTATTACAAGTTACAGCCTTTGAAAATAATAATCTATTTTTTAACGGTAAATTTATTCACACGAAATTGTTTGAAAAAAATCGTGAAACGTACAAAAGTCTTAGATTTAGTATTTATTTTATTTTTGTTACTTTATTGATAAAACAATAATACATTTTTACGGTCCTTGGATTGTTAATGAATGTATTAAATCTGATATGATAAAATCACTCATGGGAAAACTGAGCGTTTAAGTAAAGCGCTCATGCATTAATTAGAATATAAATGCAGTCAGTAATGTATTCCGCCCAATATGGTAATGGCGATCCCTACTATACAATTACTAGTATATATATATATATATATTATTTTTTACATCGTTTATAAGTATAAATTAACTTACTAAGTACTCATAATCATTGCATTGTACACACACAACATTAAACAGGATGGTTTGACACAGCTCGACCAATCTCTTGAATTATTTTATTTTTTTCATTGACAAATATTTTTGATTAAAACAGAGTTTCAATTTTTCAATTAAAATGAGATTTATCATTGTTTTGTACTCTTTGAAACCCGTAACACTGTTACATGATGAGCCTTTGGCCAATCACAATCTTCTTCTTCGACTCCATAACTTATACGAGCGCAGATGACCACCGTAATCCTCTTGGTTCCATACCGAGTGGGTCAATAGTTCAAACAAAATGTTACCCCAACAGGAAAAAAAATGGGCAAAACTGAATATTTTCCCAAAATGTTCAAATTAAAACGATTTAACTAGATACGCGAACAATGATTTGTTTTAACGAGGGGACGTCATATATTATCTAAAAATGTTTTAAATATTATACTCAAAATAAGTAAAAAGAAATCCCTTTTTACAACATCAAATAATTAGTTAATTACTGAGTATATATTGAAAAGTGAATTCAGAATTTGTATTTTTTAATATAAAACTGAATTTTCCGCTGGATTTTTTTATTTTAACAAAAGATAGTCCTACATCTGGCGTTATCAATTAGGAAAACTGACAAAACTAAAACTATCCAAGTAAACAAAACCTTAACTTTTGATAATTAAATGTTTGCAGTTGGTTTTCGAAGAATTCCGGCTGGGCATGTTGGACAACGGCAGGTGCGTTGGCGGTGAAATGAAAATTCTGGAGTTGGGCAGGCCGTACGTGGGCGGATCTTGGTGCGGGTTCAGTCCGTTGGAGGGCAACACGCCGGCAGTGTACTACAGCGAAGCCGGCACGGTGACCATGACGCTGCGGATTCCGTACGGAGGACTGTACAGGTCCATACCGTTCGGGTTCGACCTGCGGTTCAAGTTTCTGAGCGACCGACAGGCGTCCGTCCGGTTGGGCACGGCGCTGGAGCGCAAAGAGCGCGGCGCACCCGTGCCCGGCACGCACTGCAGCAGGAATTTTTACGAGTGCTATCGGAAAAAGTGCGCGCTCCAATCGCCCAACTATCCCGGAATGTACCCGAGGAACGTCAGCTGCCACTACACGATCAGGCAGAAAGTGGTGCCCAAGTGCAAGCACGCAATGGTCGCCCTCAGCCAGAAGCACAGCGTCCGTATGCTGCAGTCGGCGCTCATGTCGCAGGTGTCCAACGAGACGGCCATCATCCGAGTGAACGACATGTGCAAACACGACGCCGACATGCTGGTGTTCCACGACGGGCCGACCGAGGACGACCCGGTGCTGTTGACGTTCTGCGGCGGCCCCGTGCTGCCTCGGGTCGTGTCCACCGGCCCGGCCATGCTGGTGGTGTTCAAGTCGTCGGCGTTCGACACGCCCGCCACTTTCTCGTCGCCCGTGCCCGTGTCCGTGTTGCGCAGCTTCGAGCTGGACCTGCAGATCGCGTTCGTCGACTCGGACTCGCTCGACTATTCCAGGAGTAGGCCGCCCTGCGAGTTCACCATCAACGCTTCCAGCACGCTCAAGTCGAAACGGGGCGTGCTCAACAACCCGCAACACTCGATACCGCCGAACAGCACGTGCACGTACCGGTTCCAAGGGCTGCCGGAAGACCGGGTTTGGTTGTTTTTCGAGAGCTACGGTCACCGGAGCACCAGCAACTTCATCACGTTCAAACCGTGCCCGACCCGATTGCGCATATGGGACGGGGCGGGCACACTGTTGGGCGACCACTGCGACGCGCCCAGACTGTGCGAACACGTGTCGCCGCTGTCCAACACGACGCGACTGAAACGGCCATGCTCGCTGGACGAGAGCTACTTGTCGAAATCGCCCAGCGTCATCCTGCAAGTACATTCGGTCCTCGGCACTGTTCTGGAACCGATCAACTTCAAACTGCATTACGAGTTCGTGGACAGTAGCGTCTACGACCGGGAGAACGACGACGGGTGCGTGGTTGACTACAACATCGGCAAATCCGTCGACATCGCTGAGCCCAAGAACGTGTTCCTGTACGGCCGGGGCGGTGCCAGGAGCCTGCAATGTCTGTACAGGTTGCGGGCCGAGCCGGGGTATCGTATGCAGGTAGTGATGAGGAACGCGTCGTTCGGATCCCGGGAGTGCGCGCAGTCCGCGAAAACGACCGCCGGCAAGTTCTTGTGTCCCGAGGGCGGCGGTCCCAAACTGGCTGTGCGCGAAGTCTACTGGCAGACGATCAAGCTGGAGAGGGGTTGCTTCTGTCAGAACTTCACCGAGACCGCGTTGGGCACGTCCCAAGTGACGTTCGACGCGTCATCCGACAACGTTGAAATCCTCTTCCAGGTGCCCAACTTCGCCGTCACCGAAGACTTCACCGACACGTACTTCAACGTGCACGTCAGGGTGATGCGGTCGCCGGAATGCCCTAGAAAACAGTGGGTCCGCGGTTCCGGCGGCGAGATCGAACTGGTCTATCCGCTGCAGCTACGCGACGACCTGTACTGCCACGACAAACCGTGGTTGTTGGAAGCCAGACCGGACCACAGCATGTTCATTCAGACGTGGGGACACTTCTTGCCGCTCAACACTTCGTTGGTCCAGTGCAAGACCAAAAACCGTGTATTGCTGTACGAGCTCAGTCCCGTCCGGTTGATCAAGCACATTTGCCCGGCCGAAACACGGGACAACCGGCGTAGCGTGCACATGTTCTCCGACGAGTGGACCAACTACGTGCCGTCCGACCGACAGAATCCCAGGTTCCTAGTGGAGTTCGTGGCCACGGAACCGGGTTCGATGGCGTTCAAGTGGCTGGAGGTGTCCAAACCGAAATCCGCGTCGTCCCCGCTCAACGGCACGGCGTTGGGATGCGCCCACGGTTGCCCGGAACTGAACGCCTGCATCAGCTCGACCCTGTGGTGCGACGGCCACAGGAACTGCCCGTCCGGCGTGGACGAGGCCGACCTCAACTGCCAGACGAAATGGCCCACGTTCCGGGCTGCGTTGGAAACGTACGGCGTGCCCGTCGCCGCGGTTGCGCTTTTCGGGTTGGCGTTCGCCCTGCTGGCGTTCATCTATTGCGCCCGCGAGCCCGAGTACAAGGCCTACGAGGAACCCGACCCGGCGACGACCGGCACCGACAACACCCGATCGTGTTCGACCATCGCCTCCTGACAACAAAACTCGGTCGACATCGAAGACATAGTCGACCGAGAGACTTGTGTTTAAACGGAAAAAAATGTTTCTTGCTCAACAACGTCTCCTATTGTTTTGTATACATTATAACGCGCAGAGTTGGTAAAAAACGCAAACCCAAAAACGACCATTGGGTTTTTTTTTAGTTTAAGCCGAGAAAATGTTTGGTATTAACCCGAAAAAAATCATTTGTTTTGGGTTTATATACTTGTGTACCCCTCGAAAAAAAAAAGCGACTGGGCCGATTATTACTTTTTTAATTTAACTCGGTAGGTAAACCAAGTCAACTCGGTAGGTAAACCATGTCAACTTGGTTAAGTTAAGCTGTTAAAAAAAAAAAAGGAAAGTTCATCTACAGTTCAGTTTTATTTCAAAAGTTCTCTTATACAAATTACCAATTTGTATTTTTTTTACTAACGCTAATTTTTCATTTTTCAAAAGAATCTTGATATTAATGATTACACCGTGGTGGAAAATGTTTTATCAGAACCCAGTTGGCAGAACATTTTTGATATTTTGAAAATATTTTTTTGGCCAGAAATTAAATGACTTGCAATTATTGTTTTACAAAGTTTTGTTGAAATATTTCCAGTACTTTAATAACATTTTGTAAGCAATATTTGCAAGTCCAAAAAATTATTATGAAATATTTAAATTTGTTTGCCATATGGGAAATGATCGAAAACCCTAATTGTACGTTGTTAAATGGATGGTTATCAAGGACAAAGATTCGACTTTCAAATATTTATGATATTATAATAGTTACACAACGATCATCGGTTTGTGACAAGAATTATTAACTTAGCCGATTTGAAAAATGACTTTTTATATAAAAAATGCATTACATCCTAATAGTTACTGGCAATTCCGGGTTAACGGCAACTGCTAACGTGTAGCCAACACGTGATTATATCCAACGTAGGTGCCTTATAAAATAATATTTTGATATACTTATTTAATAACTGTTGTGTATGTGTTTCTAAATAATTACCGTTGCGCTTAAAATGTTCAAATTTTATGCAATTTTTTTTTTTTTATTAGAGAAACTTACTAATAGGTTAAAACCGTAATATTTTATCGGCATCGTTGACGCGTCCATTTTATAGTTTAATAGTGTACTGCCCAACATATATATATATATATATATATATATATATATATATATATTATTGAAATACCCGAGATATAGGTATTTGTGTACATAGAATTAATATACTTTAAAACACCACTTGTGTATAAATCGAGATTTGATATCATTAGCGACAAGACATAATAAATTATTATGTTTTGTTTTAATACGGCACACATAACTGATAACTGATTAGATGTAAGAAAAATTCGCGCCAAATTTAATGTGATATTGCCTATTTTTTTTTTTTTTTAATTTCCTTTACTACGGACAAATGATTTCTTATAGTATTCATATATTAATCAAATCATTTATTAGAAAAAAGGGTTTAAAATTAAAACGCGAAACAATCTTGATAAGCCAAGGGATATGTTATGTAGATATTGTCTTTAAACAATGTAATTTAGTGTTACCATAGTTTTTAAGAAAAAAGCACAAACGTAATAATGCATTCCTTTTAGTTGGTAAATATATTTGCACTACATTATAGATAATGACTTAGGTAGAAAAATGATATATATATATTGTGTATTGATGTACAACGAAGCAATAAAATTAAAAAAAAAAAAATGATTATACCCTAATGACTATTATACTTATATTATAATTAAAAATTAAAGAAAATGAACAAATAATGTTTGAATAACATTGTAAAATCGTAGCTAAATACTATTTTTTTTTTTTTTTTGCTATTATTTTAATAACTGTGCCAGGTTAATCACTTTGCAGTGGTTTTTCACCATGTCGGCTTTGGTTTCCCATAAAACCTTTACTAATTTCATGTCGTCCTTCTCGTCCATGGCTATGTCTTCGGAAAGTTGAGGACAAAACCTATAAATACATTGACATTATTTAATAAACAAGACAAACCAAATTATAATTGGCGTTTTTCATTTTGACTATATTTACCTGAAAAACGCCGTTTTTGTTTTATAACACCACGCCCTGGCTCTATCAACAACACGACCGTCCGACTGTGTTGCTTGATCAATAAGTAACAGACCCAATGCGGAGAACCCGAAGACCAAACGCAAACTATCGCTTACGCTACTCGGTTTGAATATGTCGAGATTTTTCACCTGTAAAACATTCAAGATGTCGTAACACAATACGTAACATTTCATTGTAAAAATAGCATACTTCGGTCACTGGAATGGAACCGGTTCCTACGGACACTACAACTGACGGATCACACATTTCATTGGCTCTGTTTGTTTTGTACAACGCCAAATTATATTCTTCTATTTCTGTCAGGGTATCTAACGTAGGGTTGTTTGAGATCAATCCTCCGTCCAAGAAACGTCCAAACATCCTATTAATATATTGTAGTAAATAAAACGCGGCAAATGTTTACCCGAAAACATGTGTTTTATTTATTTTATGGATACCCCAAAAAAAAAACGTAACTGAGCCGAGGTTTAAAAAAAAAAAAAAACTCATGTATTGCAAATTCTGGGTGGTTATAGCAGCGTTACCTGAAATATGAAGGTGCAGCGCCACTGGCTCTGGCGGCTTTCCATGCTAGTTGTTCAGTAGGAGGTGGCGGCGGCGGATAATCACAGGGAATGTCCAAGTTTAACATATCGCTGGGCGACTTATAATTACGAAATATATGCAAATCAACCGGTTTCCTGTCCGCCAACAAACCAGTGACGAGCAGTCTGAAAGAATTAAAAAGAAAAATATTAATTCTTGATAACCATAACATCGTGTACTAGCTTGGTCAAATAGTTTACTTAGGATGTTTTATATCGCTCATTAGAGTTTTGGATCCCAATGTTTCTTGTAGCATATTTTCTAAGATTTCACTTGAGTACGGCTTACTACCTTGGAAAACCTGTTGTTTTAGTCGAAAATACAAACACAAACACTCGGTCAAAGATTTTCCTAAATTAAAAAAAAAAAAAAATACATGACATAACATTACAACAATTTATACATGTTCTAAGTTCCCAGCATTTCAAGAGAGCAAAAATGAAAAAAAAACCTCCCAGAAGTGTTGATATTTTTAGACATTAACCCGTGCACCTACTTTTACCTAATTTATATAAAGCGAGCAATAAGTCATTTTCGATCATTTTTTTTACTATTCAAGTAAATAATGTTTAAAAATCTGATGAAGTTTTCGATGACTGCTGTAATATCTAATAGTTAGTATACGTGTTAAAACTAAAAAATTAAACTTTTTAATAAGTAATTAACTCGTTGAAGCTAAGAACTCAAATTATTTGGAAAAGATGATTTAAAGTTATAAAGAACTCAATTTCGTTTAAATTTTATTTGCAATATCTTGAAATGCTGAGAACTTTAAGAACGGTCGTAATCCTTTTTAAGACCAGGGCTAGTATACATATACATAATGTAATTCAATTTAATTACCACATGCCAGTCCCAAAGCTAAAATACCACCGGTACTCGTACCAGCCAACCAATCGAAACAGTGAATTATAGGAACATTAGTAGTATTTTCAATATGGAGTAAAATCGATATCAGTACAAGTCCTCTTATGCCACCACCATCCAGACATAATACACGACCGCCTTTGACGTTACAATTCAAATTAGTTCTCTCCTCCATGACTTCTTCCATTACTGACACGATAGACCTTACCTAATTACGCCATGGCGCAAACATAATTCAAAATTAGGTAATTCATAATGATGGAAATCGAGCGATACAATTAAATGTAACTATCGGATACGTACGGGCATTGAAATGGGTTTCTGAGGCGGTAATCCATTATACTGTTGGTTCCAAACACAACCTTTGGCGCAACTTGTGTCTGTCGAGTTGATATTACGTACGGTGCAACGGTTGGCCCCTACAGCATGCAAAATGTACACAATTTTATCTGAAACCTTATCAGGGCCATTGTTAGTAGCGGCAATATGTCTTGCAGTTAACCCTAAATTGTTTCTAAAAAAAAATATAATTGGTTTGTCAATATTTTTGTATTATAGAATTTACTCGGACATGATGTCAACACCTCTTACAAAAACTAGCAAACAGCTTTATTTGCAAAAAATATCATTATTTGTATTTACAACAATAACAGGAAAAAACTATATTGAACAAATCGGTCTTTAGCAGCAGACACCAAAATATTTAATTTGTCGCTTGTAGCAAAGATAATTGAGATTTGCAAATTGTTTTTGTTTGAGGAGTCGACAGATTATGACATGCTTAATTGAATACATACATATAATTTACATCGGCTTCGAAAACAATAAGAGCGTGAATTATAGGAATTAAATTGTTTTTGACGGCCAAATGAAGAGGTGTATTACCTTCGCCATCAGCTATATTTAAGTTGGCTCCGTGACATAAAAGTCCCATAACACAATCAAATCGATTTCTTAAAACCTTCAACAGAATTTAAATAAAATCTTCAAATAGGTATATTTGTAAAACATAGACTATATAAATGAAAATTACCATTATGTGAAGAGCTGTGCGTTTATCAAAATTTAAAGCATTTAAGTCACAGTTGTTTGAGATCAAGCTGTCGATTACTTCACGAGAACTCGACCAATGTAAAGGTGTGCCACCGAATTTCATATCCTAATTGTAATAACACATTTACATCAAAAACAATTTTATTAAAAGCACAGAAATGTATCGTTCCCCATACCTCGACAAATAACTTTTTATGGTTATCTTGTAAATATTCTTTGACAATACCAGGTAATTTGTTTTCAGACATAGGAGCTCCAGCGGGTATGTTAACATCGGCTCCACATACCAATAATCCTTTGACGCATTCCGGTTTGTCTGCTTGACAGGCCAAATGCAGTGGTGTGAATCCATTGATATTTCTATAGTTTAAACAATTAGTGTTCACCTTTGACAGCACCTAGAAAGATAAATATTGTGATATGTGTTAAGATAAAATATTACATGATAGATGACTGTTGTAATCTTAACCAAACAAAAATTCATACCTGAATAATATCGCAACTGGACTTAGCAGCATAATGAAATACTGAATTAGCTTCGTTGTCCAAATAATCCAACGATACGTCTAGCTGAATTAACGCCTTGACAACAGATATAGAATTGTTGTAGATAGCCAACTGAAGTGGAGACATACCACTCTCTGGGTCTGGCGTATTTAAAAATCTAAAGTATAAACACAATAAATAATGCATCACGTTTGTTGGTACAGATATACTTACGGAGCTATTTGCGGGTGAGAAAATATGTCGTTCATTGATAAATGCACAGCCAAATGAGCAATGGTCCATGTCGGATGTTGAATGAGTGTGTCACATAATCCTTGAATTAAAGATAGATTATAACCCTAAAAGTGCAAAGAATATTGAATACAAAACTATCCTGAAACTCATTGAAACGTGAATTTAAAACTAGTATAATATGTTACATCTTTTGATATATTAAGAAGATCTGGCAACTTGTCTTTGAATATACAAAACCGTACTTCTGCGTCTTCTATGGTTCGTCCTCTGTACAAACTATAAACATATTTATATTAAATTATTTACAATTTGTCTTTTTAAAATTAATTAATTGAAATCAAATACCTGAACGAAGTAGTTAAGCTTTCTAAATGTAACACAATTTCAGTGACATTATTGCTGTCCAATGCGTACAAAATCATTCCGTGATGACGACAATGTATATTTCGACTAGAATACTTATCGGACTTCACTTCGACTACTTTGTTGGGGTTGTTTTCGGGCGTAAAAAAATCTTTCAGAGTGTTCAACCAAGACATTTTGTTGTGCGTAAAGAATTCAGGAAAAATCAATTTACGTTAATAACTAAAAACGAACAAATTTATAATTTATTCATGAATAACCTGCCAACAAGTAGGTTAAACAAAAGTTCATGCAATAGTTCTAAACGGTCAACGGACTTTATTCTTTCTATAATCTACTAACATCACAAAAACTAATCACTACTATCGCCAATTTTAACGAGTTATTTCTAAACACTAGTAATTAAAGTAACAAAAGTGTTATAAATTATAATTATAATGATTTATTTATTATTTTGAATGCCTCGATCGGAACAATAATGCTTTTGTGTAGATATTAGATAATAAATTATATTATTCATCTGTGTACACTCATTCACTGATAACATGACTGATCCACCTTGTGATTAACCAAAATTGTTGATATCAATTAACAGCTAAGATAGCAACGGATTGATTTACATTTTAATATTTAAACTTTAAAGCTTAGACCATTTCAATAAAATTTCCATTTATAATAATTCTAATACTAAAATGTAATATCTTATGTGTGGTATTGAGTTTCTCGCCAATGTTTCAAAATTGATTAGTTCGAAATTCCCACAAAATGTCAATGGAGAACCTTAGTAAACACCACAATATCCTAGAACGGCCTTCTTGATAATAAATATAACTAGTGTTACCTAGTTATTAGCTAGAAAATTGTATGGTTCCGGCATAACGGGTAAATAAACATTAAATAATAAATATGCATAAATACGAAACAACTCTTGCCAGCAATTGTTTCAATTGTAAATCTGTCGTGACTGTCCTCCTAACTTCGTTAACTTGCCAATGAACGCGAGTATTTAAAATTCGGACCCCTTTCTGTCCATCTATGTTAACAATGTCAGATCTCCACGTGTAGTAAATTTCGCTGAGTATCGCAGACAGAAATATACACATTGGGAGCGAATATGTTATCCAAGATTTTAAGAATCAGAATTTGAATAAATACCTATACATAAATTGTTAATATTATATTGTACAAATATCCGAATAATATATAATATTATTATAAACATAGGTACCTATTTCAATTTTCATTTTTTTTAATAAATTGATAAAACAAGTTCACCACATAACCTCAAAATTATTATCAACATTTCTTTAGGTGATAAGAAAAATTCTTAAATAATAGTGATTTTATCGGCGAACAACTGTATTCTATAATTTACAAATTTTGTCAGTATACTTTTTTATAGTTACATTCATACTTAAATGTAAAGAAATAAACTGTACCTCATACTACCATTATGGTTTCTTTCAAGTTATTTAACTTTTCAAAAATACTGAAATTCTCGAAACCAATTGTTTTAATTTCAAATAACTCTTTACTAAAATACAATGCTGTAAATAACGTTTGTTTCAAAAAGCATCCAGCCGTTCGACATTATGCATCGTTGCCAGTCGTGTTGGACGAAAAATGTTCTCAATCGAACGACAACGTCGGTAAAATGCAAATCTATTTCACCTGTAAAGTATGCAAAACTAAAAATCACAAAAGATTTTCAAAATTAGCATATGAAAAAGGAATAGTCATTGTAGAATGCGAAGGTTGTAAAAACGATCATTTAATTGCCGACAACTTAAATTGGTTTCCCGATACTGGTTATAAAAACATTGAAGAGATATTAGCAGCCCAAGGTGAAAAGGTTCAACGAAAAGGTGGTTGCATCGAAATAGCATTAAAAAAATAAGACTTCTGTATACATTTATTTCATAAAAATTGTATGTATTTGCTTAAAGCAAAACATTTGTAAATAAAAATATATTACAAGTATACTTTCATAAGTTTATTATTTAAACACTTGTATCTATTATCTATCTTGTATATATTTAAATATAAAAAAAGTTAATTAAATATGAGTTTAGCTATACTAAAAAAACATTTATAAATATATATATATATATCAAAAAACCTTTAAATTAATGTAACAAAATAAAAATAGATTAAAACTTCTATTTCCTAGCAGTTAGTAAATTTACCTTAGCTTTAGTTTTTCGTTTAACAACAGGTTTAACTTCGTCTTTTCCAGACTCTGGAGTGTCAGGAAGACCACTAGGTACATCTCCTGTCTTTTCTTCACTGCCCTCTTCAACTGCTTCTTCAAAATCATGGCCTTTGGCTTTGCGACGTTTTTGAAGTTTAGTTTCTTTTTCTTCTACATTATTTTCAACTTCGTTTTGTTTTTCTTTACGACCACCGCGTTTTGCATTTGATTTTGCCACTATTTTCACTGGTGTTACAACTAAGTAGGTTTCATCTTCTTCATTATTTCCTGTGGGCTCATTTACAACAAGCTGTGGATCGTTTTCTTCAGATTCATTGGGTGACTTAATATCTTGTTTTGATTTTCCAACACGCTTTGATTTTTTTTCTAATTCTTTGTCTTCAATTTGTTTTGCAGGAATTAAACCTGGAGTTACAACCCAATCAGCTTCATCTTCGTCAATCTTTTCTTCAAAATCATTTTCAAACTCGGGATCATTAATTTTTTCAGATTCGTTAGGCGATTGAACAACTTGTTTTGATTTTCCAACACGTTTGGATTTTTTTTCTACTTTGTTTTTATTTTGTTTTGCTTTTGATTTCACTGGTATTTTTTCTGGAGTTTGAACACAATCGGTTTCATTTTCTTCATTCTTATCTTCGAAACCATTTTCAACCTCTGGATCATTAATTTCTTCAGAATCGTTAGGGGATTGAACAACTTGTTTTGATTTAGCTACACGTTTTGATTTTTTTTCAACTTCTTTGTCTTCAGTTTGTTTTGCTTTTGGTACTGCACGGTTAGTTCTTTTTGAAACTTTTTCTACAGCTTCATTTTCTCTGTCTTCAGATTTCTAGAAAATCACAATATTTTTTTTTTAGAGATAATTTAAAATTATTATAAAACACAAATAGATTTGTCAAGTTTTAATTACCTGTGGTCCTTTCTTAACACCTTTTTTTGTTTTTTCTTGAGAAACCTCAGCTGAAAATTTGTTCACATTTTCCCCATCTACTTCAGTGGTTTTTGGTATTTCTTTTTCTTCTATTTTCTCATTAGCTACTTTTTTAGTTGTTTTTTTACCTTTAGCTACAACTTTTTCCGTTTTGGGTTGATCGTCCTTCATAGCTCCTTTGCGTCCTTTTTTTGGTACTTCATCAGAAAAATTAGTGACTTTAGCAATCCTGCGACTTTTTTTTATTTCTTCCTTGGTCGAGACGGCCACATTGTCTGAAGGCATAATATCTACACTTGCAGCTCTTCGACCTCTCTTTAATGGAGAAATGGTATCTGAACTATTGGCTGAACTATCTTTGTTGACAGGTCTTTTACGGGAATTTCCTACAACTTGTACTTCAAAATGGATTAATGTACGATCTTCACTCGCTGCTCGTTTTCTTCCTTTCTTTGGTTTGGCCTCTTCCTCTTCTAACTGCTTAGACTTAGGTTTTGTTTTTTTCTGAACAGCTTTCTTTTCAGTTTCATCATTTTCAGCGAGTGTAGTTACTTGAGCAACATATTCATCAGTCATTTTTTCAACCACTACGGTTACATTCATATTTTTACTTTCAGTTGGTAATATTTCATTCATTAAATTTTGTGTTTCTTCTGTTTGTTCGACATCATCTGCAAATTAAAACAATAGTCATAATGTTAATTGTTTAAATACCATACAGACTTAATTAAAAATGGTGAATACTAATTATACAAAGTGACAATTTTGCAACAAACTGAACAAAATGTTTACTTAAACATACTTTTTTTAAAATGTAAACCTGTTTTACATATGTTAAAAAATGTATGTATATTTTGTTCATTACTCAATAAAATGAAATCCATCGAGAATTTAATATTAGGAAAGGTATATTGCCTTAAAGGTAACAAGGCTAAGGAACATGCTGCTATTAAAAAAAAAAAATGATAAGTCTTATGTCCAACCCAGCAGACAGTAGTTCACCAGTTGGGAGAACACATTTTAAATTATATTGCATAATATGATTATATACAATATGAATATATAAGTGTTGTGTTGACCATATTTTTTGCCATGTAAAATATTAGAAAACCACAAATAATAATCATTAATTATACTTTAGTACTTTATCATGCTTACAAATTTATTTTCATAAAATAAAATGTGTGCAATAAGGACAAATTATTAATATGGTAGTATTGATTTTACTATTGCACATTTTAAGTTATTAAATAATTCATTAAAAATATTTCAAAACCCAAAACACATTTTTATATTTTTAGAAGGTTTCCAATTTAATAAATCATCTAAACCATATTCAATCGTATAGACAGAGTACGAGGTTAAGAACTCTAGAATTTTTATTGAACTACCAACAAAGCTATTTATAAATATTAACAGTTGAAAAAATTATTTAGCCTTGCCAGCTTAAACTTAAAGCAAATAAAGATAATTATGGAGGTAAACTAACCAGTTTTCATAATAGGGTTACATCAAATATATTAAGTAGGTATTAATAAATGTATGATCTATTGATTGTTCACCTTGAAGGTGAAAATCTGATAGATAACAATGTTGGTGTAATATTGTGTGTATATATATGTAACTAGTGATGTAACTATTCATTAGTAACAGTGAATGTTGAAGCATATCAACTATACTGACTATATTGTCTCTGGTAAGTAGATTTATTTAATTTCTTATTTTTAGTTATTTTTTTATTAAAAACACAACTATTACACACGTAATAACATAAATTCTACAAGAACAGTTAAATATTTTGATATATTTATATATAAACAATATATATATATATATATACATAAAAACGGTAAGGACATGGTACCCTCTATTTATTAAGGAGTTAGGTATAGGCAAATTTTTGCAAAACCTTAATTTAAAGGTTAAACTGGGATGTTTAATTATTAGTTCAGTGATTAGGATTCTTTTTTGGTAGTTAATTTATTTTTCGGACAATCACAGCATCCTTGGCAGCATTTCAATTTTTTTTTTCATCCAAACATAGCACCGCATGTTTTAAAACAAAAATACCTACGATCAAATTGAAAGTTAACAATATTTTGGAGAAAATGACATAAGCCTTTTAAGAATACATTAAATATTTATCTTACAATTTAATTTTTTTATTAGCTAAGTAACATAATTTATAAAAGTTAACTAATAATTAGACATTTACGTTAAGCACATAAAATATATTATAAAACACTCATTTTTGGGTTGCGTAGGGTATTAAATACCATAACAATAAGTATATAAGAAGTGCAGATTTAATTGCATATCTAATTTTAGAGGCATCAACAGGTTAGGTTAGGTTATTAAAAGTCATATTTGACCTATAAAATGGACAGTTTTAAATTTATTATTACAATTTAGTCAATAATAATGTCAATACCTTCAGTGTCGCATAGCTCAGGAGACACTCAAAGTAATACAGTTTTCAATTTCAAATCAAACACTTTTGTTTCAATAGCATATAGTATAATTTTTAATAATGTTCCACAGATTGTCTTTTAGACAGAAATTTAGCCAACATACATACATGGGTATTATAAATATATATAATTGTTTTTTTTATTAATTTAATCAGTTTTATATACCTACTTGGATTGTCACGGGTCTTAGAAGATGCTGTACTGGCAATAAAGGAAAGGACTCGGTAAGAACAAACGGCTAATAATTTTCATATTACCTTTTAAGGTAGTATTATAAAATAGATTGTATGTATTAAAAAAACAGATTATAGACCACACAAGGTGAATTTCTAAAAGATAACACATAGGTTTAAAATACTTAATGCGATTGTGTGCTCCCTGAGCAACGTCTCAGACAGCTAATAAGCTCATTTTGACGAAACATTCAGATAAACAGTTGCAAAACTTCATAGGAGACAATAAGACGATGTCTACCCACTTTCAAAATTAAAAATAACAATATTTTTATACAAATTTTATTTACACTATTGTTTTAATTGTCTCTCTGACTTTAAGACACACGCCTGCGGCCTGTAAATAAATAAACTAAAAAATTCCTAAATAAACATAAAAAAAAAAAAAAAGAACTCTACTGGTCAAATTTACAACAGAGTGATCTTAGTGATAATAACTTCGTAGGTACTTTATCAAGGGCGGATACAAGGGGGAGGCAATAGGGGCAATTGCCCCCCCCGTTCACAAAAAAAGTATCAAATATTCCATTTGTAATTAATTTTGACTAAAATTTTGTTCATGCAAGTTATCGAGAGAGGGTCGTTATTGTATTAACCATGAACATTTAATTATTTTTCCATTGAAAATTGTCCATTTTTATTTTATTGCAATAGTGATCACGGCATCCGGATCACTATTAGTTTAATAGTTAATCTAGTGCCTGATCGAAGCTTTTTTTTGAAATTAAACAAAATGACCATTTACTCGCGGATTTTCAAGGAAAAAAGCACTAGTTTATTGTTTATAAAAAATATAATTTTTAATAAAAAAAAAAAACCCTTCGATCAGGCACTAGTTTTTTATGCTTTTAATAAGCTGTATAAATTTCATTCAAATCTGTGAAGTGGTTTTTGAATTACAGTGGTGACCGACTTTGAAAAAATAGTTTCGAGAAAAACTCATTTTAATAGTTTTATACTCGATTTATGTATAGAAAAATAAATTATTTAATTACTTACATCGAGTCATCTATTCCTTTGATTAACTTGAAATTTTCAGATAATATTTTCGAGACATCATACTTTAGGAAAATACAAATAAAAAAAATCGAATTTTTGAAAATCCTAACTACCCCTAACCCCTAAGTTTTTCATTCAAAATCAAAAGTAGGTGTCTTCTAAAACAATAACACCCATCACATTCACCGGTATGACTGATTTCTGTACACAACTAATTTTCATGTCAACTGAATAATAAGACAATTCCTATACCTAGCTATTTCTATTAATTTGTTTTATTAATATATTGCCCCCCCCCCCCCGTTTAGGACCTCTGTATCCGCCCTTGTACTTTATCAATGGATAACAATAATAATAGTATTATATTGTCGGTTGAACGATGAACTTACTTTTTACTGGTCGTCTGGTCGTTATGTTGGACAAGTTTTCAATACTTGTAGTCAAGCCCGCGGATTTTGCTTTCGGAACTGCCTTCTTTTTGGGCGGCATGTTTAATGCGGTTTTAGCTAGTGTTATTTAGAAAAACAAAAATTTTAATTTGGTCGTCTTGTGAAATTGAAGATATCAGAAAAATAAACCTAATTAAACTTGTTTTTTTTTTTTGGTTAACCTAACTAGTGGAAAACAACGTGCGATTTCTATTACTGAAGTTCAATTTCTGAAACACTACACCGGGATAAACCTGTTAAGATATCGAATGCGACACTAACGACGACAAAACCAAAAACACAGAAAATTACAATCTAAAAATAATTAGCGAGTAGCCATTTTAAACACTTAAGACGGCCGTTAACGGTTATAATATTGCGGTGGCCCCGCATACAGCACTGTAGCGGATGTATGGCCACGAGGCGCCACAGCTAGCGCAACCTAGCGGTCGGCATCGATACCGCCTCAACGCATGGTCAGATCGCCAGATCTCGGTAGTTGTGACGAACCGTAGCGAACTTCTCGCATGTGATCAAAGTCGTCCAGAGCGCACATATGAATACGCACACGACAACTACCGACCGATGTCTTCGGACACCGGCCGGGCAACCTTTGGCCTGCGTCCGCCACAATATTATAACTCTAAACACCGACAAGGCGACAGCGTCTGTGTCATGATTTAAATATACCAGGTTATTGCATATCTACCCCCCCCCCCCTTCCTAACATTTTCAGACGCAAAATAAAAAAATGGCACCATAACGGGCAGCGTCCTTATTGGTTTAAATTTATTGACTGATAAGCTATTTTTCTCTTATCAGTTTACAGTGTTATAAGTCTTAAAACATGAACAAAATATAAGAAATTCTAGTTTTTAATTTGGATTTTTTATTCGATACAGATTTTTTAATTGTCTATATATATTTTATAATGTGAAATAAAAAATGTATCTAAATAAGAAGAATGGACAAATAAATAAAAGTGTTTATAGTTTAATTAATATTAGTTGTTTATTAATTGTAATTATAATTTTCCGGCTTGTTCGATTAATTTATTATTTTTTTCTTCTATTTCTTTATTCAGTTTTTGTGTGTTTAAAATTTGATTTTGTTTTTCATCACAACTAAGTTTCATTTTTCTTTTCTAGGGGCTCTCATAGGTGGTATTAGTAACTTGTATTGGAATAAGTATTTTTTTAATTGATAAAATTGTAAAAATACAATTTTTGTTTTCAAATTTGCGCGGGCAAATTTCGGCCAATGAGAATGCCGCCCGTTACGCTGCCATTTTGTGAAAAAATAATCACATAGAGTGATATGCAATAACCTAGTATATTTTAATCATGGCTGTGTGACAGGCAATATAAGATAAAAAAAGCACTCGCAGAGTTGCCATAACAAAAAATTCAAACAAAAGTGTGTAAAATTCTAACATAATATATATATTTAAAAAAAAAAAAATGTTTTAACGAGACGAGTGGATAATCAAGTGCGCATTTGATCGTAAGAGTGTTAAATTTTATCGGTAAATCTTGAGAGAAATATTTTTATTTTGTTGACAAACACCGGTCAGGTTGTGTATTTTTGGAGTCTAATATTACACCTGTCCAATAGGATAAACAAAATATAAAAATTATACTGTATACTATCAACACCAATGAAAACGAGTCATTTAAGCGGGAACCCGAGAAAATACAAATTATACATTTTGTTTTTAGCGCAGGTCTTTTAAAAGTACACAACTACTTATTAATTAAGTTATCAACGATATTTTTTATTTTGTGTACAAGAAAGGATTTTTGTTTTCTTAATGCGCATCAACTTCTTTAGTGAATAATTATTATAATATTATAATACATTTACGGGGATATTTTTGTTTTTTCTGCCTAGTTCAGAACAGGTCTGACATTTTTTAGTTTTATTTTAAAGTAAATACCTTTTTTTAAATTCTGATCTCATTGCTTTTAATTGTTATGATTTTGGAGATTGAAGAAATAGTACCTATATAGTATATTGATTAGGCGAAGCCCAGCACGACAAATATTAAATTAGTATTACACAAATAGAACACAGTATTTAATAGTAATTAATTTCGAGTCTGTAAGTACCTAATTATCACTTTGATTATTCAATAATGAACAATGAACATCGTTCAATATATTTGTATACAACAAAAAAATAATTAGGTATATTAGTACATACCTAATGGCTAATGGGCTACCATGTAATATTATTATTAAAGAGGACCCATTTATTAGGGAGTCAAGTATAGGCAATTTTTTTTTTAAATCTTAATTTAGAGCTTAAACTATAGTTTATACTTATTCATAAGGTAATGCAAATTCTTTATTAGTGATTTTTTTTTTGTCAGACAGTAATTTCAATAGAAAAATTACAATAATAATTCTTCAAAATAGATTTTTTGAAATCAATACCAAAGTGTCTTAGAATTGAACCAAGGTGTTTTTAAATTTTCGATAACTCAATCCAATTATTTTTTATAATTTATTGAAAAATATTTTACATACCAGAACTTTAAAAATGTATAAGAGAAAAATAATTTTGCTACCAAACAATTGCCACGCTTAAGCGTAGATAGTATTCTCCTCTATTTTTCTGTATAATAAAATGCATTTTGTACCACCACAGCCTATACAATATTCATTCGTGCAAAAGGAAAAAAAAACATCTACCTTCTATTAAATTGTTTACTGTCTGAACCAATTACTTACAAAAATGATTACCTATTTAAGATCAGTACAACGGTCCATTTAAATTGGCCAGATTATTTAGGTACCTATTTCAACAAAGAGCAACCCACTCTCTTCCCGCCTTTATAATTGGTATGTACTTGGTAATAAAATCAGTTTTTTCCTGTGTCGAAATTGATATAGATAAATCAGAGGGGAAATTCTTAAACGACATTGAACACTGCGGACAGAATGTAATCAGATTTCAACTTGTTCCAACCATATATAAACGCTGTTTACTTACCTACCATAAGCAAATAGAAATTATTTTTATGCAGCGCAGCAACTTTACTAGTAAATCTGAAAGTGGTAAGTCGTTTTCAACTTCTCAAACTAATAAAATAGAGTTGCCATTTCATATGAAATGCTAATTGTAATGTATTAATAAAATTAAAAATACCTAAAAAAATGTGTAAATAATTCAATTATTTACACAATTAAAAGACTAAATTACATATTTGTTATCGAACTATTTAAAAAATACATTAAGTCATTAACTATATAATTCCTTGATGTATAAATTTCTGGTTACAGTTCTGAATCATGTGTTGTTTAAATTTTCTAATTCTCAAGTTATACAACGTTATAAAGTGTACACTAATATTGGATAATTGATTTTTTTTTAAATCAATGAAGGGATATTATTTAACTTTTATAGTAGAAAAATGTTCTAGTAAAATGATTACTTGTTACATTTGTAATGCAACTATTATTTCAGGTCTACTGAAACACCCCTTTTGACCATATCAACTCTTTTGCAACCCCGATAATTTGACCCTAACAAAGTACCTTATCTTCAAAAAAATATAATTAAAACACGTTTTTTCAGGTATGTACAAAGCTAAGACTATGAACACACATTTTGAAAATATACTTATTCACTTACTGGTACGCATTAGTCCTCGTGACTGCTAACTTAGTAGTACTAAGTATATGTTATCTAATTTCAGGCATAAACTTGAAAACTGTGCTTAAAAAATATAAATAACGAATAAACATAATCGGTTTGCTTTAAGAAAAATATTTAATTCAAAGTTACAGTATTTTTCTAAAAGTTATAATGTGAAGAGTTTAAAAATTGTATTTTCACTTAAAGCATGAGCCGAATTTGGGGCATTTTTATAATTGTTAAATTGTTTTCTTTGAAATATGATGGTTACTTCAGATATCTCAGCAGAGCTTAAATATTTATTTTCATTTATAATGTATGCATTAACAAACAATAAATTACCTACTTAAATAGCTAACAAGCATACCTACATGATTGCTAAGATGTTGAACATTTTATTCCGAGTTCCATAACTAAAAAATTATTTCAGCGATTATCTGCAGTATTAAATGAAATTTCGCATGCAAATATGAAGCTCTACAACCAAATTATACAACTTAATATAAAGAAATAAAATAATTAAAAATAATTATTCATGCGATTGCTTAAATTTTATTTAGGTACTTACATATGTATATTATGACGAGTTATGTTGTTTAAAGTATGATTTTTTTAAAATTCTCTATAAAGATAAAAAAAAAAATGTATAGTAGACAGATTAAATACACTAAACTTAATCTAGGTTGTACATCGGTAAAAACTGATTAAATCAAAAATAAAACACGCCATGTGTATGTCAACGTTTAGTTTACATGTCCGTGGTTTTGTATGAGTCACAGCCTATACCTGCAGTGCGGTTAAAGCATCTATTATGAACTTCCTAATACGTTTTGTCGCGGACTACAGCCTCAGCCTGTAACGTTTGTAAAATATAAACGTGAAACTATTTTTTTTACAATTGCATAAAATCCAGTTAACCATTATAATGTATGTTGCAGCAATGGCGTCCATAATATTGATCGCTCTGGTCGTGTCGTTTGCCGTGGCGTTCGCTGCAGGTAATTCAATTCACAATAATTGTCGGTATTCAAAGTTGCACTGACAATAATTGTTTTACTTTTTTATTTTTTCAAAGACAACCCGACCGTAAACTGGTCGTCCGAAGATGACTCTTTGCCGGAAATGTTACCGAAGAAAATGCGAGGACAATCCGACGAAGAAATCCAAAAAGCACTGGCCCGGTCGTACGAAACTCTTTTGAAGGTGGTCGCGGAGTACAGCACCCACCTGTTGGACCCACAGGTACCTTATGGGTATTTCAAAGACGAAATGCCTTTTCCCAATACCAGATCCTTCAATGCCGATTCCGACTTGGCGTTCATCAACAACAACATCCGAGGACTGTCCACGTATGACAAGAACGCAATCGTTATCCAATGGGTCAAAGATCAGGTGGATGTTACTTTTTTTTGTTTCACAGTCCACATAAATTATTAGGCATGTCTCGATATCGTGCTTAAACCCTAATTCAGTCAAAGGGAATTTAAAATCAAACGCTACTTTTGCTACTTGAACGCTGAAAATTAGAATTATGACATAGCTAACTCGTTATCGCCGTACTGGTATTATTTATACAAACGTTTGTTTTTCGGCAGGTCCTGACGGAAGTGGTTTGGAAAGAGACGAACATCAGAGGAAGATATCAGTTCATCAACTCAACGTACTACAACCAGGGAAAATATCATATTCAAGTGCAAGACTTGAAGTATGTGGCAAATACTCCGTTGGCAGAGAATACCGCCAAGTGTCCGTCGACGGTGCCCAAATCGAATACGAGTGTGTCGCACAAGTCAATTAAGGCGACGTTCACCGGAGGTCTGCCCGACGTAGCGAAAACCGAAGATAACTCTCACATAAAGTAAACGAAAACAATTGTTTCAAACACGCATACCTGTCAGCGCATTAATGCATGCCAATAGGGTGGAGTGAAAACATTTTTTTATGCCTATTTGAATTATATCATACCCGGGCAACGGTGCTTCGTACGCACCAGAAACAACGTGTTTTGTCCAACTTAGAAGTGCTTTCAAAACTATTTATATTTTATTATATTTTTATAACATTGGTACATTAAAAAAAAAAATGTGCTCGACGTATAGAACCGTGAACCCTTAATTGCAGTATAATAAAGTAATCTTAAACTTACTTTTTCATCTCGGTTTCAACTCCTTGGACTACACAAAACTTTTTACTTCAACACATTTGTTTCGTTGTTATTTCGAGATTATCTGGCAAAATGTAACTTTGAATGATACTACAAATGTTATCACTCACCACATAATTATTAACGTAGATCATATTTATAAGATATGTTATTATTACTAATTTCCTATAAGTGTAGGTATAAATGTCGGAAAAATACATTTATTTAACAAAATTACAACTGTTAAAATTTGTATTGATACATGATAAGTATAAAAAAAATGTATGATAATTGGTCCGACGATTTTTCTACCTATATAAAAAAATATACCATTTATGCCCAGTTCTGAATTCGCTAGATAAATTGTTATTTAATTAAACTGCGATGATACTTTTGGAGGACTGTCATCACCAGTCAGAACTTTAATTTTAGCCAAATTGTTGTTTCGGATCAGACAAAACCGTCATAATCTGAATTTTCCTAAAATTGGGCTTGACTGGCGATGGCCGCCGACCGAATATTTTGTACAAAATATTACTAGTAATTGTGTCGTTTGTGTATGTTCGAAATAGGTATTACTTAGAAACCGTTGCGTTCCAAGAGATTGCCGATCGCGTGGCCAGAGACACGCGCAACAATATTACAGTGGCCATCCGACAGGCCGTAAAGCCTTACATCACGTTCAAAAACGACACCTCGTCGGACATCCCCGGATTCGGCGGTAAGCTGCCGTCGGGAGCGGCGTACACCGTCAGCAACACGGTGGCCGCCGGTTTCGCCAACGCCGAGCACAAGGTGAAAAAAGTCACGGTGAAAATGGCCACCAACACGGCGACCGTCGAGGTGCGCACCACCGTGCACGGGCTGAACGGCAAATTCGACGTTAAACTGGAAGAGACCAAGCCGTCGTACACGGGCGCCGCCACGTTCACCGTGTCCCGTGTCGATATCAACACGGCGTTCAACGTACTCAAACCGACCGAGTGCAAAATCGATTTTGTCGCCAACCAAATCGCGGTCAAGTCGGCGGCGTCCAAACTGTCGGCGGACGCCGAGAAATTTGTGGCCAACGCGTTTGGCGAGAACATCAAAAATCATTTGTCTACACTGTTCTGCAAGACCATCAGCCAAGCCATCAAAGTCACTAAATAAGACACTATACTGTTATTTCAACATTATACACTGTTATTCATTTAAAAAAAAAAAAATCTATTTCTAAGCATCCAATTCCCCCCCATTTGACTTTTACATTTTAATGATTAATATTTCATATTAATATATTTTACGTTAATTGTATACAATATAATATAACATTTTTATATAATACTATCGTAATTATTATGATTTACGAATGTGCCATTTAAACGATCTTGTACACGTTTTTATAAATTAATCAATAAACCATAAAATTATGTTAATTTTACATATTTTATAAAATTCATTTTTTTAGAATTTTAATGGTTTTCTCCACTCTCAATATCTGCATAACTTCGCTCACCATAAAAGCTGAGCCATGGTGAAAATAATAATTTTTAAAGTTATTTTTTTAAGACAGGCTGTGAGGCTGGTTTTGAGGTCAATTAAAAAAAATTGTTATTTTAGATTATTAAAAAAAAAAAATCCAATTTCAAAGAAGAATATAACATTTTAGGTTTCCACCTTTCTGCTCACACTAGTGCAATTACAATAAATATTTGTTGTTTTATTTTTTTTAATTGGCTAAAAATAATAATTATATTAAATTATATGTTATCTGGACATCAGGTAGTATAGCTATTAATCAGCGAACAAACATCATTTTAGATAAGTATTTAAACTGTTATAACGAATATAATAGTCACATTAAACGAAGTTTAAAAGAACTCTACGTTTGTTGCACATTCATTTATTATACATACTTGTATTTGATACTATAATAGAAATTTGTTTCGTTTAAAATCGTTAAACATATATGATAGCAGTAGAAAAAAAATTAAAAACTTCAAAACATATTTTACTATAAGGTAAATTTATACTGTTTGTTCAATAATTTTAAAAATTATTTCATTTAAACATTTAAAATATATGTATTATTGGTTATGAAAATGTTCTGAGCATTGGATATGTTTTAAAAATATTATATTAAGCTGATTTGAACAATATTTTGAAAGCAATTTTTTAAAAATTTAAATGTTTTTTTAACTGGGAAACTGGTTTTGCGCCACTAAATAGAACATCAATTTTCCAACTAAACGTTTTTTATGGCTTATAAGCTGAGAAGGTGTTGTGTTGTGTGTTGTTTGTTGTTGTTTATTTGTCTGTCAACACGATAATTTTTTTTTTCCACTGGACCGATTTACTCGAGTAGCACCTATGAACTATATAAATATATCCGAAACCGTATGCGATTGGTACTTTGGCGGATCAAAAGTACAAAAAGTCATGTGTTATATTTTTATTTCATTTTACTTCGATGCGTAGCTGATCAGAATGTTACAAGAAGGTTAAAAGAAAGTTTTTACAATGCTGTTATTTAACATTTTTTTGTCTGGACCCACGATATCAGCTTCTAACCCGCTGAAGCGATTTCTTTATGTAGCAAGTCGTAGGATAAGAAGTCGTATCAAAAGGTACTTTAGAACGGAGGAAAGGTTGAAGTGTACCTAGTATTATTTTCATCTGCGCGCAAAACCCAACCGCACCTCCTATATTTTAGTTCTACTACCTTTAAAAGTAATGATACAAAACTGGTTATGGACCAGTCAACATTTTTAGCAAATTATTTATGTATATATATTACTATTCAAGTTTCAAAAGTTACCTCCACCCCTCCCTATTTGGGTTTTGACCGAAAAAAATGACAAAAACTTTAAACTATTATTGTTTGATAAAAATTAAAAATGGTTCACACAAGTCATTTTTTCAACAGTTTAGTATATCATCAACGTATCGAGTGTTACATGAAATTCTGAACACTGCATATTTATCAGCTAACGCTCGTTGATTATTATCACTGCACAAAAGAGAATATATCCCTATTACCTTAAGTAAGAATATTGAAACTGATTAATTTAAAAATTGCAAACGTGTCATGCCTACACGTGTGTAATTTAATTGCAAGAACATGCTTGTTTAAATGTAAACCGATAGGTTTTTACTGAGAATTAAAAATGGAAATACAACAACTTTCGAAAAATACCATTGAATTCAATATAATAAGGTACACTGTACATGTGATGTATCTAATCGCGCTCGCTAATCTGTTGAAATGTTTTGCATTAAAATTTCGTAGCTTTTGCCTACTCCAACGATAGACAATGGTGATAACTGTTGTTGACTAATGCATTCCCAATAATGTTATTGCTAGATAACCGGAAAGCGTTAAAAAAAAAAACATATAAATACATTAACCGCACACATCCCTTTGGCCAAACACACACGCGCATCGCTTACAAGATGAAGACGTCCGTTGGTTTGGTTTTGGCCGCTTGCTTTGCCCTGTCAGTCGGAGGTAAGTTCTATGTACATTTTACATAATACAAAGCGACGGTAAAAACAAAACTTGTCCATGTTGAACGTAAAATTAAAATTAAAAAAAAAAATTGTCTATACTTTTTCTTAACAGCAGAAAGATTGGTGAATTGGTCGGTGGACAACGACACCCTACCGGAGGTTCTACCGAGACTTGTGCCGAGCTACCTGAGCGACAGAGAAATTGAGCAACTGGTCTTCCAGGCTCACGAAATCCAGTTGGGCGTCATATCCGAGTACAACGGACACGTATTCGATCCAGCCATTCCGTTCGAGTACTTCCGGAATGAAGCGAAAATTCCAAAATCTCGCGTCGTCCTTAGCGACACCGAAATGGAATTCACCAACAACGAAGTCAAAGGATTGAGAAACTATGAGAAATGCGACATCATATTGAGATGGGCTCCAAACGAGGTAATTGTTTTTCCCGTTCAATATTGTCGTTTCGCTATCAATTACAAAGGTTCGACTGCGAGGCCGAACGGATAATGTTAAATTTTACTAAGAAATTGCCTATACAATGCGCCTTAGTAAATGCTAGCGTAATCGCTGTTATAAAATATATTTTCAAAAGTGTTGTTGGCTAGTTGTTGCGCCGCTGGTCGGGTTTAATAAGCCAATATTTTTTTAGTTATAAATTTAAACAACTTTGGTGTTTTTTTTCCAAGGTTGTTACCGAGGTGGAATGGAAAAACGTGGTTGTTAAGGGTAACTATTCGTACTCCACTGCTCAGTTATACGATCAAGGCAAATACTTCATTCAGTTCGATACCTTAAGATACATAGCCAACACCCCGCTGATCAACCACACCATGACTTATCCATCTGCAGTTGTCCCAAAGACTAGCTTGTCGTACAAAAAGTTTGAGGCGTCGTTTTCGGGCGACCTATCGGACGTAACGGACAGCGACGAAGTGACACTTACTCCTAGCATAAAGTAAACAAATTTAAGCTTTCGCTCATAAATTATTAACGCCATTGGCGGACGATAATTGTTAATTTACTATACACACAGGGTATACAATGTGTTCAGAGTGATATAAATGAAAACTATACAATTTTAATTATTTTCCGAGAAAATGAGTGTCTTATGTTAAATTGATCACTCTGTATAATATGTATATATGTATGATAAGTAATGTTTAGAATTACAATTAAGGTGAAAATGTTGTATTAGGTCTTATGTGGATGATATCGTGTTCGAACACCTCGCCAATCGTGTGGCCTCCACCATGTACAACAACATCTCCATCGCCATCCGTGAAGCTACCAAGCCCTACATTATGTTCAAAAACGTATCGGACCCACACTTCCCGGCTTTCCAAGGGCAAATGCCGGCCAGCGTTCAGTTCGTTGTGCCCGAGCAAGTCAAGCCAAACGGTAACAACGCAGATTTCCAGAACACCGACGTGGAGATGCGCAAAGACACGTTGAAACGTAATTCGCAAAACATTGAAATGATTCGCACATCCCTAAAATTCCAACACGTCTCGACTTCCCGAGGACAAAAACAGTCGCCCAGTGTTGTTCAGTTCCGCGTGCCTGACAATTTCACGGCGTACGGTCTCGACCAAATTTTCCAGAGGCTCAACAAGGTTTCGGTCGACACGATAGATAATCGAGTAATGGCCAACGTTAGTTTGGCGGTGCACAAGATGAACGGCCATTTCGACATGATCGTGGAAGACGCCGTACCGTACTCCGGCAAAGTGAATTTCCTCGTTGAACGCGTCGACATAAACTTCGAAATCAACATGTTCAACGGAGAGGAGTGTAACACCATCACCGCCGTCACCAAGCCCGAGCTCAACGCTCCCGACATGGCTTTAACCAAGGAGCAAATGGAAGCCATTTCCAACGTGTTCGCTCAAACCATAATTAACAAATTCGAACACAACGCTATCTGCATTGCACAGTCTGTTATGCTCAACAAAAGTTATTATTAACAACGGCTCATAGTAAAACAGTAATAAAAAACGAAAATTGTGGTCATTCGGTTTTTTTTTTCAGGCACTCTACTCGAAATAATATTATCATTGTAATGCATCAATTCTGAAAACTTTGCTTTTTTATTGTGTCTAAGATAGTTAAATTGTGCTTTTTGAGTAACATATTATAATGTACACATAATCTATGCTTTATACGTATGTGCGTACTACTAATTTAATTATTTAAATATATAATAGTATTAACTAATAACTGATACAATTCAAAAAGTATTATTAATAAACGTACCGAGAACACAGAGCGCAACGCTGACTTTTGCTTAAATATATTTAGACATTTAGTAGTAACTGACAAGACAAAATAATAAAAAAACACGTTATCGCAGTAATCGATAAATAAGAATTCTTACAAAGGTAAACATAATTTTTGTTGAACGCTACGGTTTTGCTGCGACGACAAAACACTTCATACCCAGCGTTGTACTTTTTTTCATCATCATAATATACGTTTTTGGTGTTGGGAAAATAGAATGAAACTCGGAAGGTTGTTGGAAAACATTTTTTTTTTTTGCTTAATTGCATGCCTACAGCCTAGTAAATATCCAATAGTTTACACGTTTTTATAATGTTATTTATTATGCTTATTCCGTCAAAACCAACAATTTGTTTTAACATACATAACGATATTCTTCGGCGCTCGCATACAGTGGAATTATTGTTGATTCTCGGTTTTGTGTTTCGTGGTTTCTGTCCGGCGGTTTATCATGCTAATGTCGTGGGCAAACAACCGAAACGTTGACACTAAAATAATTATTGTAAAGAGATCAGCAGCTGCGGGAGATGGATTTTTATAATAGTGGAATGGTACGAGGACAGTGCAGTGTCTACGCCGCGTGCCGATAGCTGGTCTCAGTAAAAAGTAGACCGGCACCGCGTATCAATGGTTTTTTATGTCTAATACCAACACCAATTACACAGCACGTGCTATGTTTTTACTCGTGTAATAATTTTTTGTTCGGATAACAAAACCAGAAAAAAAAAACACAATTTTTTCATCTTCCCATAATGGCTAAGCCAAATTGTTATTTTATCGCACTTCTTGTTTTTTCCATATTTATATGTTCAACGTCAGCCGGCACAAAAGCGGTACACGGTAAGTCGCAAAAATTATAACGAAATTTAGACAATTTTTATTAACGACATTCTATTTTTTAATACAAACCGTTTTGGCCAGAAGTTAATTGTGTGGTTATTCTACTGAAGAACTAATTTTTTTTTCTCTCGAAACGTTCTTCTTTTAAATTATCCGAATGCATTTTAAAAATAAAACGTTCTAATTGCTGTATGGGGTTATTATTTATATCCATCGACAATTGTGATTTTTATTAGGTATACCAAAATAAAAACGTTATGCTCGATAATGTTTGAAAACATTTTTAAACCAAACATTAGGTGTACTTTCCTAACTTTCCTAGTAGATAGTGCATGTGAAATAATATAATTAAAAGAGTTTAAAAATATATATATATATGAATCAATTATAAATAATTGTTTAATACATTTTAAAAAGTAGTGTGCTTCACTTGAATGTCATACACAAATTAAAATACAATAAACTCATACTTTGTTTATAATTTAAAAATATATATATTATTAAATAGATAACAAAAATAAAAATAAAATATAGAACTAAATTTACAATTTCTAACTACTATAAATATATTTAACTAACTTCTTGAGATCTAATAAAAATTACTTGTTTGCTGTTCTGTTGTTATATTATTTTTATTTATAATTGGCTTAATATTGGTTTATTAGTTAGTTATTATTAAATAATTAACTAATAATAATTACAACTATAAAATGTATGCTGTGATCAATGTGTGATGAAACCTACATAAGCGGTTGAAATATTAAGGCTTAATTACAAAAATAATACCTTGTCAGCTTCTCGCCGAAGCTAGTGACAACGTTTTATTTTAAAAACAAAACACATTTTAGTTAATAGTATATACCAACATGTTGTAATAAGCCATTAATCTAGTAACTAGTAAAAAATCTACTCTATGTTCACCGGACAGCAAAGAATTAAATTAATACCTAAAAAAAAATTGTGATAATTGTTTAAAAATATTTGTTTCTGATAATCAGTATAAAAAAATTTAATGACATTTGTATTACATTGTAAAAATGCCTCTGAAGATTAAAATTTACATTGAACAAATTCTATTTCTATACACACGTGGTTTTTACAATGTTCACCGTCTTAATTAACTAGCATGGACAACTTACAACAATTAACACTTAAACAACTATTTAAATATTATTTTTTTTATAATTACAGAGCAAGTAACAGCAAGTTTACAGCAAACATATTTTATTTTAATATCTAATTACAAATGTATGATAGCATAATGACATTCAATTGGTACACGCAATCCAAAAATAAAACGTTTTTTAACAAATTTAAAAATGTTATTATCTTTTAGCTTTTAATTATAATAAAGTAATACTTTAGTTTGATACACAACACCGATTGGCTGTTAGATTTATTGGTAATTTAAAAAAATTACGCCTTGGTGTATTATAATTCGCGACGGGGTTTCAGTGAAGCGCAGTGGGACTTTTGAAAAATCAACCTTAACTACTGGAAGGCTATTATGAATGATTCGGAATCGGCTTTGTGCGGCCACGAGTAATATCTTATATCCGTATTGTTTTCGGATGCCGTCGCGCCCATTGCAAAACTACATATTTTGGCGTCGATATAACGTTTGATTATTATGTCAATCAAGGTAGCCGGTCGAAACTTCCAACGGCGGTTCGGACAGACAACTTAGTCTCGGACAAAGCGTGATTTAGTGTATTTTCAAAAACTTTCCATTAGAAACGGTACGCGGCCAGTCTAATAAAATAAAAACCTGATCCCCGGAGCTGCCGTTATTGGTGATTTCTACAACCGGTCATCTCGTAACCGTGTAAAACAACATTATCATAAAATCTCGCCGAGTACACATAATACCGTATACCGACAACGCGGTTTTTTTTATTGTTATCCTTCGAATACGGTAAAAACGATTGACGAACAAACGCGAACGCAGATGAACTTGACGACCTGTACTCGGTGTGGGTTTGTGGTCAAAATGGGAAGACACACCTTGGTGCGGTGTGCTGCTCGTGTGTGCGCAACGATTTCCGGAACTGGACACGTTACGCAAGCGACCAGTCGACGGTGAAAGCTGGGCACATCTGCTTTAATCTGCCGCCGTCGTCGACTCGTGTGACTTGTCCGAGTGTTTGTTTCTGATACGGCAAAAAGTGCAACGATGGCAAGCAATAATAATAATAATATATCAAGTGCGGTGTGCCGTTCAAAGAGAAAGGTTCGGGTGTAATAATGATACACGTACAGCATAAACAACAGGACGTCATGGTTGGGCATGTTCGATAGATCTTTGAAATAATCGTGAAAGTGAGCGTATAGTCAAGGTTACGGTTAGCCCGCCGCCGTTAGGGGCATCCCCCACGGTCAAAGGTCGACGAAAGCGTTATGAAAGTATACCATGTTGGCCGACCACAATATTATAATATTATTCTGAACCGTTATGAATGGAAAAATACAAAAATTACACGATTAGACAGGCACCATCGGCCGGTAGGCAAATATTTTAAGCGATGTACTAGATTTGAGTAATTTCTAAAATCACAATTTGTTTTTACTGTAATTTCGATATCGTTCGAATGGTATTTGATTAAAATAATTCGTTTGAATAGACGTACGTTATTATATTGTACAGTTTCGAACAATCGTACTTGCGTAATTGTTCATAGACATCCCACTAATCCCGTTGGTTCCCACAACAATAATAGATACTGTTCATTTGTTTCCACCGTGGAATTTCAGACGAAAAATTGCCTTGTTCCATTTGCATTCACACAACTGGAAAACGTATCCTTAGAGACTCAATCGAACCGTCCTTGACCGCCCCCGTCCGTCTGTCGTCACTGTCTTCTATGAAGACTTGTTGTTTATTGTTTCCAAATAAAAACATAATTTTATTGTTTTGTGGCAAATCAAGTGAATTGTAATTGTTTGTACAGGCAACGACCTCGGTTTTCATGTCACCGTCGCGTTTAATAATTCTTCGCGGAATGCACGTGAATTACTTGACGATTATTATTATTGTCAAGAGATCTGTCAAAGCAAAGGGGATTGACAACGGTCACGGTAGTCTGGCAAATTTTGTTTAATTCAAAAGCATGCACAGAATCACGTCGATTACACATATTTTATCCGAACTATTCAGTCAAACGTCAAATAGATATCAAAATTACCGTGTTATTCTCCAAAAAAAAAAAAAAATTATATGGACAATCGTCATAAGCATTATACGGTGAACAGTTTACAGGTGCGCCTCCGAAGAAATTGTTTATATCGAGACCAGTTTACTCGTTTTTTTTATTTTTTTTATTATAATTATTATCAAATTCGAAAGTTGTTGTTAATCAGTAATTTTTATTGCTCCCGCGACGATAATAATGTATACCAAGACGATATTACACGTCGATGTGTTTATTATAATATTGTTTTGATTATCTCTCCATCTCTCTCTCTCTCTCGTTCCTTAGTCTCAGACGTTCGGATCGTTAAAATATAAATATATTATCGTACCTATTAACTGACGACTATGGAAACTCGGTCGTCATCGCGCCAACCGTTGTTCTACGCGGTACGGTAATTGCATAATAGAATTTGGTTGATTGTGTGTTTAATTTGCAATCGTTGCTAAATAGTAGCGGTCGATGCTTACAAATATATATATATATATATATATATATATATACACACACCGCGTCTGTTGGACTATATAGTGTAAAAAAAATATATATATATATATAACCGTGTGTAAAGTGTCACGGGTGTTAAACACCGGCCGACACAATTTCGTTTTAACAACCTGGGTTATTGGGACAATTGTCACAGTTTGTTAACACGTGTATACATATATACATATACGTTCGTTTTTAACCGTTGTCCGTCGTTTTTGTGTGTTCGGCGAATGCAAATTGTGCAACAGACAACGGCCGCTCGACCCCGTCAGACGTCTGTAAGTTGTAGTATTATGTTGTGTGACTTAACGCCCGACCTTTGGGGCAAAGGTCTTGTGGATGGATTGTCGAATAGTAGAATCGACAGTAAAAAAAAAAAAAAAAAACAATAGTTATATTGTTACGATTCTGCATAGTTACCCGTTTAACCGATTATTTATTGAAATCTGTCACGCGCTAAACGATGGACAAAACTATAACGATTATTTTTATAACGTGAAAAACAAAACAACAAATTTACATTACACAAGGTTGTGTATTTAATATTTTATACTATTGTAATTTTAATGAGAGGCAAGACATTTTTACAGAGCAGCAATGGAAATTAATTGTTTTGGGGATATCAAACCTCCTCTGGATTAATCTTTATAGGAATGTTCTGAAAAATGGCTCCGAGTGTTTTTAAGTGCATAAAACTTTGTTTTTTAAAATGCAAAATAAACAATCACAGTAAATACAAGCATACTGAAGCATCAGCAGCAGTTAAACTCCTTGGGACTGCGTACGTTGCAGCATTTTTTAAGCTTAAAAGGTTGTACGAATGGCTTATAATTTGACCTTGTTGCTAGGAGGTCGCAACAACTACTTCTTCAATGAGTAATAATAAATAATAGTTATTATTTATGAATTTCGATAACTTTGCTCCTTAAAATTGTTTTAAATTACTCTTAAACATTAACTACAAACACGTTGTATTTTTATTGATACTACTGCGAAAATCCCAATTTCCATCAATTAATAATATATTATATAATATAAACAATAATATGATTTTTGACATTTATTTTTGCCAACCTATTTATTGAAATTAGTTTTTCAGTCTAAAAACTTCCTAAACAAATTAAACAGGTATTTTTATACATTTTTTCTTACCATTGTTGTTAAGATACTTTTATCGATACTAGTATTAACAATTTTTTTTGTTTAAACGGCATCATCTAGTCTGATTTCCGATTGCATAAAAAAAAAAAATGGTAAATTTTATAGTTAATTAAAATTTAATGGACAGCTAATTATGGTTTAAGGAATTACTACATATTAAGTGATTCAGTATGGGTCGCGCTGTCTTAGCAAATTATTTCTGCATAGTGCTTGGTACAAACCATAATAATGTAGTTCCTATTATCATTTATGACTAGAGTATTATGTAAAAACTAGTACTCTTTTTTGTCTAATACAAACTTATAGCATTTTTTAAACGTTGCACGCACTACACGCGATTTAGGTTATTATTTTTGATTATTAGACAATGTCGATGTCTTTTTTGGAGATATTTTAGGATAAACAATATTCGAGTACATTCATTGTTTTTGAGATAAACTTTCGAACTAAACCATAAGGTTTTCGGTTAATAACATAAAACGTTAAAAATGATTTGCGGTTGTACCGTTTTTAACGCGATGGTGGATATTTGTTTATAAACGACTTGTCTATTGACCTTGCAAGTGTGTGTAAATTATATAGTTTGATATTATTTTTTAATTAAGCGTGATTTTCGCCAGACATTATATTGTTAACACCAGCGTACATACACATACATAATATAATTGAGGCTTGCGCTAAACGTAAAACGTTACCGTTTTGGTTACAAAACGTTTTTACAGAAATTTTAAACGGGCCAAATCGAAATGTTCAATTTGTGCGGCGGCGCTACAAAAATATTGCAAAACACGGTGCAGCCGCCGCATTGTTATGTGCCTGTATTATTTTTTCATTTTTTTTTTTTTTTTTTTTACCTATACCGACCTATACGCTACGTGTATTTTGCCGGATCAGAGCCCGCGACAGTTGCCCAATAAAATGTCACTACTCTCGTTATGGAAAATAATAATAACGCGGTACAATAATATATCGAATGGAAAATTATACACCGCGTGTGTTTAATATAATAATAATAATAATAATAACAACAACACAATAATAAAACAACCGTATAGCAATAGAACGTATTTCGTTTGTCACACGCACGACAGCGGCTAATGTCTAGGCCGACTTGCATTGTCATGAAAATAGCGACCGGGCGCAGTCCCAACACAAAACGCCCTATAGCGGTGGGCGATTTTTTATTTTTTTTTTTTTTTTACCATTATAAGTTATATTTGTTGTATTCTATTATTATTATTATTATTATATATTTTACATAGTCGCGCGTGCAGTCGCAATAGGAGCGTGATAATTATTACATATTAGTATTGTACGAGGCACCTACGCGCAAAATGAGTACTGCCGTTTAACAATCCTAGTAATATTATGTGGGCCATTGTTCGATTTTTTTTTTCTGAAAAATAACATAATATTCCACAGCCTGTAGGTGTTACACGCGTTGGAATACATAATAATTATAATGCGCAACAATTTGGCGGAAAGGGCGCTCGAAAATAGTGAGAAAAAATATATATCTTAACAGTACCTGCGTTTGTTCATTTCATGGGTAGGTTATGTGCTTTAAAAACTACCATAAACGAGATACGCAAATATGAACATATCCTATAAAAAGAATAACTATCGACTGCCCATAATAAAAAAATCCCTCTTAGAGAGGAGGGCTTAAAACGTTTGCCTCTCCTTCATTTCGACCATAGCCGAGCATGTGTAAGACGTGTAAAAAATAACACGCATAAGTAGGTAAAATATATGTATTTATGTACAGCGTTTCATCTCTATGTTATAGTGAAAGCGTGTACACAGTAGGTAGGCTATATTATAGCCCGCAGCCCATAGGCACTTGTATACCAATCAAATCGCTCTTCCAGGTCAAACGCACAGGAACTACGGGTTGTAAATTCATATCACGTCACAATAATTACTGGCACGCGTTCTTTCAAAACTAAACCATCAACCTTTTACGTCTTGATGATTTTTAGATATTTCTACGTTGCGAGTTGCACAAACCGCGCATGCCTCATTGTTTTGCTGTGGATTTATAAACCATGCGTATACCTCTGTACCTGTATGTGAACGTTGCATAACCGACATTATAATAATTACAATCAATCGCATCGCGGTTAATGTTGTTCAATCGAAGGAACGGTTGTACTATTGTAACAACGACAATGTACTCGATAGGATTATCCGTAGGACGTGATATCGCATCGGCCGCATACGTTTCTATTTAAGAATAATAATTTCTAAATTAGAGTTGTGCATAAAAAAAAAATTCACCGTCGTTATTAGTAGTGTATTGTCAAGTGTGTAAACGTCTCAAGGCGTGCGTGGAACACTTCCTGAGCATAGGCTTGATATTACCATATTATATAATAAAATAATATATTGCATAGTAGAGGCTTAGAACAAGTAAAAATCAACGCCGAATAAAGAGGCTTGTGGTTTTAGACAATTGGGCATGACGGGTCTCCGATAGCTATAGAATAACGTTAAGCACATAGTTTATCAATTGATTTCAATTAATTCAATTTAAAAAATCATTAATTAAATCTTCCATTGATGTCGGTTGGAAAACGATTTTTTTTGATTTTACATTATTTGTCAATTTACCATGTTTTATACCTGTATTTGTTTTACGATTTTTCTTCAATTTTCGATTGAGATGTTGAAGAAAACTAATTAACATCACACCGTTAAGAATAAAAAATACGTTGAAAATATAATTTTTAAATTAGAAATTGCAATTATTTCTCTCCCGTTAAATTGTATAAAAATCACTTAAACCCTTTTGGTTCTTACCATTTCATACGTTCGTATGTACACATAAAATATGCTGTATTTTTTTTTTTAAAGCATCTCAATATTATACAATAATAAATAAAATATATATTGTACATACACTGACCGTCATGGCTAAAACAACCGAAGCTTATAAGCTATAAAGTCTGTCAAGTAATTTTAAATTAGCTTGTATGTTTTATTTTTTATGGAGATTATAACAATGTATAATATTACATTTCTATGGATTTTAAGCTTTTTTAGCTATTTAACGCGAAGCTAAGATTATATATTTGTTTATTTCACCCGTATGTGCTACTATATTTTGTTTATGTTACAGAATCTCACAAAAATATTCGACAGAAACGAATCAACCCAGAAGAATATGTAGTGAGTATTGTTTCTTTTAAATTTATATTTTTAAAACTATCACAATACATATGTTTTATTATATTACTGACATATCGAAAGTTAATAGTAAGTAATATAAACGCTTAGGCGGTAGGCCTATTAATTTAGAATAACATTATGACGTTATTTACAGCTATATATTAAATTATGTGATATTAAGTGTTAACAAGTAAAATCTTATTTTAATGATAATCAAATAATGCTAAGTGTTTATCAGGTATCCAAAGTCCACGAGTGGAAGTATATTTTGTTCTCGTTCGTTTACTTTTAACGAAATTAATTAGTCAATTTAAAGTTTGGAGAAAAAAAAAGATTAAGCGAATTTAGATTTCTCATATTATGCGATTAATATGCAGTTAATTATAACTAATTTTTAATACATCTATATACATCATATTATATTTCTATATATTTGTATTTGTTTGTAAAATCAAATTCATGGCAAGTGAAAATTAAGTTTGCAGATTAGTAGGAATTGATGCAGCTATCGTAAATGCATAAAATGATATTTTATGATATTTATTTACATTGATATTTGTTTTTATGTAAAAACTGGTTAGCAGTGTACGTGCTAAATGTTAAGTTGTTATACAATCGATGTATACCTATAACCTAGCTCATGTAAATATAACAAAAAGCGCGACACCTTCTGATGAAACTTGTGCTTATTTTTTTAAATGTTATTAATGTAATAGAATACTAAAACTACTTTTAGTTTTTTTAATTAGATGTATTATATTTTTAATACAATGCAGTTTTTAAGGATTTCCAATTAACTCTAGTAACCCGATATAAACGTCGAAAACAAATTAAAAAAACATTGCAACATTTAGTTTCATACGTAGATAATATATTGTAAAAGTAAAAATACATTGGTACAATTTAATATAATGTCCGTTAATTTGTTATGTATAAGTAATCAATAGTTTACTTTATGATGGTTTACTTTCATGTAAAATGTCATTTATTATTTAACACCGAGCAAATACGTTTTGTCGATTAACAATATTCTAAGATCTTTTATCTCCGAGAAAAATAGAAAAGTGCACCTACAATTTTATGATTTGTGATAATTATTTAAAAAAAAAAACAAATGTCAGCTTTTCATCCACTTACTCTTATTCAAACATGTTATCTGACTGACGAGAGTTTATGATAAATATTAAATACTTACTTACTACTATTCATTATCACAACATCGTCATTACTGCAACAGAACTTATACAGTATGATTGACTAATACATATGTCGTATATGACCCAGCAACTTTTTAATAGTTCTCTATTAATTTTATTTTTTATTTTTGAAGGCTTCCTAGCACAAAGTTATCTTAATGTTCTAATATATATATATATATGTTTTGTAAGAATATCTCTCTTTCAAACATTGACATTAAATTGGCCTCTGTGTATGATTATCAATCATGTCGATACTCAGTTTTGAACTAAACTAAAGTTAGTGTAATGGAAAAAGGTGTAATAGTTTTATTCATCTTTGTATCAGAAAATCTGCAAAAGGAAAAAACGAATAGAATCGTGTTTAAGAAATCAGCTGGGTCGTAATTAGCTAATCGCGCGGTACAAGTGATTAGCTAACAGTGATTCTTTTGTCATGCCGTTTTTAATCGGCCCAAAAAGACAACGATGCTGAACCTACTTTCCAAGGGAGACGCCGCTCGCCAAATATTCAATATAATAATATCATTTTATATCGCTAGTATACATAATTGCTCACACATTCATTAGTGTAGCCAATATAGTATTTCCATATAGATCCACATAAGACAGTTTCCGCCTATAACTTGATTTTTCAGCAATTTAAACATTAGTTGACGTAGATGAGTATAATAATCATTTTTAAGTCTTATAAGAAGCGTTTTAACGTAAAATTCAAAATTCCAAAATTATTTATTATATCGCTCGGACAATTTTTCAATTAAGGATAAAATATAATTTTAAAAAGTCTTAAATGACCGTTTGCACCAACTATGATTAAAATTGTAAGAGAGTTAATTTGGTTGGTAATTAAGTTGATTCAATACTGAAACTATAAATTAAACCGAAATATATAGGTTATTTACTTAAGTATAGTTGGTGCAAATAAGTAATAATTTTGCACTCAGTTTGTTTTTATTAATACGGCCCCTTTTTGCACGTGGATTTACTTACTAAATATCAAAACTAATCTCTTACAAATAGCTAATGCTCATTGGTCATTTCTTACTTGAACCATTTTCATTTATTACGTAAAAACACTTATTTTTCTTATTTTAAATTTCTCTTTTAATGGATGAATTCGCATTAATTATTTTTACAAGTTATCCTTGTTCGTTGTAGCTTTTATTAAAGTAGTGGCTGTTTTTTCCCCAAACGGAACCGTCATTTCTAACGGTAATAAGGTAATTGATTTATTGTTTCGCAGAACCAACCGGATGCGGTAACGGCCAGTCAACATTTTCTACCTTCATTCGGACCTCTCTTCGGTCACTCTTTTGGACATCACAGGGCACCCCGAGTTTACCAAGAGGCGGAATACTTGCCCGAAGTACCGACTTACCATCTGACAGCTTCAGCTTCCAACCGCGAAAGCTCCATGCTGGGTTCCGGTAACTTTGGAGTTATACCCGGTGGCACTTACTATTCGGGCGGTGCTGGAGAATCAGCAGCCTTGTCCGAGCAGTACTTGTACGACGGTAACAGTCACGGACGGCCACACAGGTAATGGAACCTAAAGGCTATATGGTTGTTGTTTTTTAAACTTTCAACTAAGACCTGTAAAAAGTGCAAATAAGAACATGACCATAACACAAAGATCACCGAATATTAATTATTTACACAGTTCCCATGCAACAATAATATATTTTAATAATATCAGGTAATACGTTTCATTAAAATGTACAATATTTAATGAGAAACGTCACAATATTTGTACATGATTTCTAATAACCTTGGAATATCCTGTTAATATCCCTAAGGTTTCCTATGCGGGTATGAAAAACCGAAAATTCGTCTAGGATAACCTACATAGAAGCGAGTGCGTGACCCGAATCCATATTAGATTCGAATTTATAAAAATAAAAACGTTATTTTAGCTGTATTTAAAGTCGTATTAATATTTATTTTAGATTCTCTTTGTAGAAATGTATCTAAATTGAAAATATTTTTCTGAAAAAGTTTTTAAAAAGTAAAAACTAAAAAAGAAAATCTATAGAATTCGAGTTCTATCGATCCCTTGTTCAGTATTGTTCTAAACAATTTTTTTTTTGTACTTTATTTCTCTCTTGAAATTTGTTTGTTATTATTACATTTTTTCAAGAATTCAAAATATTACAATCTACTTTTTTTTACAAATCTGAATTTTGAACATCCACCCCTATTTAGTATTTCCCATAAAATGAAGGTACAAGAACTCCCTGTACGGTTGTTAGGAACAACGTGAGGATTCCTAACTTGAAATACCTAAACGGAAATTAAATTGATCCATACAGGAGATCTGTTTGGAGTAAACATTGGGAAAATCCTATAGATAAGACTTCTGGTGTTGTTAGGACTTTTTTGCATTGACGCAACTAGAGAGCCCCAACTAAACTCCCTCACAATTTCGGTTTAAATATTAGAATCGTTACTTGGCGACTATGCATAATTGGTTTCTGGTATTTTTTGGGAACCTGAATGAGTAAGAAAAATTTTAACTTTCTTAGCCCTCTGGTGGTGCCAATGTTTTTTTCGACAGAAAATCTAATATTAATAACACAAATGTTTCAACGAACCATTAACATTTTTTTAATTGCCGTGTGGGGGTTTTAGTCGTATAAAATATTCAACCAGATTAGACTACATTGTGTGAACATACATTGTACAAATGTTCACAAAACTCGTGTTCTCATTTTTTGTTATTACTCTGAAAGATTGTCAGATTTCATAACAGTACAGGTATTAGGTACCTATAATTATTTTTAACGAACTAAGAGGACCCTGACTCGGCTAACGAATTCTTTAACTCATGTGATAATTAGACATTATAAGTCTTTTCATCGTGAGTTTTATTAATATTATTTTCAAATCGGCGTGTGAGTCTTGTGTTCTTATGAAATGTTTGCGTCTTGGTTAGACAAATCTCTCTGAATTTTGTCTTCATGTAACATCCATCATAATTATAGTCTTTATTTAGTAATACACATTTATACGCTGTATGAACATTCTCTACAACGGAAGTGTAGTATATACATTAAGTGCAATTAGCAATAAACGGTTAACACTATGGTCAGTGCGTGACTTGGTACGTTGCACAAGCTAAGAATTGCAAACGTTTATCTAGCACTCACGCTATATATTATTATTAATACAATCGTACAGGCCAAATTGAAGAGGAGATACGAAAGATGAACTTACTCTAAATTATTTCAAAAGTCTTAATGATCTTTGTAACGCGATTATCTCATAGTGATATTGAATACTAGTAATGAAATATTGTTGTTAAAGGACTAGGTCAAAAGACCAGTTAGACTAAGTTAATATTTTTGAAACTAGTATACATTTTTTGAACATTGATATTTTTTTGTTAAAAAATATTATTATTAGTATTGAGCTGTAGATGTGTGTGGCTTATTAGTAATATATTTATTAAAAAAACACCTTGTTCCAGATTTTCGGGCAATCCCAGGCCGTCGCCGTACAGAGATCCAGAAGATTTCTTCGCCGGTTTCAGGGACTTTGCAGACATCACAGCCCCGACCAAATCGTCGTTCTCCCAATACCACATGGTGTATGCACCGGCCGACGATTACTACCCGGCAGACGATAAGACCAAGTCGAAAAAAAAAAGGAAATTGAACAAATACCAGGAAAACGAGAAGGACAAGACGATCAAGGCCAAGAGGAAAATCCACGCCGGCGAAAAAGAATTATACGAACCAATGGTCGCACTAAGCCGTTAACGACTTCAAACCGTTAAGCTTAAAAAGAAAATCTAAAAAACAAAAATCTATACGTTATTTTAATTGTACAAACACGAAAAAAATGGTAAGAGAAGCGATAGTTTCCCCGTCCTGTATAATTTGACAAGTGGCGAAACATGATGACACCTCTGTTTTGATACTTGGCCGTACCAACTTAACCTAACCGCTATAATAATTATAGATAAATGTATGTAATACCCTTTACATGTACACCGGTTGGACGTACCTGTATGCAACACTTTTGTGTTATTGTTAATACTAATGTGTATTTATTTTTTATCGTGCCAAACATTCGTACCTAAAAAGTTGTAAATGCTTACCAGTTGGACTATTGCAATAGTTGGTAATAATTGAGGTGCAACGCACAATTGGATTGAAAATGATCATTTTGGGTTTTATGCGTGAAGTACAAGTATTGCAATTTGTAGTGACGCCCTTCTTTTATTTTTACTTTACATTGTATACCGTGACAAATAAGTAAAGCCACTAAAGCGAGAATATCAGTATCTGCTAATCATTTTAATTTGAAAAAATATTAGAGTAATGTATAGATGGTTCATAACAATATTTTGAGCAAATTTTTATAAAAGTTTCAAATTTTAAGATAAACATCAATTAATTTTTTAATCATTTAACAAAATAGAAATTATGAATTGCCAGGACGAAAAAGATGAGCAGAGTAAATATACCAACCAATTTTGCCGAAGAACCTAAACAAAGCGCTAAATAATAATTGTATAAACAAATAATAACTTAAATTGACCTACCTATCTATATGATATATATGTTTTTTAATTCTAGTACATTAGAAGGAATATGCATAAAATATTTTAATAACAAGAAATTTTAAACAAAACCGAAACTTCAGTCAATTATATATACTCAAAAAATAAATATGTAAATATATCAACTCATAGTATAATTTCCTTGTTTATTAACAAATATTTTGAAATGCATATTTTATTTTGAAATCAAATTCTGATGTTCTCGCTTAACATGACCTACACCAATTACTACCGTCTTGTATCTGATCTAATGATCAAATAATAATTATCGGTATGATATGATATTCAACTTAAAACGTTTTTACCATGTAATTTAAGTTTTAAATCGTTTGAAATAAACTATATTTTTATATATTTTTTTAATGATATTATAATTGGTTGCCTGTTGACTCATAACGTGAAAACAGTATAAAATCTTTTTAGCTTTTTCCTAGTTACTGTGTATACTTTCTAGGCTTAACTACCTATAAGACCGTGCACGTAATTAGAATATTACAAATCTGACTAGTATATCCACTGGCCGTCACCATTCTTCTCCTACCCGTTGTAATATGTACCTAATGCTACTACTATTTGTAAAAAACACTGTAAATATATAAATATATATATATATTTTTTTTTTTGGTAAATATATGTGTATAATGTTAAGATGTCTAATTGATATACGTATTGTTAATGTAACTTAAGTATAAATAATTTCTTGTTAACAAATAAATATGTTTAAATTTTAATAAAACATTGTTTATTAAATAAATGTAAATTGTACCTATAAAAAATGATTCTACAGCCTACAATCCTCTTATTTACCGTATAATGATTTAATACTATAATTGCGAAAAGAGGACACAACTCATTTTCAATAATAAAGTATACTATATGTATATATGTTTTTCCCAAATCACTTAACATACTATAATGCTATTGGTTTGTAAAGTTTATTTGGGAGTTAAGGATTTTTTAATGTAATTATTTCGAAGAAAAATATACAATGAAATATTGACAACATGTCAATATGCTATTGTTGTATACAGAGATGGGCAGAATTATTGATAACGCATTATTGAATTATTTTTCAATTAATCCAAGTAATCCAGGATTAAAAATAACTTTATGATTAATGTTTATTTCTACAATCTGCAAAAAAATTCATATTATACCATAATCAGTTTAACGTTTTTAATTTTTGGTCGTATAATGTACATTACATTTATGATTTGTAGTCTTGTTGCATGCAAAAATCGGCTCAGTGGTTTAGGAGATATCGTACCCCCGATAAAAATAAAACAAATTATTTTAATAAAACAAAAACACTTCCCTGCTCCGCATAAAAGTAAAACATTATTTAAATACGTTTTAGTTTTTAATTGAAAAAAAAATGTTATTTAAGTACAATGTTTTGGATTACTGGAATAAAAAAAAAACAGTATTTCTTAAAGTTAGATTACTGGAATAAACAAATAATCCTGGATTAATAATGTAATCCGTAATCCGTGAACTTGGGATTACTGAAATAAATGTAAACGGATTGTAATTCATTTTGCCTATCTCTGGTTGTATTCTTTATAGTTTTATTAAAAAATACAATTCGAATGAGAAATCCATCGTTGTCAAATTGCAATTACATATACATTCAAACAATAAACAAATTAAAAAAAAGAGAAACTTTGTTCTCAATTTATTAAAAAGCGAGTGCAATAATTAGATAACTCCACTGTTGAATACTTTTCAGAAAAGACAAACATTTTTTTACCGGCGTTGAAGATTGATTTTATCTCAACCCTGGGAATTGTTTAATTAAAAACTGAAATATAAATAATATTTAATTTTTCAAACTCAACAAATATCCAAATAATAATTCAAAATAAATTTTAATTTGAAAAAATTTTAATAGCAAACAGAAAAATGATATAAATACATTTTCAATTTTAACTCTTTTTAGCTTCGATGCGGAGCTAAATCAGTTGTACCATTGATTATGTAATAGACATTCTATCACATAATCAATGGTTGTACTAATTCCTTTAAACCTGTGTCTTCCCCCGCGTCCCCTCTATGCCCCGACCCCACTGTACTGGTTTTTTTATTTTAATAAAAATGGAAATAATAGTTTACATTTAAAAAAAAGGGGTAATACTTTTTTATTTAAATAAAAAATTATGTTATGCTCTAAAGAAATGTCAAAACATGAAATTAAAAAAAAATGGAGCTGTCTGGCTATATTACACTGGGAATTATTTCCAAGTACTTTTATTCAATATAATGATGAATAATTTAAATATTACATTTTAAAATCCATTGTTGCATATCCCAAAGAGATTGATAACGTACATTGAAAAAAAATCAATTATAGGACATTTTATCTACAGATAAGGCAAATCGTAAAAAAAATAATGAATAATAAATATTTTGTTCTATTTTCCAAGTAAATTTTCAGTCAAACATCAAAAAGATAAAACAACTGACTGGATAAATAACACACGATATCAGATAGGCTACTCAATAAAATAATATTAGATAGTTTATACAATACTGAATAATAAATACAAATGTAGAAAGAAAAGCGCCAAAATGAAATAATGATATTCTAAAATCAATAGTAAGTATTAATACTGTATAAAAAATTAACTTACAAAATGTAAAATATACTAAAGTGATTTTAAAATATTATTAATGACTTATAACCAGACTTACAACCGAATCAGAAATCACATATATATATATAACTAAAAATAAAAAATACTCTTGGCTAGTTCCATTATATGTTAAAAAAATGTATAAATAAAATATAATTACTTAATAAACGTATAGAATGAAGTGGACAAAAATAAAGCTTCTCACTTAATGTTTTAATCAAGAAATGTATTTACAATTTAAATTTGGTACTAATAAATTGTATAGTTTAATCACGATTTAGATATGAAAAAGGTACATGCGATTTGTTAAGCTTTGAAATCTGAAACCGAGTCACTTATAGAAGTCTGCTTATTGATACTGTTAATTTCGACAGCTGAGTCCTTAGTCCTAATACTCGACCTGGAGAATGAGCTAGTCCTAGTCGATACACCGCTTATCGATTGTGTAGAGTTTGAACACAATTTTTTCTTCAATAATTTCAGGACTCGTTTTTTACAAACAAAAATCGAAAATATCAGCACACCTTGTAGGGTGTTTCCAATATCCGTCACGTACCATATAGAACTCGAACTATCAAACGCCCACGATATTACTTCCGCGAGCCAATTTATTCCCATCACAATGAATAATTTAAAATACAACATAAATCTGAAACATATATTACGCATAAATTTATCTAACATCTGCAGCTGCTTATATGTATTAACATTTAACAATAGACGATATTATGTTCGAGTAATGAGGGCGGTTAGGTAACTTGATTTTTAGCTTCGATGCGGAGCCTGAGAAGGTACTGTTTTTGTGACAATGATGTGTTTTTATTTATTTATTTTTTTTTGTGTCTGGACCCACGATATCTCATAAACCGCTCAACCGATTTCTTCGTGTAGTAACTTTATAGATCAGAAATCATACCTGAAAGGTACTTTGTTAGGTCAAAAATTAAAATTACGTCACCCCTTCCCCATCAAAGTTGAGAAAAACGCCCAAAAAATGTACAAAATGTTCAATTTAAAATTACGATGCTCCATAACTTTTTTTAAAAATAGTCGAAAAAGTTCCAAATTTATATGAATTGTTCTTCAAACATATTGCTATCGATAAACATTAACAAACCAAAAAAATAACATAAACCCTTTCCCCTAGAGGGGATAGAATTTTTTCTTTATTTTACTTTTTCAATCAAAGTTTTAGAGATTTAAATCTGAAAATTAGACCGAAGGTAGGTCTAAAATGGAATTATAAAATGTACAATTTCCCCAAAAATCTGTAGTCAAATTTTTTTTTATTAAGGAAAAACCCCAAAAATAGGGTAAATTTACACTTTGGTCGTAGTCAGTTTCTAAGTTCCGTGAGTGAATCATCAACAGTCAACGGGTAATGAAAATATTTTCATTATATTGTTAATTACGATACATGGGTAACTATGACAGTACATTTTTATAGACAGACGATCAACCCTTATCGTAGTAACCACCCTGCACAAGACTACATATTAAATTTTAAGTACATTATTGCTGGTCCCACGCGATAGCTTCTAAACCGCTATAACTGGTTTGAACATACTATCCACAGATTCGCATCGAAGAGTTTATTCAAAAGCGATTTTATCACTTTCAGTTATAATAAAAACTGTAGACCTTTGACGTCTCCACTATATCCCGACCCCACTGTACTGGCTTTTTAAACATAAACATGCATTATTTTCTGAACGACTCTGATATATATATATATAACTATATCATGCCTCTAAAGTTTTTAATAAAATTGTACATGTATAGCTCCACTCTAGATCTACCTTCAGTCTAATTTCCAGATCTAATTCATACAAATGAGAAAATGAGAAATAAAGAAAAAGTTTCCACCTTTTCTAAAAAATAAGAATAATAATGTTGTTTGAAAATGATAGAATAAAATATTATCTTTTTACGTTTTCCATTTATTTTAGCTTTCATTTTACTAAATTTTGTCTAATTATTTTGGAGTTATAAACCAAACACCATATTATATTATGTAGATAGTAGGTCGATATAATTCTTAGTAAGCATATTTTGTGTTTCGTGTACACCGAGTATGTAATTATTATTATTGGGAGACAGTCGTCGTTTTTTATTTGTTATACTTATTTAACCCTTTTACTGTTTGATACGCTTCTGAATGAGGATTTTATTCCAACTAATTCTATTATCAATATATACACATATACAAATACCGTACTTATACACTAATATATGTCAATATTCTTAAATGATACTATTTATTTAATACCTTTGTTTTTCGTGATCAATGTTTTTCTTGCTCTCTGACCCAACGAGTACTTTTGCGTCTCTCATGTGTATGACTATTTTTACTGCAGTATAAATAAACATCAGTAAATTACTGAATAATAATACACCGATTGGCCCATAGAAATACAAAAATGTTGCGGCTTTTGCTGAAACAAGTACAGTTTTAATAAAATATAAGTAATGGCAGTATAATTGTTTTAAATTTAATTAGCTAGAACTATGTCAAAAAACAGAAATTAACTTTGACCGTTGATCGAACTTAAACATTTTGTGTTAAAAATAAAAAAAGTTAAATTTGTATTTCATAGAATCGTCGTTGAAAAAAGGAAAAATCTATTAGTCTATCTTGTTTGAAAATAACTTGATAATTGTATGCAGTTCGAATAAATAACATTTGTTTTGGTACAATGATGTAGAAAATAACAAACTGAGAATCTCAAATTATACATATAAAAGCTTGTGTGGTTTAAAAGGATTTGAAATAATTACTTCACAAATCAAAAGATAATAATATAATACATAATTTATAAATTAGTAGATAACAGATCTTTCGATATTTGCTTTATGTATTATAAAAGGACGAAGATATATTATATTATAATGTTATTGACTGTTGTTTTACTCACAAAAAAACCAACAACGGGTTTTTCCGAATTCTGGGCGGATAGCATTTGGTGATACCGTTGGCGAAAATTCCATGTATAAAGTTATGATCATTATACTAATGGAACATCCCCAGGCATACATGGAATATATAACAAACTTTTTAGCTTCTTGTCTCTTAGCGTTTCCTTTTAGTGGTCTAAATCCGCTAAAATCATAAATAAAAAAATGTTAAGAATTTGAGTGTATACATTTTCATTTTCAAAAGGAAAAATCAGTACCTACCTACATATAAATATGGGCGAAATTCGAGGTTTCAGAATTTTAAAAATCTCAAAACAATGCATTAAACAAAGACATTTGGTCATAAAGGAGGTTTAGGACTTAAGATTTTAAAAATGATTTGTATTATTTTAGTTGTTAGCTAATTCGTCTAATTCGCTTTATTTTTTGATCCCACTTCCAGAGTTCAACGCAGAATCAATTTATTAGATGACCTAAACAATTGCAGCTCCCTGTATCTAGTGTAAAACTATTAAATTATGATAATATTCGCTATATGATGATACATAATTTGTTTTATCATAATACAATAATTGTAAATACATTAACAACAGTAAGATGTATGTTAAACGTTTTAATTATTGTCAAGAGACTAAAAGGCATAGTCGACGGAGTGTGTGTATCATTATTAATTAGGGTTTTGGGAAAACCTTATTGGAATATAGAAATACAGTAATACAAATAAACCTATCAATATGATAATTATAAGTCGATTTACCTGAACGTCCACCATAAATCAAAACACATGACGTTTAACCATAAGAAACTGGCCAAAAAAGAAAACTGAACAATGTATGCTAAAAAAATATAAAAAATATTTAATTAATGCGATTATTTGTATATATATATATATATATAATATGTACATATATGTAAAACATGTTAATGACTATTAAAGTAACAATTAGAAGTACAACTATTGTTACAGTTCATTAAAACAGTTACGTTTTTAACCGGTGCTAAATGCAGTTTTTCATAAACTACATAATAATTTTACAATTTAAACATTGAACCTAAAACAAATTAAAATTTTAAAAGTAAACATTTAAAATAAAATATAAAATCGTTGGTATACAATTTTATTTGTTCATTTTATTTATTACTCATGTGTACAATACATGATACAATATGATTAGATAGCGTTAATATAACATTAAAAAACTACGTCATAATGAGTCACTCATGAATATGATACTGAAATGTCACTATAAAAAGTCTCATTAAAAACATTATTATAACTACTAAATGACAATAACTGAATTATCCCGTTATTATTTTTTTTATCTCAAACAACTGTAGTAGTTTTATTTTCTCGGGTGTTTTAATGTGCATTTGTCGGTGAGACAGATAATTAATCAGTAGCGGTAGCTATGTTTCGCGTTATAAAGCCATTGTAAATTGACGATAGTCTTCAGGCTTAAACCTTGACTTCGGTTTCATTGCTATAAGAAAAAAATGTGAAATTAAATTAAAAATTGTTGTTCAGATTTAAAAGAATGATAACATAGGGATTTTTTCGATTTGTTTACAATTTATTATCTATTATATTATATGAACGTTTTTATGTATTTATTAGTATTTTATTATTAATTATATTTACTACCCTTTTTAGAAATTCTAACTACAAAACTTAACTTAGGCATTATAAATTAGTGTTTGACCACGTGTAGAAAAGTAGTTTAATATTATCGGTTATCGTTTAATTGTTTGCGAAATTTGTTGATATATTATTTAATTTTTTTTCTGTTAATTGGTGAATAAATATTGGCTATTAAAATTATCAAAGATTAGTTAACTTGAATAGAGTGAGGCGAAAACCCCACTTAAATTTGGTGTTTTCTAGCAATACCCCACGCATTTTTTAAACAAGTTAGTTAAGTCTAAAGCACAATTTTAAAATGTAAGTAACTAGAAAACAAATGTGTTATTGCTACGTAAGTTGAAAATGTATAAGGTTTCGGTGGTTTAATTTTTCATACTTCACAAATCGTTCTCGGTTGTAAATTGTTCTGTTTACATTTTTGATGAATTTTGTCTACCCACTGGTGTTTCACAACGATCACACCTGGGACCGTTGTTGTTTTTATTATTTATACCTACATGATATTTGACAATTCTATTAAAGTTTCACTATTTGCCGATGATAAAAAATTTTGTTGTCAAATAAATTATCTTTATGATTCTGAATATGTACAAAATTATCTAAATAATTTTTTTACTTTGATCATTTTCGGATCTATCCATATTGTCACTAGTCGGCTGACACTTGGAGGGCTCAGTGCAAAAGTTAACCAAGTCCATTTTTTCACATTGTGAGGTGTTTCGCGCAAAAGTAATATATTTCAGTGCCACAGTGAACCAAGTCCATAGTGCATCTCAATACCAACATGTACCACTGAGTGGATTAAGAGAAAAAAAATGTTCGGAGCCAATTACTGGAAATCAGCTGTGACGGACTTGGTTGACTTTCGCTCGGAACACATGCGTAGTATCCATGTTTAGAGAAATAGTCACTATCGCTATTGTTTCCTATCGGTATTTAAATGTCTATACGAAATGTGCCATTCGCGTACCCAAGTCTTTCTCGTAAATACCTATACATTTGCTAAAGTTGCTTTTAAATGCAAGCGCGACATTGATTCTTTATTTTCTATTGCAGGATCCGAGGTGGCTAACCGACTGTCCGCCACTTTAGATTCGTTTAATACTCGGCATAGCACGCCTGTGACTTCGATATTAAAATTTGCCAAGCATCTTTTGTGCTCTGTCCCCGTGAGAATATACCTGAGACTGTGCATATAGTATGGCCAGTAGGATTGACGATTTGAAGGAACCCTAAGAAGGAGTAGGCCACGGCCATGCTGAACACGTGACACATGAGCGATTTCCCGTGCAAGTTCCGGAGCTCTCGCAAGCAGGCGTACACGGAGAACGTGATGACCAGAAACGGCACGGACAAGATCAGCGTGGTAGAATAGATGGTCATCTGCAAGTTGTCCGTGTCGGCTTCACTCTGCTGCGCGTCGTCGGGCAAGCACGGGAACGCACGCGCCGCGGCGTTGGCTCCACAGCGTTCCAAGCAATATTGGCCGGGTTCGAAATCACCGGCGTCCACGGTGGTCAGTCGGCCGGTCGTGGCGTTGATCCGGTACGCGTCGTCGGCGTACCGGTCCGGTTCCAGTGGAAAATAACCGCTCGGGCACGGCGAGCCTGCGACCAGGTCGAACGTGTCGGGTTCGTGGTAGCCGTACGCCGGCGGTTTTCCGTCGTCGGCCGTCGGCACTCGTAGCGGCGGCAGCTGTTGGTCCACGTGCGTGCAGATATTGTTCACTAGGATTTCCGTCGGTAGCTTGCAGCACTTGTGCACAGCCACTTTCGCTCGGCCGACGTCGCACGCGGACAACAGACAAACAACGATGGCGAGTATAGATCCAACGCCGTTATAAGTGATTTTCGCCATTTTCCCGGTTATTGTGACGGAAACCGTTTTGGCGTCAGGCCGACGTCGAAACCGCGACGGAAATACGACAAAATTTGTACGTTTAATGTGAGAAAAAAAAACGCAGTTCAACGCATCTCGTGTAGGAGCGACAACGGACGGCGGGACCGGACAAGCGCGCCAAGTGACGGTCACACGGTTAATCGTATACTAACCACTATTATCGCTTTCCGCTGTCCGCACGGCGTAATGTACATTGTCTATTTTACTTCACAATCATCTGTGTAATGCCGTACATTCATAGTACATATTATGTAATAATATACCCGTGTACATGCAATAATAGTACAATACTGTATAAACGATAATTGTACGTTTATAATAATATTATGTTTTTTAACCGACTTCGAAAAAGGAGGAGGTTCTCCTCAATACGTCTGTATGTATTTTCTATGATTGTTTTCACAATGCGACATTTTAACAAGCTATCGTGATTTATAGTTTGGATCGTGTATCACGAATACAACATATCCTACCTATATTACAATCAGGGCCATATTTGCCATTGGGTATAATAGACACGAGCCTAACCCGCTAAATTATGGCTAAGTAGGAAATACAAAATACAAAACTAAATGCTCAACAGTATTTTAAACAAATTGTGTTTATAATCTGTCGATGTTGCTTTTGTGCATAAATTGTAAACACGAAATTGTTTGTTAAATTGCATTTACAAAAATAGGCGTGGGTCGCCCACAAAAACGTGGGCGTGTGTACTGGTGACTAATTCGCGCAATGATGAAAATTAAGGTCCCATTAAATTATGTTGGTGGTAACATATCTAATTTATCAATTAAGCCAGATTTGCGGTTCACTCTAAATGATCACTCTTAATTTATCCAAACAGTCCAATTAAAAGGTAAATCGAGCAAATATCATAATCATCCAAAGATGATATGGCTACACAGACAAAAAGTTATCTCCTGCTTCTAGCTATTCAGAAATTTCTGGTAATGATCAACCAAAATCTGATTCCTTTGAAACTACTGTACCAGTACTTACCTACCGCAGGACAAAAATCTTACAGGCCCGTTAGGATTAAAATACCTATTCAGCGTTTCTCTTCTTGTGATTATAAATAATTATGCTACTGTATTATTTTTACATGTTATAAAAATATTATGTTTACTACACGTATATTTATTAAGTTATTATTTATTGCATTTATTTACTTCAAGTTCTAAATTACTTCAGAGAGTAACATTGTAACAATTATACAATAAATATCTATAATATTTTACTTATTCGCAATTTTTTTTTTTGGCTCTGGGAAGGGTGGGGTTGAACCCTGAATACCCCCCCCCCCATTTCCCTGTAAGTACGCCACTGCCTTTAACACAATTGGTTTTGTAATATGTATATTTTTTAGTAAACGGTAGAACTCTTGTCGCCACAAAAAGCTTATCTTACTGAAACACTCATTATATATATATTATATTTTACGTATTATAATATTGTAATATTGTTATGTTTGTATTTAAAATGATAATAAATAAATCTATCTAACTATAGCCTATTATCAATGTCATCCTCGACACAGCGATAGCGCGTGATTCAAAAACAACCGTAACGCCGTTGAAATATATGTAGTTGTATGAGTGGCTGATATCGTAAACTAAAACATAATATATTCTGAATTAAAATTTCAAAACACTCGTAGTTAGGTGCATTATGTGTTGAAAAATTACAAATGTATAAATAAATAAAAATATAATTACTTAAAAGAGGACGTCATACCTCCATTTTTTAAAAAGTTGGGTGTAGGCATTTTTTTACAAATTCTTAGTGTAATTATTAGTTTAGTAATGCGGACTCTTTTTTTGGTAGTTAAATTATTTTTCCGACTATCACAGCAACCTTGACAGAGATTAAAAAAAAAATTGAGAAAACTGTCTCCGCTTTCTTGATACAGATTTTCAAACTTTATCTTTATCCCCTCGACGAGATTTTTATAATAACTTGATCATTTAAACCAAAATGAGGGCCTAAACATTTTTTTTACCTTTATTTAAATAAAAAACTAATCTCGTTACTAAAAAAAAAACTCACCAAGACAACACAGATAAAGTTCCTAACTTTCGATGATATGAGTAACTTCTCTGTAAGATAATATTTGAAAGACTTGTATCAAGAAAGCTAACTCATGTTTTTATACCGTAAAAATGCATGCAAGGCGTACTTTTAATACGTATAGAATGCAGAGAATACAAATAAAGTATCTCACAAAGTTTTTATGGTTGTAATCGAGAAATGTACTTACAAGTTACAACTTAAATTTTGCACTGAAGAATTACACTTTAAAATTGAGTCCTTTCGTTGAAAGTCTGGACACAATTTTTTTTTCAATAAATTCAGGAGTTGCAAGTTTAAACATTGTGTATTTATGAAATAAATGAATAGTCCATAGTGTTTTAAACTCTTTTTTACCACTCAATATCTCATAGGGTTTAGTAAGAAGTTTAATATTGTTTTTATACAATGTGATCTCAAGTTTTCAGATTTTTTTTGTTTGCCTTTAACCCTTTCTCAAACTAATTATTTTTGTATAATAAGTTAAGGATATTTTACTAAGAATGTTGACTGGTAGAAAACCAGTTTTTAAAAATCGTTTTTAAAGTTATAAGAGTTTAAAATTTATGACGGGGGGGGGAGGAGTGCGCGCAGGTAAAAATATTACTCTACACTCCACCTTTCCTCCTGCCCTAAACTTGAAACTTCAATAACTTCAAAAATAGTTATCCAAAACTGGTTATCGACCTGTCAACATTTTTAGTACATTATTCTCAATTCAAAAAGCTAACGAAACGTACACGTTACCATTTTAGTTTCAAAAGTTGATGTAAAAAAAATTAGTTTGTGGTTGGGACATAAAAATGTGTGGAAAATTGAAATCACATTATATTGGAACACCATGGAAAAATAATAGCAAATATAACATGAGAGATTTCTTCTCTACAGCATGGCCATCAAACATCGTTGCTGTGTTCATGTTTATACACATACAATCGATTTTGATAAGAAAAAAAAACATTGAATTAAATAATGATAACAAATGCGTGGTGCTAGCAGGACGCAGGTTGATTTTCGTCCATAAATGTGCCAGTTCAAAAGTAAATTGAATAACGCACGTGTTCGGATGTTAATTTTTTTCCAAGTTGTGAAAAACTTTATCTGACATACCTAGTGGATTATAATAGTTTATTTCCTACATTATCCAGGTGACACATTTGTTACTTTTTATTATTTTTAATTTTATTTAAAAAAGTAAAATTTAATAGTCGTTAGTGTGTTGAAATTAATGTATAAAACACGTTTTTTTTAGATAACTCCTGGAAAAATGGTCGTATTCACTTGTAATAATTGTGGCGATTCAGTAAGCAAACCGAAAATCGAAAAACACATGCAATATGAATGCAAGCGCAAACATTTTGCAGTTAGTTTTTGTTGTGTCGATTGTTTAAAAGATTTCAAGTGAGTCCTTCGACGTTTTTAACTTAATATTTTCTCCATAATTGTTTTTCTTTAATTGTAAACAATACACATTAATTTTTATTATTACTTATTAGTGCTTATTAGCTATTATTGTATAGGATGGTCTGTATCGTTTTAAATGCAAAGTTAAATGTGCAAATTAATATCCATATACGTTTATATATATTGCCCTAATTAACATCTGTTTTCACATAACTTTCAACAAATATTGCCCGTATTTTATGCCTCAAAAATTAGCCAGACACGCTAAGGAGCTCTACTCCTTTAAAAAAACAACAAATTTATAATTTGAATTTAGTAATATAAAGCAACTAACTTATATTAACAATAACTTAAGGACAAATATGTGCTATGGTATCAGCCATGAGATATAGGATTTCTTATTCTTAAAAATCAATATTTATAAATATAATTTGAACGAATTGGATTAGATCCTGTTATTCCCTATATAATTTGTCTACAACAATTTAATCATTCATAACTTATGTATTTTAAAGAATGTAATATTTTGTTTTTATTTTTTACTTAATGGTTATTTTGGCATAAGTTCACTTTAGCAAACAGCCTTTTTTTAAATATAATATAGGGTTTTTTACGCTGATTACAAATTTTAAGTTATAGCTATTTGAAATTTACATATTTCTGGGTATATAATAATATGTGGCGGCAACTGCGGCCCCGCACCATACATTTGTCGGCAACGTGAGGATAGGTCAGGTTCGGATTCGTTAGGACCGCCACCTATTATTATACACGTAGAAATATGAAAATTTCAAGTAGCTATAACTTTTGAACTAAAGGAGTCCACCTAATTCAGATTTGTAATCTGCGTAAAAACTATAATTTAATAGTATTGCACAAAAAAGTGTTTCCAGTAAAGTGAATTTGTTCCGTTATATTAATTTATTATCTTATTATTTTAGTCAGGATACAGTTAAAGACCATTGTCAATGTGTAACGGAAGAGCAAAGATATTCTGCGAAAGGTTTTGTAGCAAAAGTAGAAAAAGGGAAAAAAAAGCAAGCTGGTTGGGTAGATATTGTTCGGTCTGTAATGGACAGAACAGATTTGGAGAAAGATGAGCAACAATTTTTAAGTCTGTTATCAAATTATGATAATGTACCTAGAAAGAAATCTAAATTTCAAGTAAGTTTTTTTTATCGATATATAACTTGCTTTTAATTAAAAAATGTCTGTACATTAATAGTTATAAATCATTACTGTTTTGTTTTAGAATTTTTGTTTTTCCACCGCTCCTGCATATCGTAAAAAAGGATATTTAATAGACAAAGTATTTGACATGATTGAAACTGAGTTTAAGGCGCAGCAAGCTGTTAATTCTAATAACAATACCAAAAAATCGGAAAATACCAATAATAGTCAAAGTGCAAATGACAACACATCATCAAAAAAAGTAACAGCAGATAGTAGTTTTGTTAGCGAAAACCAAGAAAATAACGATGTAACTGTCAAAACATCAAAAAAGAAAAAATCGCTTGAAAATGGTAAGGCTGATGAAGACTCTAATGAAAAAGATACTCAATCCGAGAAAAAGAAAAAAAAGAAAAAGTCCCTTGACAATAATATTGTGGTTGAAAATTTAGAGGTTAATTTGGAAGAATCTTCTGAATTGCAAAGCAAGAAGAAGAAGAAAAAGTCAATTCTTAACGGCATTGTTGTAGAAGAAAATGGAGTTAATTCTGAAGAAACAATAGATTCTCAATCTGAGAAAAAGAAGAAAAAGAAAAAGTCAATTCATAACGGCACTGTTATAGAAGAAAATGGAGTTAAATCAGAAGAAACAATTGAACCTCAATCTGAGAAAAAGAAGAAAAATAAAAAATCTCTTGAAAATGGTGTGGTAGTCAACGAAAACGAAAATATTAATGATAATAAAGATATAGTTAATAAAGAAAATCATAATTGTAGTCATGAAACTGAAGTGCAGTTGAGTAAAAAGGATAAAAAAGCAATAAAAAAACAATTAAAGTATCAGAAAGAGTTGGAAAATGTTTCTAGTGGAATTGTTGAAGAAGACCATGAACCACTATCGAAGAAAAAAAAAAGAAAATTAACTGATAATGAAGAAAAGGAAGAACCTCAACAAAAAATAGCCAAAACTGGTAAATTTAATTGTGTTTCAAGAATAAAAATGAGTCCAAATATTAGGATATAGGAACTGTCTTTTAATTTTTCTGATTTTGGCTAGAAAACAGTTTTCTGAAATTTTCAGTTATAGGGTTTGTAAAAGTTTTGCATTTTTTTTCGGTTAACGTTTTAAAGTATAAGCCATTGTAATAATTTTCCTAGTGTCGGATTGAGGGTTTAAAAATATTTTACATTGTTTTTGGGTTTAGCATTTAAAAATTTTACCCAATATTTTGATGCAATTTTAAATCTGTTTTTATGTCATGGGACTTTTATAAGAACAAATCTACTTAACCAAACACTTACATTTTTTAAAAAAAATTGTTAAGGAGTATTATTTTGTGCTGACCAGATGGATCTGCAAAAATGTTTCACTACTTGCAATTAGTTTAGAAGTTCTAGACTATAAATTTAAATTGTAGATACAATCAAGTATAAGCTATTATGTTTTTTTGTTTAGTAGAAACTCCGCAAATTCCGGAAATTCAAAATGGCAAGAAATTTGTGTGGGAAGAAGCAATTTTACAAGTTCTACAGAGTAAAAAAGGCAAATCAATAGCTCAGAGTAAAGTCATTAAAAGAGTCTTGAATGAATATCACTTACTAAATGAAGTTGCAAAAAAAACTGAAAACGAGTTAGAAAAAATATGTTTGAAAAAACTGAAGAAATTGAAAAATATCAAAATTGAAAATGATAAAGTGCAATTAATAGAATGTTAAAATAAATGTCTCGATTATTATTATTGGACTCTTAACGGTGTAACTATTTTAAATTTGTATTGTTGACCTAATAAAGTTTATGTATATTAATAAAATCTAAAATAGTATTTTAAAATTATTATTATATCTAACATTGTACATTATTTTTGATAATATCTATAATATATATTATGTTATAATATTTAAACCGTTAAGTTAATCTGAACACTCTGTGACGTCATTTGTCTGAACAAATCACGGGTCCCGTAATGGTCGCCAGGTTTCTAGATGAACTGGACGGGTTCTAAGGTGAAGGTACATTTAATGGATTTAATGTCAATTTACATTAAAAAAAATACTTGTATTTGACGTATTGTCAATATAATTTTGATGTCTGCAAATTTAATTTCTTCCTTTATGCCAAGAGTTGTATGAGCTGCGGGCAATGAATACTGTAGGATAACCAATATATTTTAACGATAAATTATTAAAATAGAAATAAAATAAAAGCCCAATTTTAGCTTAAAATGATTTACTATAATACAAATTAAAATACTTGACACTATACTAAAACAAAATACTAGACCTGAGTGGCCGTAATTTTTATTAAAACTTAATTATAGTTTTGTTCAAAAGATTCATGTCATGATTATTTGCTAAATTGTTTTTGGCAGATGTTATACTTATGTTACTTATGTAGAAGTGAAATTTGTATAAGTATTTAATTCTGTAAAGTGTAAACAGTAAAAGTAATCGACTGCAGTCTGTAAGTCTTAATTGTTATTAAATATTTTGTAATTTGGGTCACGTGTCTAAAAATTCTCCACGATTTACCGAACGACGGATATAACATTGTAAGTACATCGCAGTTGCCGCTATCATAATAATTTAACATATTATTTTGTTTTATTATAGTATGAAATTTAATTGTCAAGTGACAACCACGAGTGTCTGCGTGACGTCACCCAGATGAGTGTCGTCGACCTTATCACTTATCACAATATGTAAGTATTCAAATTTCAAAAAGGAACCCGCGATTTCATTCAAGGCTTCATAAGATAATAACAATATGAATAATATTTTATTCTATGGCGTAAGTGAGCACACTATACAGCTTTCGCGTTATTCATATTATTGTGGAACTTAAACGTGTTAATTGATTATAGATCCATAATATTATTGTTTTTATGTGATATTATTGCTATGCAAATTGTAGTCTGAATGTCTAGCCTAACCGGCAGCGACGTCATGCCGATTGTCGCAACGTCCGTTCCAGCTGCTGGCCGCGGCCGCAGGTTGGCGGCACTGCGCGTCGGCCACGGTCGCCCTCCACCTCGTACGCGCGCGCGTCAGTGAGGTGAGCTGGTGAACGGAACGCGTTCCGAGTATTTACATTATTATTATTTCTCCCGTACAGTAGATATACTTTTTTGTTTTCAAAATGGCCGTGTTTCCACTGTTTGTTTAATGTATGCGTCCGCGAAATGTTTATGTCCCGTTTGCCCGTCGATTCCGAATCCAGTCCGTTTGTCCCACGTTTGTACCGTCGTGTGAGTGTTCTTGGACCGGTCGTTTGTCGTTTGTGTTGCACGTAGTACCTCTGTACTCTGGACGATCCGCCGTAACAGCGGTGTCCCGTTTCGTGCCGCCGCTCCGTCGAGTTTTGACCGCCGCCACCATCGCGCGCGATTTCGCACGATTTGCCCGTTTAGTGTGTGTTTTGACTATTTCTCGGTTTTGACAGTTAATACCTCTCTAATTTTGTTTAATGCTATGCAACGCTCGAAGAGGTAATCTTTATTGATCTAAATTGGCTTCCGAAGTACACTCTGTCCACAATCACATAATACTACAACAAACGCCATATAACTGTTCAACGGTATCAACATTTGCTTTGTTGAACGTCGTCGTTTTCGTATCCCCCCGGCCACGGGGTATATTCATGTTTGATAATATTTAGCGATGAACTTTGACTTATGTTCGGCGCAATGACGGACACCAAGCGTCGTGTGAAGTTGTACGCCTTGAACGTAGATCGTCAGTGGGACGATCGTGGTACTGGGCATGTATCTTGTACCTATGTCGAACGTCTCAAAGGCGTTTCGCTTTTAGTTCGAGCTGAAGCTGATGGTGAGTATAGCATAGTGCTATAAGTAAGATTTAAGAGTAGGTAGTTGTCTAATAATTTCCATTTGGGCAGTCTTCGTTTGATGGTAGGAAGAAATAAAAAAAATATTATTTCCCACCAATTACTTACTACCTACCAATGATCATTTAAGTACAAAATCAATAATAATTAGGTGTATAATATAAACAGTTCTAATGCTTGATTGACAATAATGTTATCAAATATAATAAAACTTTGTCAGCTTCAAGACGTAGCTAAAAAAACTATCATTCTTACAGGTTATAATTGTTGTCCAATAGTTCCATAAGAATTTGTGTAGATGCTTAATGTACTATCTAATTCTATTCTATACAATTTGATCCTGATCTATAGTTTTTAACTTGATTATGAAATGCTAAATTCAGGTTTATTTACTACAATACGTCATACTAAATTGTAACTTACTAACAATTGTTAGGATTGTGTACATTTATAAATATTATTTATTTATTTATTTTATCACTTCAGCCATAGGTAATCTATGGTTATTTCTATTTATTGTTGTTGTTGTATTAGTACCAACATTTTGTTTGTAGATTATGAGATAATGATTAATTATCATCAATATGACATTTATATTATGTATAAGATCATTAATAAAGTACAGACAACAACTATTTAAAACCCCAAAAATACTCAATTAATTAAAAATTAAGTTATTATCTTTTGTTAAAGAAAAATTATTTAAACAAATGTTTTTTTTCAAAACTTAAATCGGAGTTTTTATAGAAATATTCTGAAGTAGAAACATATGTTTTGGAAAAAAATAGAACCTGTGTGGGTATTAAAAATAAAAATATCAAAATAGATAACTCTTTCTTTAATATTATGTATGTTTACAAATTTTAGCTCAGTTATAGTACAAGTATGCCTATACAACGCACCTTAATAATTGCTAGTGTAAAGGCCCCTTAAAATAAATTGGATACTTTTGTACGATTATGATTATTATAGTACAGATTGTAAATTACAATTTTTCAAAAAAATAAAATTGTATTTAGGTACTAACATTTTAACTAATTTAATTATCAATATATTTCTTAGTAGGTATTGACAGAAAGTTTTTATTTTACAATTATTCAAAAATATAATAAAGTTTTTTTCATTTTATATTTGTAAAATAATAGTTTACCAGTATTTGAAAACAATGTTATCTATATATTTTTTTATTAAGAACATTCTTTTTTTATTTGACAAATTTTAAGTGCCCACTTTTTTTTTATATTTCTGCACATATATTAAAAAACAATTTCCCCCAATAAATTACGAAATAAAACAAATATTTAAAGATTAGTAAAAAACGAGTGTTTTTGAATAAGTTATAATTTTACTAAATTGAGTAAAATTGACTTTCCTTAATTTCAACAAATAAACATTCGTGCATCTATGCAATTTCTATGTCTGTCGATGCGCCTATTTGCTATCAAATTTTACCAGTATGTTTGTTCAATTGTCTAGATAAACTGATTAAATTTTGGTACCAATCGAGTAATTGTGGGATTCTTTATATTTTGATGGGTAATTTTTAATGCATAGTTTATGCGATTGGTTAAACTCACAATATTTGATAAAACTGGGTTCCTTTCTAGCTGAAACATTTTAAAAGTTATGAGATATTTTCTTATTCTCAGTTGAACTTGCATTATACCTTTTGTCTACACTAAGATTTTGAAAACTATATTTGTCGCAAAAATGTATTTGCAATGATAACATTAATATCATTCAGTTTTGAGGTAGTCGCGTGATAATGATTTGACAGCATTTTTATTTAATTTTCTACTTAAAATAATTATTTGAACAACACATTAACTAGACTAAACAAAGGCTTGATGGTTTTTTGTCATTTGGCAAATTTAACTTGTACTTTTTTGTATGAATTGTCATTATATTATCTACCCAAACAATAGGAATGTGGCTGAACTATTAACCATATATAACTAACTTATGGTTTTCAGTTAATACAAATTATTTTATAGAATGTATTAGAAACTTAAGTATTATAAAAATTATTAGAAAAATATGTAATAAACGCATTTTTATGTTTTAGGTGCTCTCTTGCTAGAATCAAAAATTCAACATGACACAACATACCAAAAGCAGCAAGTATGTGATTTTCAAAAGCGTTTTTTTTATTTTTATAAAAACATTTTTTTTTTTTATTCATTTATAGGACACATTAATTGTGTGGTCAGAAGCTGATAACTTCGATTTAGCTTTAAGCTTTCAAGAAAAAGCTGGTTGTGAAGAAATATGGGAGAAAATTTGCAGTGTTCAAGGCAAAGATCCAACAATTGAGACGACTCAGGATATTGTCGAAGAATCTGAAGACGAGCGATTTGATGATTTATCAGATTCTGCTCCACCTGTAGAATTACCACCATGTGAAATTGGCAGACTCAAAGAAATAAAAGACGTAATAGAAATTACTTTACTGAAAGCTTGAAAAGATATCTTATTGTTAGTGGTGTTATATCTAATTTTTTATTGACAGCTCTTTATGACATGCATGGCCACTCCATTAAACAAAGATAGGTTGGCCGAAGCAATCGAAAATGATGGATATGTCCGCAAACTGGTCAAACTCTTTAATTTATGTGAAGATCTCAATAATTTAGAAGGTCTACATTGTCTGTATGATATCATCAAAAACATTTTCCTAATCAATAAGAATGCATTGTTTGAAATGCTTTTTGCCGGTAATTATTGAACGACAATTTGTTTGTTAGATTTGGCAAAAAAAAAAGTAGGGGTTTTTTTTAAGCTCAGAAATTGTTGTGTTAAAAAAAAAACAGCATATCACTACTCGTGCGGGATAAAAATGTACTCCAGTCACACTTTCACACTGTGACTCAAGTAAGAAATGTATGCCACTTACAATTTATTTAAGTGTGACTAAAAGTCACGCAACTAGTAACAGATTAACGAAATTAGCATTTTTTTTTTTTTTTACTAGTTTTTGCCATTTCTGACGTGAATTACTTTTTTTTTTTTTTTAATAATTAACCTTGATTATTACAGACGATATAATATTTGATGTGATCGGTTGTCTCGAGTATGATCCTACTCAGCCCATTCGCAAGTACCATAGACATCATTTAAAAAATGTTTCAAGGTATGTTGTTCTTTTACTAGGCCCATTTCACACTTGATGTGTATTGTATGTGAGTTTTTTTCATAAAGCATGTATAAATGTGTGTACCAAACACACAAATGTGAAACATTCCTAAGCATGTTCATTGTATTACTTTTTGTATTTATTATATAATTTGTTTTTTCTAGGTTTAAGGAAGTTATAATGATTACTAACACTGAATTATTGAACAAAATACACCAGACCCATAGAGTGCAATACATACAAGACGTTGTTCTTCCTACCCCATCCGTATTTGAGGATAATATGTTATCTGCACTAAACAGTTTTATATTTTTTAATAAAGTGGAAATTGTCACTTTAATTCAGGTACACGTGAAGGTTTCTTTTTTATGAAATAGTTTTTTTCACGTTTGTACGGAATTTGCAGGAAGACGAAAAGTTTCTTCCGGATCTTTTAGGCCAACTCCAGGATGAAAATACCCCAGACCCCAGGAAACTAGAACTGGTGCAGTTTCTTAAGGAGTTTTGCAACTTTTCACAGAATTTACAACCTCCCCAGAAAGAAGGTTTCTTTAAGGTACTTTCTTATAACCGCCGTATTCTTATTCAATTTTTTAACAAACAAAAATATGTTGACTTTTAGACTTTGACATCATTGGGCATTTTACCCATGCTTGAAATGACATTAATGTCAGATGACGTCAACATCAAGCAGGCTGCCATCGACATTCTTACCATACTCGTAGAGTTCTCGCCTTCTGTAATTCGAGAATATATACTTCAACAGTCTACTGATACTGGTAAAATATTTTACATTATATAAATTACATAAACATAATAAATAACACATTATTTAAAACAAAATACTTAAAAAAAAAAAAAAAGAAGAAGCTGTATATCAGCAAAATACCATAATCCCCCCCCCCCAAAAAAAAACCCCTTAAAATATTATCCATCTTAGTGTTAACGCCAAAGGCTTGCAAATATTAATGTTGGTAGGGTTATAATTTAATATTATTAAAATCCTGTTGAAGTAAAACGATTGATGCTTTTGTCGGCATTTGTAGATTTATAACACTGCTTACAAATTACACAAACATATTTATTTGGGTTCTAATAACTGTTTAATTTTTTTATTGGTTTATTTTAATATTTTCTTGTTAAAAACTTATTAATTTATATAAAAAAATTATTAATATTGTTGTAGTGACTCAAGCAAATGGTAACGAAGTTGCGGAGCTCATGCTTATGAATGTCATCATTGAGCAGATGATTTGTGATACCGATCCTGATCTCGGCCGTGCCGTCCAATTAATGGGTGTTATACGGGTATTAATTGATCCTGAAAATATGTTGCCTTCCTTGAGTAAAGTTGAAAAAACTGATTTCCTCAATTATTTTTATAAACACAGTGTTCATATTCTCATCGGTAATTAACATTCTCTATTATATATTTATTATTAATAAAAAAAAAAAAACAATTGTTAGTATTCATAATGTATTTTTATTTTAGCACCATTATTAGCAAACACAGTGGACGGTGCTCCAGCGCGAGATGACTACCAAAATGCCCAGCTACTGGCACATATACTCGAGTTATTGACTTTCTGTGTGGAACATCACTCTTACCATATTAAAACGTGCATTCTAAACAAAGATTTATTGAAACGTGTTTTGGTTTTAATGAAATCGGCACATAAATTTTTGGTTTTGGGAGCATTACGATTTATGAGAAAAATAGTTGCACTTAAAGATGAATTTTACAACCGATACATTGTCAAAGGATGCTTGTTCGGTCCTGTTATTGACTGTTTACTAGACAACAACGGGCGTTATAACTTGCTCGACTCAGCTATAATTGAGTTGTTCGAGTTTATCAAACTAGAAGACATAAAAATCCTAATAGCTCATGTTGTTGAAAATTACGGCAAAAAGTTTGAACATATCGACTATGTACAGACTTTCAAAGCTCTGAGGATACGACACAGTCAACATACAGAAAAGTTGAAAGACAAGCCAATAACCAAGTATGTTTTTTTTTTTTTTTTGTCATAATATTATCAAGTTCTGTGGAAATTTATATCATGCTACGATGATTCCATATCTGAAATTTGAATAGCAAATTTAAAAGCACTATAATAGGGGTTTAATGCATATTATATTGCGTAAGAAATTATTTTAAGTAGTGTTTTATGTCCCAAACCATTATGCTGATTATTAATATATTTTATGTTAAAAAGAAAACTAATACATTTTATGACTAGTTGCAGTGTGACTGTTTCGACCGGACGTTTTAGACGCGACCCGCGGCAACTTGAAGATGAAGAAGAAATATGGTTCAACAATGAAGACGATGAATTTGATGACGGCGAAGCTGTTGTGCCACACACTGGAATGACGAGCACAACACAATTGACAGCATCTGAACAATTAGATTCTATTGGTAAAACTTGAATAAATAAATTAAAAAATTAAAAATAGTAATATATTTTATTGTAATTATGATAATTTTATTTTAGGTAAAAGTATAGATAAAAAATGTGAAGGTAGCAGCACAAAAATTTTTGGTACTACAGTTAATAAAACGACACCAGTCATGAATAATAATTTAGTTGTTTCGCCAACGCTAAGTTCACCTCCAGAAGAATCTAAAAATAGTTCTCTTTTGAAAAAAGTGAGTTTATTTTTAAAACAATATAGTGTCATAAATATATATTTTTAGTTGTTAATTATATGAATCATTTCGTTTTATTTCCAGGCTCTAGTCGATTATGAAGGCGATTCCGACGAAGAAGAAGATGAAAACGGAGATTTAAAATCGCCTACCAAGAGGCCACGTTATACATAATTTGTAATTTTTTTTTATATTATGTCTATAGTTAAATTAATCATTTAATCGTTTTGTTATACAAAACGCGCCCCAACACATAAATAATTAATTAAGTATTAGACTAAATGACATCACCCCTGTGTAAATAGTTATCATGTTGTGTATGACGATATGCTTTTCATAAGTGTATATTGTCTAAAGATAGGTAAATGTTGCTTTTAAACATTTTTTATTTTTATTTTTTACCCAAAATCTTGTATATTTGACTATCCTGTGGACTGTTCTTATATGTCAGTACTTAACAATGATTATTATTGTAATTATTATAATAATCGATACATATATGTGTATGTAAAACGTACCTGGTATGTGTCCGTGTGGCGAAGAACAATTAAAACACTATTAATTAAAAATGCGTGGATAAGAGACCAGTTATATTTATTTAATCCATCTTTAAATATCTTAACAAGGTCTTTACGTTGACGTAATTTTTTTGTTGTGATATTTTAAACTCTAATTTTCTTTTTCTTGTTTTGTACAAATTGTCGCTGTTTAAATGCCATCAACCTAACTGTAATTTGATTACATAAAAAAAAACCTAGAGCTTCGTGTAGATAATGTCGTCATGTCAGTGGTGTATATTTAAAATGATATTATACAAAATTAATTTATAAAAGTTGATTTTTTTTTATGGTTTTTGTAAAACTTAAGAACATCTACTACATTGTTAATTGTTTTGATTTCTGCAAAAATATCGTTAACATAATATTTATTCAGGATTAAACACAGTAAATATTTTTTTATAAATGTGAATTTATGTAATTTTGCTTGTTATATTTATGCAATGACATATCGTATTCCATTTTATAAAATTATACAACGATATATTTCAGATAAAGAAAATGTAATTTGATGCTATTTAAAATGTACTACTTTTTATACCAAATTGATGGCGATCACAGCGCTGTCTGTTATTGAAATGAACAATAAATGATCTGCATATTTAGATAGTAATGTAAAAATTGTATAATACAGGATACTTTCTATTGTTATTTATTTTTATAATTGATAATATTTTTTAATTTAATGCAGATCATTCGTTTTAAATGGTGCATATTTTCCTGTTAGGTGAAATCAGTATTATGCATTTCTTTTCCTTGAGATGGTACGATACTTTCTAGGCGATTTAAACGTATTGCTATGGAATAATATAGATCCAGACTTCTGTCGAGGGTAATCGTCTTCAAAACGATCTTAATTTATCCGTCGCTAAGTATACTTATATTTTTTTAGCCAATACCTATTGACAAATATTGAAACGTAGAAGTTAATTTTAACAATGATGTAACATATTGGTGAGTGAAAAAAATAACGTGATACATTTAAATTAGAAATTTTTATTTAATAGGCAACGGTTGTTTTTTTTTTAAATTTCATATGTTGAATAATATTAAACAAATAAGCTGTTCGTGAAATAACTTTCTTATTTTATTAAACTAGTATACGAATATTATAATCAAAATAGATTGCACAGCGGTAAAACATTTTTTTTTTAAATTTAATTATATCAATATATATTTTACATTTCAAAAAACCTGTACCTGAGGGCCATTTTGGATAGACAATCTAGACGATATTACAAGATTCTATGTTAATTAATACCAAATGACTGTTCATTTTAAAATCTCCTTTCAGCCAGAGATTTTGATTGTATTTATATGTATAAAAATACACACACTATATACTATGAATATAGGTGGTGACATTTTCCCCTGTATGCGTTTGAGCACAATTCCACCATTCTAGATAGATTATTTCCTCGCCCTGAACATGAAATGGGAGACAAAAATGTTTAGTATAAGTTTTGGGTCTGTTTGTTTTCCTATACTTTAATTTTCATAAAAAAATAAAATACAAAAAGAGCAACCGTGAAATACGATCGATAAATAGGGAATATAATTATTAAAGTTGATATAAGTACAGCTATTTTCAAGTATGTGTTTTGCGGTTGCTTGCCATCATAAATTTCCTTTCATTTATAAAGATGCTAATAAACGAATATATATAATAATATATAGTATAGTAGTATATTACATTTCGCTTAAACCAAATTATCAAATTAATTAGATGTACAAAATTCTTATCTTTTTCAAACCGCTGTGTGTGGTGATAACGATACATTTCATATTTTTTGTTGAAAAATTTGTTGACATATATATCTACTATTTATTTTCAATTAAATAACTTACTGACTTATTTTATATATATGTAAATTATTTGTTTTAGGCCAATACTATAGTGAAATCATAACCGACGCGTGTTCGTTTAGAAGATTGATTGCTACTTCTATCTACTCTGTCTTTAATTAATACAATAAGTAGTTATTATTGTTACCATTGGTTACAGACTGTTATCCTATGCCGACACCGATTAATTTGCCTGCGGCCAACATAAAACTTACACCGTAGAAGTTCATTTTTTGTTATTTATGAAGTATTTTTTTAATAATTAGTGCCTATCTTATCTCTATACTCAACCCTAATTTAAATTGACAGTTTTTTTTTCATTATACAGTGTCTTAACCGACTTCTCTTAACGCTTTAGTTTCTTAACGTGCACACACATACGATACTGATGTACAAATAATTAAGACATTAATTATTTCAAATTTTTTTGTTAAAGCTGTACAATTGTGATCACTACATAGAATAAAAATTATTTTAGCTTTTTTATATATTTTTTTTTAATGATATATTATTTCACGTTAAATTAGCATTATTTGAATATATTTTAATTATTTCATTTAGTAGGATGATTTACCTATATAAATATGTATGATCACTATCGAGTACTATCACTAACCGTTTGAGGTTTTTAAAATTGTTTTTTGACTTAATTTGTGGTTTTAATATTTTAACTTTGGAAAATTCAGACATTGTAGGTAAGCTATGTGGAAATCAACAATTAGAGCTAAGAAAAATCTAATAATTGTCATTAAAGTTGAAAATATAGTTTGTATTCTTTAAAATTGACAAACATATAACTTTATTTTTTTAAATCATGTATCTGATTTCACTTTCCAGATAATTTTTTTTTAGGAAGTATTATTGTAAATTATTTAGTAGAAAAACATTTATTTACCTATCTAAAAATAACATAATACATGGATTAATTAAAAAAAAGTTTATTGTTGTTAAAATAATAATATATATATAATGAAAAATATTTTTTTAAATAATAATAATAGTATATTCGATGCACTGAATAAAAATTGTTCAGATCTAAAATCAATCGATTTTTAGTTTTATACACCTGGGGCTACTTTTGTGTGCTTAAAATTTATATACATTATTGACAAAATATCTATGTGTTCATTCCGCTCTAATAAGAAATAACTATATTACATGATCTAATTTATTTTAATCACATTATACATAGCAACATCTTATGCTATTGTAATCATTCCAGTTTTTACTCCCTGGCTTTATAATACTTATTTAACCAACGAATAAATGCATTTTTACACAGTCTTATTGTAAAAAATTATAGGTATGTTTTTTAAAAGCATCAGCAAAAGTCCCTATATCATCTTTTTAAATTCTTAAAACAGTTGTCTTTAGATTATTTTAGCGTTCAACATTTTGTGTTCTTAGACCGTTTTTATGAGTAGTAATCAAAAATCAAAAAAATTGTCTGAACATTTATTTTTACTAACTATTTAATGTTAATTTTTTATATTATATGTATGTATATATATTTTTTTTTTTGAGCTGCTGTTGATATAGCTTGAACTAAATTAGATACTTATTAATATTGACTATTTTGGTTTTTTTTGTGGTGTGATTTCAGACATAGGGCATAATTAAAACATAAAAATAAAATATTAATTTCAAATAATTTTATTACATTTTAACATTTTGAAGCATGGTGGTATAAGTAATATACCACTTTTTCAAAAAATAGCCTACTCTCGCACAGTGGTATATATTTATTACCACCTTCATAATCATGTTCAGAGAAAATCGGAGAAAAAAATGCTGTGCTTCAAAGGGTTAAAATTTATATTGAAAATCAACATTTAATTTACTATTTTATTATTTATATAAGTATTCGCTCCACCCTGAAAAAGTATAGTAAATCTATAGATTTTGCTATATTTTTTTAAATTGATACTACATAATGAAAAATAAAATTATTTTAAAATTTTTGATTATTATCATTTAGTAGGATGAATTGTTGGTTAGCCATCTAAAAATATATCAACATGGATTTATACCTTTCATGGTTTACTTAAAAAAGTATTAATGTATATATCAATTTATCTATTATGTATAAAATATGTCTGGATAAGTATCAAATAATTTAGGTATTTTATGCACTGAATATTATTATTATTATTATCATTTTGTACTCTGACCGTTTTTATAATCACCGCCGGACACTCGAATAATCAAACATATTTGCTACAAATTATTTCAGACATTTCATTCATGTTTTGTACTCTTGAGTTCCCAAGTAACCGTCACACAAACATATCATTCTTCCACACTTTTAAACTTCTAATAACCAACAAACGTCAGACCTTAAGTATCAAAGTACCTTTAGCATTAAAGGTCCAGATCCAAAAACTAAAAGATTTGCATCGAGACATTTCATTTAACCTCTCTTTGGACATTTTTATAAGCTCTGCCAAATAGTCGATCAAAAATCAAAATAATGTATTTATCACTCTTCACTTCTTTCCCTTTTAAGTTTTAATATAAACTCTAGACATTTCATTCATGTGATTTACTCTTGAATTCTTAAACACTTATGAACTTCTGTTAAACCACCAGACCTTTAATATACATATTTAATGCATTATGCTGTTGGTTACATTCTAAACGTACAGTACGTCATTACCGAATAATGGCATAGACGGTGATTTCTGAACAAATAAGGATTTTAATTCAACCAATATCTAGACATATAACGTATACATTTGAAAAAGTTTTGTTGCACATAGGAACACCATATCAGACATATACAGACTGACCTCTAAACATTTCTTTCTATTTTTAACCATAGCTATTATCAAGCCCGTGGAGTAAACAACACCTCAAACAATTCAAATTAAAAAAAAAAAAAAATTGTCCTTTAAGCAAGTAGCACACTCGCTTTAGTAGTAGGACGTTTCTGATCTGACAGATAGCTAGACTTGCACTACAGTTAACCGGTACTTAGCTTGCAAAACACTTTTTCGAAACTAAGTATGAACTATGATTACTAGATAAAGGTACGATGAATTACAACGGTCTACTTTAAAACGTAGTGAGCTGACTCGACACCGTGGCCGGCGTAGCCGGGCACCCCCCTCGGAACTGCTGTGTACAGACATATAACATACTACGTTTAAACAAATGTTGTTTCACAAAGGTAAACCTTAACAGACATTTAGCTGACTGTCCTCTAGACATTTTTATCTGTTTTCAACTCATAAAGTTAAGCGGGATGACACCGGCCTATATTGATGACGTGGTCTATAATATAAAAACTTTTACCAAAGACAATTTCCATTGTACACTTTTTCCCAATGGCCAGCTTCTTATCAAGCCTCTTTAACTTTTTAAAATTTTAATTTAAACTTAATTTTAAACCTGTTACCTCCTCATAGACTGTAGCCTACAAACCTAGGATTTATTTTTAGTTGGCGGAGCGAGTGAATGCCAAAACACTCGGAGACCTGCCGTCCTTATCAGTTTTCAATACGAATTCCGCCCGCTGATAAGGAACTGGACATTGTTAGTTCATAAAAATTGGTAAAAGTGGTAGCA